CCACGAGCCCCTGCCGTTGGACCCGGCGCCTCCGATTCGCGAACGCAGGCGCGAGCATGGGGCGAGCAAGTTGAGGTACTCGCAGGGCGGCGAGAATACGGCGCGCCGGGTGAAGCCTCCGCCAAGGGTGGACAGCACGCAGCCGCGCGAGACGAGCCCGGAGATGTCGTCCGAGTCTGGGGAGGAGACCGCTGGTGAGGAGAGGTTTGTGGACCATTATGTGGGTGAGGCGGAGGCGGCTGCGGCAGTTGAGAACGGGACGTGGACTAATGGGAATGGAAATGGAAATGGGAAGGCGCAGGGTGGGGATGATGATGGGGAGTGGGTGGATGAAGAAGATGAGTTTGAAGAGGAGGATTTGCTCGATCTTGAGTACCACCCGACGTATGTCAGCAATCCGCAGAAGAGGCGGAGACGATTCGATGTGCGCTGGGAGGCGCTCAAGCAAACTGTGAGTGATCATGGGGTTGTTCTCAAAATGCGATTTGACATTTATTCTTGCTCTAGTTCCAGGCACTTGACCGTGAGACGGATTCGACGTTGATATTGCTGGCCTCTCCTCCACATTCAAGCAAACTGCACTCTCTAACGTCGCGCTCTATCCGAAGAGATGCCGGGTTGCGCAACTCGCCCAAACTCACAGCTATGCGCAAGTCGTTCAACACTATCGCCATACAGCGGCGCAACGCGCGTTCAGAACGCATCTCATTGGTCGAGCGCCTGCTTTTATCCTCTGGCTCAGCCTCGTCTGCCGACGGCTCGCCGGGCAGTGAGGCTCGGGAGGGTGACCTGCGCCGCGCGTTGGATGCTGCGTTGGGCAGTCTCGAGGAGATGGGTAGGATCCACGACCTGCGAGAAGCGCGATGGCGGACGGAGATGCGGCAGATATCAGAAGAACGCGATAGGGTGGAAATGCTTCTACGGCAGACCCTAGGCCCAGTGATTGCGAATGGTCGGCAGTGACTGCTTTGCGCCGTTGACTTACGTTTAGTGAGTTATGACGGGTTATGTACGACATACGCTGCGATGTCCTCTCACGAACACGGAAGCTGTACATGTAGTTTACGTAGACAGACTATGATTTATGAGATTATACTCTCCCTTGCTCAGGTACAGTACATGGCGTGGGAACGTGTGGTTGTGCATCTTCGGTTCGATTCTTCACATGGAGTTCTTCTCCGCCGCCAGCCTTCTAAGTTCCATGTCCTGATGCTACCGGCTCACCAGCGAAGCCGCTTCGCGTTTTTTTTTAGAATTTATTTTTTATTACAATTTAGATACCGCCGAAGGCGGTCGAGGTAGGGAAAGGTACAGGTGGCAGCGCAGGACCAGTAAATACTGGGGGTGGGGTAGTAGGAGGACTGGATGAGCCCCGTTTCATGGTAGTTATATTATCCTGGGTCAGGCGGAAATGCCAAAGTCGCCGACCTGGTGAAGACATCGCTGTGGGCTAAGAAACCCGCGAGGTCCTTCCTGGCCGATTTTCGACTGAACAGTTGGGCCAGGTGAAGTCGTTGGTTGGGGCGCTGCAGGGTGGCTCTGGGGCGGTCGAAAAGGTGGCATTGGATGAGGATGTGGTCGCGAGTCTGGATGTCAGTTCCACACCTACAGAAAGGCGATTCCTGTGGTAAAAAGCGTTTATAGTAGCTACCGACGTGTCTGTGCTCCGTTAAGAGATGGACAAGCCGGCACTCCACTTCTCGTGGGTCATCGTTGTTTGTTTTTAAAATACGGGTGCAGCACCAGGGACGACGGGCTTCGCGTGTCGTAACGAGACTTCAGAACGCGCTCACGTGACTACAGTGAAAGATCAGGCCTGATAAGTGGCTCCTGCGCGCTTACTAGGACTAGACGCCTAAATAACCACCACATGTCAGACAAATTATTGTTTTGTCATCTCCCGGCTATGAAAGGTTAATGGATTTTGTTGTCCGCGAGACCTGCAGGAAGCGTTCTCCTCGAGCTTGCGACTGTCCCAAGCTCCGCCTATCATCCTCGAGGACACGGCGTGGTTCACCACGCACCACCTTCGAGTTCTCGTCTGCGCCTAGCGAGAGTCGAGGTCAAAGTCGGACAGGATAAAAAGGGGTCTTTGCTCCAACCCTGAGGCGATCTCCCCCAGATCGACAATAACCTGTGGTGCTCTCCTGTCCGTTCTGATTCCTTCATAACCCCTTAATCAGACGCATACATATCCGTCAGTGGCTCACGGTGGACTCTCCTTTTCCGCCTATTCGCTCTGGCAAAGGATCTGTGCGCTGATCATGGCTGCTTTACAGTTTGCTCATCAATTTGAGCACGTGGCGGCCATGTCGTTGCCTCAGCAGAACGCAGTAGCTGGCCCGTCGGGACTGGCGCAGTCTGCGCTTGTGCAGGTAACGATTCCTGAAGCTCCCAACGGAAGGCCCTCCAGTGGCAGTGGTCGGCCCCTTTCTCGCAGCGGCCTTCTAACCCCTCCACTCTCTGCTGGAACCAACAGCTTCTCACAGAGTCGCCTTGCGATGCAGATGGATGCGTCAAAGCTTTATCGACCAAATAACGTCTCGCCGTCCGTCGCCGGTCCGTCCCACCACCGCCATCATCACTCACATGTTCTGTCTCAACAGCAGGTGGTACAAAACAACCGAATGTCGCAAGGGTATATCTCAGAATTGTCGCAGCAACCCAATCTCCTGCATACCATTCAGCAGCAACAGCACTATGGAGGGATGGCGAGACGGCCATCTCAAGCGCAGATGGATGATCAGCGTAATAGGCCAGCAATGCAGGGCCCTCTGCCTCCCGCACAAATGCAGATGACCAGCAACAATTCTTCCACCAATAGCAGTACTGGATTTTCTCATCTCCAGTTCCAATATCCCCAATTCTCTTCTGGGCATACAAATCCAGCTCCCATCTCCGCTCAGCAGCAAATGCAACCTCAAGGCACATCAAGCGGCCCTGCACCTCATCACGCTCAACATGCACACGCATCACGTTCGAACGCAATCGCTCATGTTGGAGCCAACGCACCTGCCGCTTCCCCCACCAATCCACAGCCCGGCATTGACGTTTTCGGCCCAGCTCCGCCAAACATCTTCGATCCCGCCAGATGGGATCCTAACGGGATGGCTGCGATAGCGTTTGTCAGCTCCAGGAAGTTCCTCGAGGCGAGTCAACAAACGCTGGCGACGGAGCTGACGCGCCTGAAGGATCATTACAGGACGCGCGAGGCGTGTGCCGCGCAGACGTTCACGAATCGCATCAGTGATCTCTATAGATGTCTTGCGAATGCGAAATCAGAGAGAGATACTGCGGTGCAGGCGCAACAGGAGGCAGAGGAGTCATGCAAACGCGCGCAGGAGGCGGAGGCGAAGACGAAGGAGCATTGTACGAGTCTGTATACCGCGTCGTTGCGGATTGATAAGGAGTGCATGCTGGTGAAGAAGGAGCGGGATGAGCTGAAGAATGAGAATTGGGAGTTGAAGCAGGTGATCGCGCGGATGGCGATTGAAGAGAATGTGCGAATTAAGAAGGATCCGAGTGTGAGCGAGGAGGAGAAGAAGGCCGTGGCTGAGCGTGTGGCTGAGCGTGAGGCGGTGATTGCTTCCGGTACGTGGGGTCAACTATCTGCATGTAGGTTCTGTGCTCATATAGCCTGCGATTTCAGCATTTGCGCAAGCGAAGGAGAACGAGATGAAGCTTAGAGAGGAGGTGGAGAAGCGGGCACAGCTCGAACGGGAACTGGAGGTTCTGAAGCATATAGTCAAGCAGCAGCTTTATCAGGTCGGCACTTGAGCTTTTCCATCCTTTTCAACCTCCTTCTCACACTATACGTTCGCATTCTGTAGACTTCCTCCGGTAGGCAGATAGCGGTCTCACTCCTCGTCCACCAATATCAAGATCCGGATTTGCTTAAATCCCTCTCCAGCAGCAACATCCCCGAGATGGCCGCCGATGCAACCTGCATCGAGAGCACGGTGACGGAGCTCGCAGGAATGAGCACGGAGCCGAATCAATGCTCGCCAAACGGACAGCGGAGCCGCTCATCGACGCTCGGGAACGAGACACTCGTGGGTGTAAGCGTGGGGCTCGCGACGCCCAAGTCGCAGCTCGGGACGATGGACTGGGAGACGCAGGGGAGCCCTGCGGCCGAGCCGGATGTGATCGACCTGACGGAGACGGAGACGGATGACGAGCAGGCGCATGCGCCTGCGCCTGCTCCTGCGCCGCCAGCAGGCGACGCTATGGACGTGGATGGAACAGGCCCAAGAAAGCGTTCTCGTAGTCCTGATATGGTGGACGAAGCAGAGCCCATCAAGAAAGTGCGCACGTCGGAGATTACCCCGGATAGCAGTGCATCGTCTGAAGATGCAAACCCGCTCACGTTCATTCCGAATGGCCTGCTGCCCGCGGACGGAGGCCGGACAGAGGAACTGCCGCCGGCCGCTGTGCTCCCCGAGAGCAGGACGGATGCGACGCAGGAGCAGGAGATCAAGATGGAGGACCTCGAGCTGCAATACGAGGAGGATGAGTTGGAGGAAGCAAGTGGCGAGGCGGCGACATCGGAGGCACCTGCGGTCGTAGCGCAGCCATCATCTGAGAAGTTGCCGACAGAGGCGCGTGAGGTGCGTGAGGTGAAGGATGAAGTAAAGGACGGCGAAATCAAGGAGGCGGCGAACACCGTGCCGCCTGCGCCTCTAGCCAAAAACGAAGTGTCCATGAAGGCCGAGCGCGCGGAGGGCCCGATTGCAGTTCCAGGCACGCCGCAAGCGTCCATCAAGCAGAGCCCGTCTTCGCCTGTGCCTGCGTCTCCCCGCAAGCAGCTGAGCATATCCCATCTCTCACTGGCATATCACACCACTGGGAAGCGACTCGTCTGCCGCATATGCCGGTACGCATGCATGCCGTTCTCTCGCCGCTGTTGACGGGTGTTGACGACGCATTCTGGCCTTGTTCCTTTTAGTGAGCGCAAGATGCGCATCGACAAGACCCTCAGCGTGACGATGTTTCCCGACGACGCGCCGTGGTCCGACCTTTCGGGCCACTGCGAGCACGAGCACCCACAGTCATTCGAGAAACTGATCAACATGAATCCGAAAGAGCTGACGGAGTTGAGGCTGAAGTATGGGGTTTTGCGGTAACTTATTGCTTCTGTTCTGCTTCCAATCGTCAATGTATGTTCCGAATGCAATTTGCCTGCTATATGCTGTGTGTTTCATCTCCATCAAGATATTTACGACTAGCTTGGTTTATATCGTTTTCATTCGGATCTGTCTGTTTCACTGCTGTAGCAACACGTAGTCTTTTGCAATTGGTATCAAACTTCCGATGTCCAGCGTCATCTTACGATTATACCGAATTTGTTCAGTCGCAATAGGAGGATCCTCATTCTGAGCAGCGAGTACAATGAACGGGTGCTACTCGAGACCCAACCGTCGGATGCACGAAAGGCCACTACTATCAACGCCTCGATCTGCCCGCCTCAGCCGATGCCTGTGAGAAGACATCGCCGCGCTCCGGTGCGAGCGGCATGGACCGCCTGTTGCCCTTCTTTGCTGTACCCGTCCGCCATTCCTGCCTACCCTTCGGCGCCTGCGATCTGCGCATGATCGCCTCATCCAAGCGGCGCTGAAAGTCGTCCGCACGCGCGCGCTCACGCCAGTTCTCCGTCGCATCCCGACGCTCACGCTGTGCCTCGAACACGCCGGAGAGGTTCCACGGCGCGTACGGGTCATCGAGGTAGTCCGCAGGTGGGGGAGAGCTGCACCACCCGACGCGTGGGAGGGTACCGAGTCCGTTGAAGGGCGAGCCATCGTCGTTCGTGAGACCCAAGATGCCGAGGCCGACCAGCGCTGGCGGTGTGCTCGTCCCCATGTTCGAAAGGTCCACCTCAAAGCCGAGCCCGGGACGTGCACTGGAGGAGTTGCTGCTGGTATTGTCTTCGCAACCGGTGACAGGGAAGCCGCTCATGGGTCGCAGACGGCGGAAAGGCGTGTGGATGGACGAGAAGGAGAAGGAGATGTCGTCGTCAGACAGCGATGGCTGAGAGTCATCGAAGAGCGAGGGCAGATCGGGCTCTGAGCTGAACGTGGGACTGCCGGACTCGAAGCGCGTGAAAGAGGCTGACTGCTGCAGTCGCGGCGAAGGAGGGAGCGACGGACGGTCATAGTTATCGGAGCGTCCGAGGCAGGGCCACTCAGCGTCATCTTCGAGAACCTTGAGCACGCCGGGGGATGAGACATCCAGGAGACACTCGTTCGCAAGTCTTGTCAGACGGGCTTCGTTCTTCGTCCGAGCGGTGCGGAGCAGAATGCCGCCCTCTGAGTGCGTGCGAGAGTGAGAGGATTTGAATGCCTTGGGGGCCGAAACAGATCCCGAGGCAATGAGAGACGGAGACCCAGCTAGCGCGTAGCGTTCCAGCTCGTCAGTGTCGACAACCCGAGGCGAGGTCATCTTCTCAGTGTTGATCACGAGCGAAGAACAACGATGGACGCAACGACCAGGGTGGGAGACAGCGGAAGGAGCCATGATGCGACGTGATATAGTCGTGTAACGTAACGAAGGTGGGAGAGGTAGTCGTCAGAGAAGGAGCAAGCCGACCAAGAGACAAGAAGGGATATTGCCGGAATAACCAAGAGTGTCGCCTGAGGACTTGCTGGAAGGGAAAAGGGAGAAAGCTGTGAATGAGGCAAAGGTAGCACAAGAAAGCTAGATATATGCATCTGTAGGTGTGGCTGACAAGAGGCTCACATCTGGAGGATGACGGTGCGGCTGGTATTCGCTGTCAGAACGTCGGTCAACATCGTAACGGCTAGAGCGGTCCAGAGAGCCCAGACAATGAACTCCTGCTACTTGGTCGCAAGAACAATGCTGTGCATGAAAGCGTCCAAGGCCTACCGTACGAACATTTCGGATATGCCAGCGCATACAATTTCTGGGACTTCTAGGCCGTTCAACACGTCGCTCCGATAGCGAAAATAGCACAGCAAGAGTTTCAGCAAATCGAAGCAATTGGGTTGAAGTGTTGAGGAGGAGAGAGCGGGAAGAAGATGGTAGGACAGAGGAGGAGGAGAAGAGTAAGTTATGGCACCGGATGTGCTGCGCGGATCACTAGGTTTTTATGCAAATATTACCTGTTCACCCAATACATAAAGTTACCATTAATCCTTAGTACAGATACAACCCTCCAAGTCCCAAATGAACCTTCAGTATCTAGGATATACAATACAAAAAGATCAAACACTTTGAGGCGATCATTCGCTCACAGCTAGTACATAAGAGGTTCAAGTAAAAGATTGGGTTATCCTTCGATATTCCACCAGTTCAAAATACTGGAATGCAGAAAAGCAGGCCTTTACTGCTCTCCGTCTATCTTCGCGCTCACCTGCGATTCGCAAGGCACAAAACTAAGTCATTCATAACAATACACATAGGTAGGTGCGACACGGAGCGATCCCGGTATTTACGATTCGTTCATCATTCTTGAATTTGCGGCAGGATGAGTGCAGAAGGAAGCGAGAATGGTGAGTCTCCCATTTGAATACAGATGTGCAAAGCAGAGATGTGACTTTTCATACGCCACTACTTGCCCCAGTGCTCGTTGGAGTCATCGGAGGAAGCGGACTATACCATCTTGATAACTTGACTTTTGTGTGAGTGGTGCCCGTTGCATACCATTCGTCCTGCAGCTCGAACACGCACATTCCAACAGCAAGCATGTCAATCCAGAGACAGTCAGTTCCAGCACCTCCTCGGTACACATCGCAGCTATTGACACGGCCCGTTGCAGCCCTGGGGCTTCCCCAGCTCTCCCATTGTCATCTGTTCCCTCCCCTCTGGCACGCGAGTCGCCTTCCTCGCGCGGCACGGCGTCGGGCACACCATCGCGCCATCTGCAGTACCCGCGCGCGCCAACATCGCTGCGCTCAAGTCGCTCGGTGTGCGCGCCGTGCTCGCCTTCTCCGCGGTCGGCTCACTGCGCGAGGAAATTGCGCCGGGCGACTTCGTGCTGCCCACGCAGATCATCGATCGCACGAAGGGCGTGCGACCTGCGAGCTTCTTCGAAGATACGAGCGTCGTCGCGCACGCGGCGTTCGGAGACCCGTTTGGAGTTAGGCTGGTGAGCTGGCTCGAGGGCCGTGTGAGGAAGGTGCTCGCGGAGGAAGCGGAGAGGAGGGACAAGGAGGAAGGTGAGGGAGTGGGCGGGCGAAGAGCGATGCTGCATACGGACAAGTGCGCTGTGTGCATGGAGGGCCCGCAGTTTTCAACGAGGGCCGAAAGCCAGATGTACAGGGCGTGGGGCGGGGACATCATCAACATGAGCGTGCTTCCTGAGGCGAAGCTCGCCCGTGAGGCTGAGTTGAGGTATCATTAACCCATCTTGTTCTGTTTGTTGGCCACATTTGACGATCATTGTATGTAACCACAGCTATGCGCTTATCGCCACTGCCACCGATTATGACTCGTGGAGGCCGAACGAGTCCTCTGTGACTGCCGCCGAGGTGTTCAAGACTCTCCAGGAGAACGCACGCATCTCACGTCACGTCGCAGCGACGATCCTCGAGGAGCTACACGAAGCCGTCGCGGAGGGAGGCATCCTCACCGAGGAGACAGGCTCGATGCAGTACTCCATTATGCCCCGCTCAGTCCAGCACAAGGAGGAGGACAGGAAGAAACTGGCGTACATCCTCCCGACGTACTTCAGCTGATCGCATATGGGTTGCAGTGATGAGACGGGCGATACAAGCGCGGTCGAAATAGAACACGATTGTTTTATTTATATTTTTGTTCTTGATGTACGTTCCGGTAAACGCTCAGAAACATGTTTATCGACGCCACAGGATGATGATAAACTCGATCAGGGTCCACTTGTCTCGCGAACGTAAAAGCGACCAATCAGCTTCCACACAGTTGATCAAAGGCCACGAAGTCGTCGGCTGTTGTGCAGAATGTCAGTCAAGATCGGAACCGGCAGTCCTGAGAGCACGGACATGAGGACCATCGGAAGCGCTCATCCATCTTGCAGTCGGTTCAGATTGCAATCGACCCATTCCTGCGATCTAGCCACACAATGGACGGTCAGTACACACTCTGGAGCCTGCTTCGGATATGGGTCTGCAGAATATGCGTACCGGATACTGAGCTAGTGCAAAACGCATAAGTATAGCATGAAATAGGTGAGGATTTCCTTCAAGCTCTGTCTTCACTCGCATTTGCAGTCTACCCTCCCGCTCACCCACCCTGTCGCACACCATGCAACTGCCTGTCGCTTTTATTATCTCTGCCTTCTGGCTCTTGTTCGTGCACGCAGTGCCAGCAGAGATTCCCCGCGGCACGAAAATTGCCCTCAGCAAACGAAGCAATCTGGCTGGTCCAGATGGCATCATATATGCCGCGGAAGTACAGACGCATGTCGCGCGTTCGCTCGGGTAGGCCATCTCGTTTTCAGGAAGAATTTTTATCTAACCAGGCCTACAGCAAGATCCAAGATGGCTTCGCCTCGTACCAAAAGAACACGGGCGAAGCCCATCCTCTCGCCGAGCACTATCAGCCGACGAAAAGTAAGAGAGGCGCCATCCCTCTTACCGACGACATGAATGGCCAGATGTGGCAAGGCGCGATATCGGTCGGGACCCCGCCGCAGGATGTCACCGTCGACTTCGACACTGGCAGCGCCGACCTCGTGTTGCCCGGCCCAACATGCGAACAAAACTGCGCGGGCCATCATTATTATCACCCCGAGGCGAGCAAAAGCTCGTCGACCCGCTCTAGTCAGTTTACGCTCCGCTATGGTGATGGTTCCTATGTCACCGGCGAGCAGTACGCGGACACGGTCAACGTTGGTGGATTGACCGTGAGTGATCTTGGTACTCACTTGATATGAAGAGGCGTTAATACAGCTCTGATCGGATCAGGCCACCAACGCCACCGTTGGCGCTGCACAACAATACTCAGAAGGGCTTGCGCCCTCGAACTTCCCCCCTGATGGGATCTTGGGCCTAGCGTACCCCTCCGTAACGAGTTTCCACCAGCCCACGGTCTTCCAGGCTCTCATGCAGGAGAACCAGATCAAGAATCCTGTGTTCGCCTTCAAGCTCGGCTCGGATGGCCCAGAGCTTATGCTGGGAGGAATCAATGATGACCTGCATCAGGGAGATATTACATATACGCCGGTTACCCAACAGGTTGGTGGAGTCCTCTCAGGCGATGGGCGAGCGCAGCTGATGGGCCGCATGACGACAGGGATACTGGCAAGTCAACATAGACGGTGTGTCGGCGAACGGCAATAAGACGCTTGAAAACGTGTCCGCCATCATCGACACGGGCACGACTCTCATCATCGGCAATCCAGATCAAGTCGCTCAGCTTTATGCCACCATCCCTGGTGCTAAGCAGGCGCCGGAGAGCTACGGATCTGGGTTTTATACGGTCCCCTGCAACGCCATCCCCACAATCAGTTTGTCTTTTGGCGGGAAGGGATTTGACATCTCCACCGACCTGATCAATCTGGGGCCCGTCGACTCTGGGTCGTCCGACTGTCTAGCTGGTCTAGCCGGTCAGGGAGGGATGAACTTCTGGATCGTCGGGGATGTCTTCCTGCAGAACGTGTACACCGTGTTTGACTTCCAAAACAACCAGGTCGGGTTCGCGAACCTGGCATAATATAACTATAAAGCTACGCTGTCCTACTCACACAGATGTCCGTAGTCAGTGGCGCGTTGCAATAGTCAAATATCAAAATATGAAAATCATTCGCACGTGTGTGTCCGTCTCTCTGAGACTCTCTGTTGCGGGTCCGCGAATCCGTACCTCGAAATCAAGCCAATGGCATACTCTATAAGTAATAGCGTCAGGACGTATGACTGAATGTGATGCGACACGATCAACCTAAGGCTGGAACGGACGCATAGCCGACATCAACGGCTTAGCGCAGCATCATGTTGTGCAGTTTCAGATTTTCGCCTGTAGTGGGATTACCATTTTTGAGGCTTGCATCTGTCAGAGACATATGGATTGAGATCAAACAAGCTGTAGCGGCAGTTGGGCGGTGCTGATGGAGGTCGCAGTGCACTAGAAAGGTCGCGCCCATCCCGCCGCCGCCTCGCAGGTCGTCTTCATTTCTTTTCGCTCTTCTTCGTCCTCTTTTTCCGTTATTCTTTCCTATCTTTTCTAGGAGCATATATTCCCGTCTTATGGCTGTCTTAAAGCGTCAGAACTCCCAACCTTCTGAGATACATGCACGCGCTCGCAGGGCCAGGTTACCACGCGATCTCACTGCCCGTTCAACAATTGCCCCAACAGAGGTATCCGTGGGCGTTGAAGCAGCCCCGTCCACATCAACTGCAGCAGCCCCGAACCACCGTCATGACAGACTGAGTGCGGCTGAGAAGGGAATAACGGCTGCCATTGTGATCGTCGCCGTGTTGATTCTCGGTGAGCACGGATCAACATTGTCGTCCTATTCTTGATTACGCTGACATCGTGCTTCTCTCCGTGATTGCGGGATTCATTTCCAGGGCTCCTCGCTTGGAAGATCGGGAAATGGAGACGGCAGAAATCCCGCGCAGCGTCCAACTCAATCAACATCTCATTGATGGCGAAAAAGCAGGGCGGAAAGGCCATCCACATCGACTTCGACAGTGACGGACGTGTAATGGAGAAACCCACCATGCACGTCGCTCTACCTGCAGTACCTCCAGCGAGCGCAAAGCAGACATCGATGAGCGCTAGCAAGCCGTGGATGCATGTCCTCGCAAGCGCTCTACCGACTTTCCCAGGGTCGACAACACGCCCACGTGATGAACGCGACGAGCGCTCTCCCCCACCGTCCTACAGCGTCTTCGCGAACGGCGCTGCGAGTCCCCCTTCATCTCACCGCGTCCAACCACCTTCTCTCGATATTCCAACAAAACATGACTCGGCACGTGTCGTCGTACCGAGCCCGCGCTCCGCCTCGTACGGTGTCGATTCACCATTGTACAAGGCTCCGCTGCTCACTGGTGTTCGGCCGAAATCCTTACTCGTTAGCAAGCCTCTGCCCCGTGTGATGGTGGTCCAAAACACCTTCAAGCCATCGTTACCGGACGAGCTCCTGATTATGATCGGCGAGAAGCTGAAGTTACTGGAGGAGTACGAGGATGAATGGTGTCTGGTCGAGAGGGAAGGCTCGAAGGGAGTTGTCCCTCGTTTCTGCCTGAGCGAACAAGCATAGAGATATTACTCGCTTCGTAGTCTTCGCTCGCCTTTTAATGCCCTGGTGTGTTCTACTCTCCACACCTGCCACTCTTTACATTCACGCCATATTTATTATCTATCATACCCATGTACGTCATTCATCACTCAACCCATGGTGAAATCCTTACACCCTGAATGTACAGTACAACGCATTGCGCATGACTATTTATGTGCTGGAGCAACATGCCTCAGCACCAGGTCCGCCATTTGGATATTGTGTTCGTCTTACTTATAAAACGGACGTGTGCGCTCTATGAACCCTGTAATTCCCAGAGCTTTATAGTTCTGTATTATACCCCAACGTAAATTAACATCTAACATATGTGTCCATGCAAAAGCGGCGGCGGGTGTGACCTAATGACCATGACCTCAGGTAGTCAAGTCGGCGTGACGGCAGGATGACGCCTCGTGGCACATGTTGCAGAGCGCCGTAGCACCGGATGAACGTAGGCTCACTGTATATCTGGATAAGTTTGGTCTGTTGCAACCCGCATAACCGGCGAGTCCGCAACTGCGGAAGCGTTATCTGGCGGTGGAGCCGGTGCGCGTCGCTTTCCATGGGTATGTGTGGTATTTCATTGATGCTGCTGTAGTTGTTTGCGTACTTTGAATCAAGTCTGGATACCTGCTTGTGGGGCCCTGAGAGCAATCATTATGGTATGAACGAGTCGAACGACGTACCTTCACACGAAATAGGACGTCAACTGGATATCCACGTCAGTTGCAACTGCATTATTTCCTCAGAGCTCTCCATCATTACTGATTGCAGTTGCGATATACCCACAGAGCACAGTTCGGAGGCTCAGGATTTAGTCATTGAAATGCAGCCGGAGCTACGAACGATGCTGTGTCGAATTCACATGCGTGAGCGTGGAGCACACCGCCAGCTATCTCCGGTACAATTCACGTGTGAGAGTAACATTTGCATCAATGTCTACTTTGACTGACCTCCGGCCTCCGAGCAATGTCTCCCGGGGCAAGCGAGCACGTCGGAGTGACTGTTCCGGGACGGCTGTGGCGGTGCAGGCACTCGTTGACTTCTTGATGAGAACCGCAGTGGCACAATTAACTTTCATTTCGACCTCGAAACGCCGTGGATATCCATGCTGCTTTACGTGGCACGAGGCGACTCTGAAAAGAGTCTCATCTTGGTCTGTTTGAGCGCCGTAGCGTGGTGGCGCCCGGTTTGCCGTACCACGTGACCGGAAAATGCAGCCAGAAATGGAAGGCGTAGTTGAACCGAAACTGGCATGCTCAGACCCTTCTACTTGCGCTCTCTGGGTTCGCGGGAGTATAAAGGGACGGACATCTTGCAGACGTTACTCTCATACCATACACCGAAATAGTTGTGCCATAGCACTCATTTTCCTTATCCTTCATACTCTGTTACCTTTCACCAAAGCTCGAGATGCCGACGTCGCCCAGTGTTAGACCCGCGCAGCCTTCGGTATCCAAGAAGCACTCTAACCCTCATGAGAGGACTAGCTCTATTCCATTTCCATCATCTAGTAAAGAGAATGCTGTCGCAATCCCAGGTAGGCCGACTTGCCGTATACTGTCCGTGGCTAACGTGTCGTAACCATTAGAGTCAGAATCTTCGTCCTCAGATCAGACCAGTTCAGATAAATTGTCTGAGCTGCCTGTACAATCCTCACCCCCACTCGCGCGACTGAGGTCCCCCAACCGCACTTCACATCGTAGCCTCGACGCGTCAGGCTCGCTTTCATCTCTGGATTCACCATCGGGAGCTCTGCATCACTTATCTGGGGCAACGCGAGCGAGCGAGTCGGAATCGTCTGTTGGTAAAGGAACTGCAAGACAGAGGTCGTCTCACGAGAGCGATCGTGCTTCGCTTCCCGCTACTTTGCAAGGTATCCGACAAGGCAAGTGTTTTACTCTTATGACGCACCATTGAGCATACTGACCGTAGATCCAGCGATAGCTAGCAGACACGCTCACAGAAGCCAATCGGCAACTCGCTCGGGATCAAATCTATCCGGCGAAGGCTCATCCCGCGTGGGTCAGACGCCACGCCATCCGTTCCCTACAGAGCGCTTGAACCTTCTCAATTTATCACCGCGTCTCGAAAAGGATACCAATACGCCTACCTCGCGTTCTCCTTCCCAGTCCCGTGCAGCTTCACCATTGCGCCGCCTCGGGTGGGCGTTACACCGTAACCATCCGCGCGAGGAACCCTTCGTACCGGTGGATCCTTTCCGTCTGAGCTTCTTCGGGGTACGGCGAGAGAACAGTCCCTCTCGCGATCAGTCTCCTGGTGAGAAGGACGTCGGATGCAAGGAGCGGTTTATTGGCTGTCTTCCCCTTCCGGTATCGACTGAGCCGAAAGAAGGGAAGCAGCATGCTGAGGGCTGCTGGTTCGCCATGGTAAATGACACGCGGACGTTCTTCCTCGATACGCTTCCGCGCCAGGTCTACCTCATCCTCCTCCTCGGGCTCCCTGCGATCTACTGGTCCCGCGTGGCCCGCGTCTTCGAGGATGCCGAGCTCAGCAAGCCCGACGTACAGCGTATGATCGATAACCGGTTGACCGCGCGCGACTGCGCTCTCGCCGGCGCCCCTGCGGCACACGGCCGTGCGATGCCGCGTGGCCGTGACGTGATTCTGCCGTTTCCAGAGGACTGGAACCCGCCGTCTGTGTCGCCTGCGCTGGCGCGCTTTAAGCACTCGTGGGAGCTCTTCGTGGACTCGCTCCTGCGCGAGTGGAAGACGCTGAACTTGGTGTCGGCGCTGCTCTGCACGTGCGTATTGTTTATATCCGCTCCGCCGAAGAAGAGGTCTGCCTCTCCTTCATGCAGTGATCAACTTGACTGACTTTATTGGTGCTTTCAGGGCCATCTTGACGATGTTCCAGGTCAATGATGCGGAGGATGACCCGTTGACGCGCTCGGCTGCCTTGTTTGGCCTGGTATTTGCGCTCATGAGTCTGTGCTACGGTTGTGTCTACATCGTGCAGTTTGGCACCATGCGCAGCATGGACCGCGCGTCCCGTTGGGCAGAGGTACGTTCAGCCTCTACGAGTTGACGTGGCCTGCGCTAATATCATGTGCTCGTTCCACCAGGAAGCACAGAAGACAAAGACAGCCATCCTGTGGAACATCTGGGTCATGCTCGCCACACCCGCGATCTGGCTCGCATGGTCCATGATCGCCTTCTGCGTCTCCATCATGTCGTACGTCTGGCGCACCGGGTCCGTCGCTGACGAGAACAGCCCGCCGCCGCTCGGCAGGACGCAGGCGATCGGCGTGCGCACGGCGATTACGGCGGTGTTCGTGCTCGGCTTGCTCAACTTTGCGATGATAGTCAGCACGTTTCACTCGTATCATGGCATGAGGCGGGAACGGAATCCCCCGGCGCGTGAGAGCGAGCGACGGGACGCGATGGAGGAGATGAGGGAAAGGGGACGGGAGCGCGACTCGAAGGCGGGCTCGGCGTCGGTGGTTGGTTTGGGGCTCACCGGGCTGAATGAGACGGGGCTTGGGAGCCCTGGCGTGGCTAGTTTGGCGGGAATTGTACTCGAGGATATTGATCCTGAGAAGGGCGAGTACTTGAAATCCGAGAATGGCAGAGGAAGGACCAGGATCTCGCCAAAGCTGTGATGACGGCTAGTTTGTTAATTTCCCATGTGACGCCTGGTAAGCAGCGATGTTTCCTATTCTTCCTGTCACTCGCTGACTGGAGAATGTCTTAGGATTGAATCGACGCTATCATCAATTTCATACGCAATGTTTTGTAACGCCACCAAAGTCATGACTCCACGAACGTGAAACGGACGACACCTTCGCGATACCACAGTATTCTTGATACCAATCATGTCCCACATTATGCATCTTCGCTCATGGACGACTAATCGCGCTGTATGATTCATGCATCATGGACACTGGAATGTACATATCAATCATATGTTTATACTTTATGTTGTATAGATATTTACTTGACCAAGTTACATGGATATGACGCTTATGACGCTGGCAAGTCTCGTGGCGACCTAATTGAATGTTACGCCTGTATGATCATAAGACTGCACTCGTTTATCCTAACACAATTGTCTCAGTATAGCGATGAAGTCGCAACTGCAAAAGCGGCACAACCAGCTTATCTCTTCGTCTCCAAAAATACTGACAATGACGACAAACATGCTAATAATAGTACAATTCGACATGTACTCGTACAGATAACATACACCCATAAGAACATATAGCATACAACATCATGACAACATCTCGCAATATCAACCTATCCAAGACTCGGCATCGCCCTCCTCAGTTGGCAGTCGAAGTGCTTCACCGGACCTGTTGGGTAGTCGGCTTTCCCAGAGGAATGGGAGCATGAGGGACAGGGGCATGGGGGAAACGAAGCTTCAAACCTGGAGGTGATAGTGAGTTGGGATTAGCAATGTGCCTGTCGACAAGTGATGTGGTGCCTACCAAGTTCCTCAGCGATCAGATCCGCGCCCTTCTCGCCGACGAGCAGAGCCGACGAGTAGGTGTTCGTGCCGAGGTTATCCTGAGCGCCGAACAATGGTCAGCGAGACAAGAGCAACAAAGGAAGGGCAGGCGTACAGGGCAGATACTGAGGTCGACACACTTCAAGTTCTCCGTACCGTAGACGCTCAAGCGCTTGTCAACGACTCCGCCCTGCTCACGAGGCTTCATCGCGCATGTTCCTGCAAATTGCTGAATAAGCATGCATCGTATTTACTAGATAACGGACGCACCGAGGGAGTGCCAAGTGGTCTCGACGTGGTCAGCGACCCAGTTATCGATCGCCTCGTCGTCTTCCTGAGAGTACTTGATATCCTCGTGCACCTTCTTCGGGTCGTACGGGTCGCCTGGCTTGTGCCATGTGCCCATGTGGATGCCGACGGTAAGGCTGTTCGGGAGCAGCTCCTTCGCGGTCTTGAGGTCGATATCCTTGCATGCCGCAGGCGAATCGGGGTGGAAGTGTGGGTGATGAGACGTCAACTCCCCACGGAATGCTGGAAGTCACTTAGTTAGAGCTTTGGCAACAGCGAATATGCAGAATGATCTACCGTCCATGCGCCGCGCGACCTCACGCGTCTTCTTATAACTCCAGCGGATGGGAGCAAAATCGGCCTTGTTGTTCATGAAACCGCTATCGAAGAATGGCTCGACATAGGGATTAGCAGACTTGATGTGAATCTGGAAACGTGGTGTTGAAAGCTCGTACACCAGTCGCCGGAGAAATCGCACTGACCTTGCCGCGACTGGCTGGGTACTCGAGGTATTGGAACCTGGGACGGTACGATTTAGACTGCCAACTGCGGTCTGTATACAGTACGTTACTCACATTGTGATGTACTTGCCAGGAGGCAGGAGCGAGTGGTCGGCGTAGGCACCGCCAACGATCGAGCCGAAAATGACGGGCTTGTCGGGCTTGTCCTTGAAATATCTGTTCCAGAGCTCATTAAATTCGGGGCCCATCTCTTTGAGCTCTTCTTCTGTGGGGCGGATCTGCGACGACACGAATGAGCCCTGCAGGCCGACGCCAATGAAGAGCGGCACACCTTGAATCCGGCGTCAATTGAATTGGAAGAGAGGCGCGCTTTCTCCGGGCTCGTCTCCCATTCCGCAAATATCTCTTGTTGGACCTCCTTGACGCCCCGTAGGAAGTCGTCGGTGGTGGATGTCTCGTTGGATACTCGGTACACTGCGCAACATTATCAGCACCACGCATTAACCTGCACGGACAGTATAGCGTACATGTCAGAGTAGTGTAGTGGTCCTGATACTCCTCACTGCGCGACAGCATCAGTCAGTCTGCAAAATGATGGACGGACAGTAGACTTACCCAACACCCGTCAAGTCACTGACAACCTTGATGTCAAGCTGGCGAAGGAGCTCGGCGTTGCCAACACCAGAGCGTTCGAGGATCTGCGGGGTACCCAGAGTGCCAGAGCTCAGAACGACCATCTTGCGCGCCTTGACGATCGTCTCTTGGACCTTTCCGCCATGGCGGTCGCGCGAGGGCACGTACGCGACGCCGACCGCCTTGTTGTTGGCATCGAAGAGGACGCGATTGACTCGAGCGTTGCAACGCAGGTACAGGTTGTCCTGGGCATCCATCACGCTGTGGACATAGGCTGGAAACAATCGCTCATTGGCGGCGCCCGTATAATTTTGAGAGACACACAGACCTGTGGCGGCATCGCTGCGCCTTCCGGTGTGGCGGTTGATGTACTTCGCCCAAATCTCGGCACCGTGGCTAGTCCTAAGATCTGTTCAACAGTTGTCATTCGGACAATGGGCTAACATCTAAGTGCCAACAACGTACCCTGAATATCGTCTGTTAAGGGCGTACACTGAGTGTCGCTTCAACTCATGATAACGTACGATACATACCGCTGTAGGGAATGCCGATGGAATGCGCCGCCCTCAAGAAGTCCTGAGCGACCGGCTGGATCTGTCCACCGTTGCTGATGGCAATCGGACCATCGTAGCCATGTGTGTCGTTGTTGACAGGCTTCTGGTAGTTCTCCAGCCGCCTCATCAATGGCAGGAGGTCTGTACACATCAAGGTTGGCACATTCAGTGCATTCACAAATGCACGCCTCTACGCACCATTACTTGTCCAACCCTCATTCTTGAAGTCATCTGAAAAGTAAACTCAGTATGGGCATCCAGCGTCTATTGTTGATTGCATGATGTACGTACCCCAATCAGAGGCGGAAGCGCGAGTGTACATCTATGAATGGAGTTGAAATTGTAAGCACTTGCTCCGAGGGCTGGATTAGGAATATACCTGGAAATTGATGCTGCTGCCACCGCCTGCCCATTCCAATGCTTCAGATGCTGTGCCACTCAGAAGCAATATATGGTCTCACCAAGGATGTTTGCGCAGCTGCAAAGAAACGACGGGTTAACAGAGGGTTGAAATTGTTGCAGTCAGTCTGCCTACGGGACAATGCTCCTGCGACCACGCATGAAGGGTGACTTCATCGAGTCCGTGTAAAAGGTCGCCTTGTCGTTGCTATCAAGAAACGAACCGTCAACACTATCGTTCTCAGAGAAGTCATAACAGACGTCACGTACACTCCATCATTCTGCATATTGCGCACGTAGATACCGGGGCTAATGATAGGTTGGACAGTCAGATACGAAGAATAAGAAAACTTGATTTGCCGTAACCGCTACTGACCGATACACCCATGGGTCATCTCGGTTGTTCGCACCACCTAGCATTTGAAGTCGGAAAACACAAGAGACTAGGAAGTGGAAAAGCTCTGACCTTCGATGAGCATGACCTTCAAGGTCGGGTCAGCATAGGCGAGACGACCGGCGACAACACATCCGGCTGGGCCACCACTGCATCGTACGTCGCAGCCAGGTCAGCTATACGTCGAGCAAGGAGGAAGGTTCCAGTACAACGCACCCGCAAACAATGACGTCGACTTCCTCTGGGTGCACCATGTTTGACGAACGAGAAGTGAGAATGAGAAGTGCGAACAAGTCAGAAATGAAGAGCGGTCAAGGCTTAAATCGCTGCCTTCTCGAGGCTCCATTCATGCGAATTTATATCCGTTGAACCTGGAAGAATGGTACCGAAGTAACGGTACTCCCAGAGCATCATTCGCGAAGTCATGAGTGCAGAACGCGGAGAAAGAGTTTCCCAAAGCAGGTTCGTCAGCTGGACGACGTAACTAAGTAGGGCATAGTGTCGCGGTGTGTATGCCGACCTGCCCCACACTACCCCACGTTACCCCGCATTTCGGCAGTCGGCAGAAGAGACAAAAAACAAATTGTCCTAACCGTTCTTGTGATGGTTCAAACGCGAGGGTCATGATGGGTCACCGCGCAGCACCGCTCGTTTAGCTGATCGCTTATTACCGCAATACCCGAGTCCCACCTCGCATGCCATTAGAAGAAGTGTCAACGGCAACTGTTTAGGGTGCAGCACGCATGCAATACCACAAATGTCAACGAACGAACCGCAACTGGAGTCTGGAAAGCGTTCATGTCAAACCAGAAGCGTTCGAGAGGAAAAAAAGGGAAATAGATTGACCCGACGACAGCGTTTCCCAGCTGATACTAGCTGCAAATCATGAGGTCGGGCAGATGACTGAGAGGTAAGATGTAAGGAAGCAAGAAGCACGCTTTCTGATGTTGGACACAATTTCTGCTAGCCAATCGCTTGTTCTCTTCTCTACTAAGCGACCTAGCACCAAGAGAACAGGAAGAGTACATGAACGACTGAGTTCTTCGCATTTTGGACATTAACGCCCTTCCCTGGCCACCCGCTGCGGAAGCATAATCATACAGCTGGATCGGCAAGATGGTCCGGCGAAACAATATGCAGAGTACAGCCATTGATGTCCTGCGGCGGCCTCTTGTAGAGGCAGTTAATCTAACCGTGGTCACGGTCAGGTCATCTGTCTGTGGTCAGGAGAGTTCATGACATAACAATCATTCATCAGAACTCACGGGTCGTTCTAGTGGATGCCAGCCATCCAATCCGAGAATACCGCTGTATCTCAGCTCATCAGAGCTCCAGAGCGTCGCGTAATGACATGAGACAGTCGTGCTTCGGTGAATGGTTCACGAACGGACGTGAGTAACCGAAGACAAGAGGATTTCTCATCAAATAATTGTAAGCAGAAGAAATTGATCTGGCTCGTCAGATGTTGGCAACGTAGATCCGAGTCGTAAGAGGCCAGTTCGCTATGCAGAGCGCTGTGAAGAGGTGGGTGCTCGACGAGCTGTGAGCAGTTCAAGCAGCGGTCACTGGCAAGCGCGTGTCGACTAGTTTGCAGTTCCAGATCCAGATCCCGATTCGCCAAATTTATTGTGGCTGGATGAGCCTGTGGCTGAAGTTCGACTGCTCGCTCACAACGAGAGGTCGCTTATTCTACCCGACGATATGTATTCGACCGGTCTCTACTCACGCTGGAATGCGTCCCCATTTCGATTTACACTCTCTCGACCGATTATTCCATCCGTTCGACCAATTATCTTCTAGGAAGAACGGTAGGAGCGGCACCTAATGTTCATGTTTGGAACGTGGAAGCCTCACTGGAACATCCAAAAAAAACTGGCAAAGGGATCATACACCATTGATGTGTGATGTAATCGAAGATGAACACGCCCTCGTCATAACGCAGTGGAGGATCTATGTGGCGCAGAGCGCAGCTTTGCGATCCTGAGCCTGAGAGATACTATTAGATTTCACGTCTACGCTTCCTGCCCTCAGGCCAATCCTCTGTTGTCGCGAAGTGCTGCCGCGTGACGTTGGTTATTCTCTCGGGCACCGGTCATGAATCCTGACCAGATAGCTCGGCGAATTCGATAACATCTCACTACCCAAGATGCCGACTGGTCGGCGAGGATGTATCTTCGGGTCTCAGGCCTCGGCTTCCAGATGTATGTGTGAAGCATATATCATACTTATGTACATCTTCTCAATACATTCACTCCTTCTCGCCAGGGTTGCTCGTGTTAGAAGCAGAGTTCTCATGGTTCAACAAGAACCAATTGATGAGCCTTGCGCTTATATACCGCACGTACACCAGGTGATTGCTTTCATCTCGCGATATTTTCAGCTGGCTCATCGTATTCAATCTTTGTGTCCTGTCATTATCTTCAGGCGCTCACGAGCTTCCCTTGCCAATGTGCGCCCAGCGTAGGCGCCGCGGCGGTGCCAGTGTCTGCTCAGGCGCATAGACCATGTCTCCTGACAGATACGCCGATCGCGAGAGATGTTGATAAGAGGACTCAATTGCTGTCAGAAAGGTAGCTGCAAAAACAATACATTGGATATCCGAGAAAGTGCTGAACGAAATACAAGAGCAGGAGAACGAGCCAAAATACGACGTATAGGTACATTGCAATCCAATCCGCTCAAATCCGACCAACTTTGCACATGGGAAGACACCATAGTGTCAGCGCGCAGCGATCCTGTTAACTTTATTGCTTCTTAGGCTTCTCATATGGCACCCAACGGGCAGGATCACCGCGCTTGGCCTCTTCAACGGCCTTGTGGCACCTCGCACACCCGTACCTTCGGACAAACCCATTTGTCCCCATCGCGACATGCCAGTCGTGCTCCATATTACCATTGCATGCAGGGATATCTCGCGTTCCGACGGGACACCGGGGCTTGGGGTTCTCACTCACCAAGTCAGATAGATGGGACGCTGTTCCTCGTGAAGCCTGACTCGTCACTACCGCGGGAGCCCTGGTGGCTCGCGTAACGTGAGGAGGTGAGGAGGTGTAGGAGAGGACGCTCTCGCGGGTGTTCGGAGGCGGACTGGGAACGACAGGGCTGTCCACGTGCATCGGAGAGCAGATGGGTTGAGCGGGAGTGGTATAGGCTGACGATGGAGCAGCGCTTCCGCTCCTTCGCCCGGGGAACACGCTCGATATCCCACGCAGCATCAGGCCAGGGAGAGGACTGAGTACGGATATCGGCGTCAGATACGTCGATGGTTTGTGAGCACCCAAGTCTGCCAAGTCTTTCGTGCCGACCGTAGACGACCCACGCACGGATTCGTATCGCGACAAACCAGATGACGCCTCGCTCTCACGCGGCAAAAACTCCTGCGTGTCGTGGAATTCGTCCTCGGAGTCATAGTCGAATGACTCGTTGTCGGAGTCTGCTGTCGTCGTCGATATCGTTTGCTCACTAAGAGTCCGCTCTTTCAGTCCAGATGCTACTCTGCCGTTCTCCGTTTGTGGCAGAGCAGCTGCAGAATATCTGTGTATCGTGTCTTGACCCGGAGCGTCAGCCGGCGTAGAGTCCAAAATGCCTTCTTCGATGCTATCCACGCGCGTAATGTCATCCGACGTGCCTTTCGATGTGGTATCCTGCGATTGCTGCGATGGGTCCGCACTCGACATCGGGCCCATCGCTGCATTCGACGACGGAGAGCAAGTCGGAGCTGCTGTAGCCCCAATGTATATCACTGGCTTCCCGCCATTTGTATGATCTATGTGCACGGCAGACAATGAGGGTCAAATTAATGCAAGCAATCATCAACTCACGGGCGCGGATCTCGTTCAGATAGCGTTCTCCAAGCCACGCAAAGGCCATCTTCTTCCTGCTATAGCCGTAATAATACCTGAGGAAAGACTAGTATGGGCTCACGGAACACGCAAGGTGAAGACAAGTGTCTTACCACGCAGAGGCCCGCAGCCTCTGTTTGTGCATATCGGAGAAGGAACCTCCTAGCAAACAGTCGCTAGATAGTACAAACCATCGGCGTAAATTCAGAACGTACCTCCGAAGTAACGATCGCGGTATTCCTGCTTCACAAGATCGGCCTGCCTGATTTCGCTGCGCTTCATCTTCTCTGTGAAGCTATCTGTTCAAATGCGTCACGCGTGTCAGGATGCATAACACATTTCGTACGCCAACGGACCCACCAGGTGATCCATTGTCCTCCGTAATCGCACGTGTCAAGTCAAGGTTGAAAGCCTGCATGATTGCAGGAGCTTCAGAGAGATGCTGCTTTAAGCTCGCACGATCTTCAGGCGAGTCGCGAAGGAGCAGCGCTTCGTCGCATTCATATGAGGTCATCACGACCTTCGGAGGAGCAGGAATGATATCACGCAGTGCATCAATAGGACTCCTGAATGGCTCGCGCTCTCGCTCGTTTCTCTCATAACGCCTCTTGACTGCGTTGAACTGAGCCTCGAGCAATGACATATTGTAACCAGATTTCATGGAATCCTGATGGTCAACAACGTATGAGAAGCAATCGATCGAGTGTCTGATGAAGGAACTCACTAGCGCCAACTCGACCAGCGGAACTAGTTCCGTAGCGAAACGAGCATTCGCGAGCTCTGGAGTAGCCTGTGCGGCCTTGTTCCATGCATTGGCCATGCTGCCCAGCAGCGTGCTGAATCTATGCTCCATGAAGGTGTCCACTGCAGCACGTGCGAACTCTGGACGATGCTGCTGGTTCTGAGTGCGTGTCACGATGGAAGCTGGGATTCGCTTGAGCGAAGGCAGCGTCTTAGTGGGAATCAAGTTTGGATCCCACGTTACGAAGTACTCGTCTCCATCCAGATCTCTAAAGCCGAGGACTAAACGGTGCAGGTTGTAGTCAGAAGAGGAATGCAGTACTCACCCCGAAGCCATAGTATCAGCTACCGAGTGCTCCGCCAGTCTGGAAAAGACTGCTGACCCAATGAGTGACTAGTGCAGATCAAATCATCATACCATACCGATGCAATTCTTCAAGTGCTTCAGAGCTTCGGGATTCACAGCACGAAATTTTCTGAGATCTGTATGATGTCATCTCACCAGCATAGCTTCTGGCAGCCGTTTCTCTTACCGCTAGGCGAATATGATGGATTCCTGGTGAGAACCGGAATCATTCAGACTTGTGAATCCTGTAGAGAAACAAGACACAAACCGTCCGACGAGCACGTCTCGCTCAAGTACTCCGGTCCGGCCGGGCAAATTCACATATACTTCGTCCGGATCCAGGATCCCAAGCTCGTCAATTACCCCGTAGACATAACAAGAATCCTGCCATCATTGAACAGGTTAGGACAAAAGGCATTGTTTGAAAATCTGGTCATACCTCGACACGTAAGTTAAGTTTATTCGAGAGGTGGTCATATTGTTGCTTCTGGAACGAACGCAGCTTCCATTCGACGTACGGCTCCTTAAGATCGTGGCAGGCGAGCAACATTGCATACACTGGGTATAAGTCATCGTCATCAATTGCGCTCGTCATAGAAGGACATCGACACGCACAATCTTGATTAAACGTAGCCGTATCTCCAGCGTTGAGTTCTCCTTTGATATACCTTAGGGCCATCTCTCGGTCATGTACGATGCTATCAATTAGGTCTAGCTGGTCCTTGAGCAACTTTTCGAAGACCTAGACCCTATGCGGTCAGTGCGGGTCTCTGAGTTCCTGGTGGAGCAAAATAATCACCGTGTATGGTATCCCTAGTGTGAGCAATAAAAGAATGAATCCCACATTGAGCCTTGCTGAACCCGGACATGTCGAGTAGTTATTGAGCTCCAGTGTGATCGGGCCACCCTTGTATTTCACCATTGACCTTCTGTAGGCAATAGAATACTTAGATGTACTGCCACGCCCATTGGCGCGACCGTGATAATGGGAACATAACTGATCAAAGGTCTCGTCGGGGTATCTGACCAAGAGGCCTTTGATGCCTCCCCGCCGAATCTGAAATGCTGACGATAGCAGTAGTATAGATCAGCTCACCGATATCGAGCAGGCGATCAAGACAGTTGATTACTTACCGGATGTGTCATAGGGGATGTTGATCTGTCTGCACAATTGTACAGCCAGGGACTCGCGAATAAGGCCACATCCGTCGGAATGTAGGGAACCATCATTAGCGCGCAAATCATCTAAAAGCAGTGCGTGATCATCCGGAATCTGTGACGAAAATTCAGTACAATGGAAAAGTTAGAATATGACCCTGACTTGCATTGACCATCGGGACAGTTGAGGAGAATGACAGCGCGAGACGTGCTGCATACTTCCCATAGCCCGATGTCTTGAACACCTCGTCAAGGTCACCAAAGCATCCACGGAGTCGATCCAGGGTCCATTTCGCATCTTCACGGAAGAATATGAGCTTCCCGCTCCTCACATGAGAATCAGTAAAGCCGAGGAAGGAATATCTGCTACAACAATTATGTGAGCAGCAGGTAAGCTTTACTCATATATGGTTCCTCACGCGGTACCGTCCACTCGATATCCATCCTTAACCCATCCCGAAAGCACGTCTTTGAAAACAGAGCCGGGTTTCCGCCAGTTCCCGCGTGGCAGGCTGAGAATCAGAAATCGCGTCGAATCATCTACGGCTCGCGTCGCTCTCGATGAAGATATCTGTTGGCGCCTCGGCGAGCTAATCTTTCCATAGTTATCAACATACACTGTCCAGACTGTGGAGTGTTCTTTCGCAAGCATCTGAAGGCAGCGCTAAGAGGTAGCATGAACAAGCTGATGGTAGAGGACAGGCTGTACTCCAAACCACTTCGAGGCGGAAGGCTTATCAAAACTTCCACATTCGGTCCACAATATAGCATGCTCTCATGAGAGCCATATTCGGTCCACAAATATATTCTCATGATCATGAGAACAGAAGCAATCGGCCCTCAGACGGAGCAATCTGGGTGACGAGTATTTATCTGAATTGGCAATGCCAAACCGTGATGGTGGGTTTGACGCTTGCAAAGTTGCCCACGCAAATGGATATTCCTCGAGCTATGGAAAGAGGTACGAAGCGCAATCCACATCCACATCCCAGCAGATGTGGCACGTTGACGTGATAGCAGCGCCGGCAAGGACATCGGGCCAGCAGCAGGACGTGCTTCTCTTCTGATTGAGAGCTTGTTCTCGCGCGGCGACATACCATGCCCCTCCTCGGCCATGGACCCTCTTACTCTTGCAGCGCTCTCGTCATTCAAATGATCAGCGTGCCATGCTGACGCTTGCGATGACCGAAGCGGACTGTCTAACTCATGTCGCTCGTGAAACGTGAAGCTGAAGCATGGCTTGCGATGATATCTGTGCGACTATTGGAACACCGAGTTATTAGTTCAGGTCTTACAGTGTATAGACCAATGAAACGTACCTGACAGACGTGCCCCGCCGTGTACGCGGCCAGTTCTCCGGGCGCGCCAATCACGCCGAATGAACCAATGCATAGACCATAGAATCCCCCTCCCTGCATAAATATGTCTGGAAGACATAGCCCAGACTCGATATCTGCGTCGTGAGCAGCAAGAACTGCACTGATTATTCTCCTCGTGTCCAATCTTTTCTCTGTACGTGTGAGCAACTCAGCCGCGATATTATGTAAGAAAGAAAGATTATTATGTTGTGACATGGATCTGACCCCGCATGAAGGAGATGTTGGAAAAGAGCCTGCGCTGCGGGTTGCTCGGGAATGGACGTTGTTGCCTAAGCGCTCGAACCAGGTCTCACGCCACCGACCCTTCGTAAGCTTAGCGCCCATACGTGAAACGCGTCTGTGGCGTATAATTACCGCGCCGTATCAGTGTCAATGCACCTAGTTTCAATTTTGCTGCTCCATAATATAAATTTATGAGCACTCTACACAACAATATCTTGTAATTGAGATAGTATGAGGCAGCCGAGTCCATACATGTTCCGGAATTCATCGGGTATACAGCACTGGCGCCACACGAGAGTACAAACCGATCTAATTCATTCTCCCTCGACGTGCCGCTCACGAGCCCCAATATCCTTTAGGACCTGTTCAGTCGTCTCCCACAACTCCCTCGCCACCTCCTGATTATTCACAGCCTGACCAGGAGTGCCCAGTTTTCCCGGGGGAACGATATACGCTCCTCGGTATTTGCGCGGCTCGGCGCGTACAATTGGCGCGGCAACGGCAAATACTGTGCTATATGCGCCCTTTCCTGGAGTCGTAAATAGGGCACGCGCGATGAACGAGTAGATGGGAGCGAGGATGGGGCCGGAAGAGTGGGCATACTGTTGGACGCCTTCTACAATTGCGACGATGAACAATGTAACGGAATCATGGTAAACGCGATGCACACCGGAATTTACAACCCCTGGGTGAACGAACATGACGATTATCGAGGATCCTTCTTCGTCCAAATGTTTTTGCAACTCCTTTACATACAAAGCGCCCATGTACTTGCTCAGACCTACAAGTTGTTGTGTTGAGCGTGTGACTTCTTGCTTGGTCGAGCATATGCACGTACAATATCGCCTATTCTCGGAGAACAGCTGGCCTTTGAATTCCATATTGAAGTCATCGACTCTGCGGAAGCGAACACCGGCAGGGGCGAGCGCATGCCCCTGTGAGGACAGCTTTTGTGGCAACGAACGTGAGCGAATGACCTGTGGGTCATAGAGTGTGAAAGGGGGGACATACGAAGACGATCCTAACGTCACTGTTAGGTTCTTGCGCAGTTCGCTTAAGAAGTGGTAACAGCGTTTGTACGAATACCGCAGGGCTCAAGTAGCTGTATCGCAAAACGTTCATCAACCCCAAGGACTGTGGCCTTCGAATTATGAAGTCCTACTTCACCATCACAATATCCTGAACTCCTGGATAACCACACCACATAAGACGGGCAGCGCACGACACTGAATGTAAGTCTGACCGACCGTCATAGGACTTGGCGTAAGGCACGAGAAGCCTAAAGTAGAGAAGTTTAACTCAGAGCGAGACTCTGTGCTGCTCGGAGGACGTTCTCACAGAGCAGCACAATTGACTGCAGGACATCAATTTGAAATGAAGAGCTCAATTAGCAACGCAGACGCGCACCTATCGCGTCCAGCCTCTCCTCTTTATCCAAGAACGCCTCAGCCGCGTTTTTCGCAAGCCTTGGATTGGCATAGTCCAACGGTAACCATATCACTTCGCCATTTCCTGGACCGAGCCCCGCTGCATGCAACCGATCAATCGCCTTGCGCGCTCGCTCTTCATTACGAGCGGCCATGTAGACTTTCGCACCATGCCTGGCGAGATGTTGAGTAGTCGCATACCCTATTCCTGCACTGCACGGGAGCGTGGTTCAGCACAAGGCTGCACGAAAGCTCAGGCGGTGACTCGCTTTCCTCCCGTGACAATGATAACTTTGCCAGTGAGATCTGGAAGCTCATCCGGTGTGAAGCCTTTGGAATAAAAGATGCCCATGGTGAGTCGGCACAGAAGGCGAAGAGAAGAGCATCGACGCCTACTAGGCCTGTGACCACGGCGGCTGTTTCAACGCAACGAAAATGGTTTCACGCTTACTGAGGAAGCAAAGCTGCAAGTCTGCAGTGACAGCACATCAAGTGCCCGTCAAAAGACTTCGGGATGATTATTCTTACACCGACTAAGTATCGGTGAAGTGATTCGGCCGGCGCTAGTACGCAGTATGCTCGCTACTACCCGGCATTGCGCGCAGGCATCAATTCCTGTAGTACATAGAGATCCCAGACATGCACGCATGAAACATCCGGACAAAACACACTCGTATAGATATCTAAGCAAGGGAGGCATGAATCACAAGAAGAGAGAAGCACAGCCTACACCCCAATATCCTTCAGCACCTTCTCGGTCAACCCCCACAGCTCCTTCGCCGTGTCCGGATCTGTAGCCTTATCGCTGAGCTTTGTGAGCTTGTTCGGCGGGCAAATGTATCCGCCGCGGTACTTTCGGGGCTCTGCGCGCACCTCGGGCCCTGCTGCGGCGAACACGGTGCTATATGCGCCGACAGTGGGCAAGGTGAAGAACCACGCGATTACCCAGGCCACAAATGCCGCGATGATGCCAGTGCCAAGGGAATTGCTCCATTTCTGCACCCCATCTGTAGCAGATGCCGATGAGAGGTCTGCTGAAAGCGATGATGAGATGCTACGTGCCTGAGTTGATGACACCAGGATGGGTGGTGAGCACGAGGATAGGCACGCCTTCCTCATTCAATCGTCGCTGCAGCTCTGTCACGTGTAGAACGACCAACAGTTTACTATAGCCTGCGAGTGACACAGCTGTTCAGAGAGGGTTGTACCTGAACACAGGACTAGCTTACAATATCGCATGAGGGCTGGCCACGGGAAGACATTTTCCTTATATTCCGGGTTGAAATCCTCGATAGTGCGGAAGTGTATCGGATGCCGAATAGCGTCGTAGCCGTCTGACGAAACCTGTGATGAGTTCGTATATCTCAGCATTTCCCATTAGTGATCACAACAGAGCAAGACATACGTCAACTATTCGGACGTCGCTGTTTGGTTCGCTCGCCGTCTTCTTGAGGATCGGTAGGAGCTCTCGCGTAAAGACGAAGTGACCAATGTAGCTGAACACAGAGTTGGTCAACTCATACGATCTCGCTTTGCACACACCACATACTTGACCATCACCACATCCTGGACACCTGAACACTGGCCACTCAATACTGGCAATAGTACTCTGTGGGAAATGACTTACCATGGTTGGTGAACTGATACGGACAGATGATGCTAGTACCACAAGGAGTGAGCCATCCACTCCTCACCGTGAGCGACGAGAGATAAGCTCACATCGCAGCACAATTGACTATATGATCGACATGCGTCACATAGAGCCCAAGCGACACAATAGACACAAAAAAACGAGCTTACTGAGGATGTCTAATCGGTCCTCCTCCGCTAAAAACTCCTGCGCAGCCTTCTTTACGATCCGCGGGTCCACCAGGTCCAGCTCGAGCTTGTCGATCCTGCCATTCCCTGGATCCAGCCCAGCGGCATGCAGCCGCCGAATGGCATCGTCCGCCCTGTCCTCGGTGCGCGCGGCGATGTAGACTTTCGCGCCGCGCCGCGCCAGGTGTTGCACGACTGCGAATCCGACGCCAGCGCTGCACGCCCCGTCAACGACAGTCCGAATTTGAAGACGAATGCCCAGGCTTACGCGCCGCCGGTGACGATGATGACCTTGCCTGTCAAATCGGGCAGGCTCGTCGGGTCGAATTTCTTGGAGAACGAGAGCCCCATTGTGTCGAGCGGGAGGAGAGGCAAGGCGCAAGGGCGGAGAGGGCAAAGTCGTACGTTGATTTAATAGAACCTCTCAGGAATTTCCCATCCTCGCTTCCTCGACGGCCATGTCACCAGTTTTGGGCCGGAAAGGCACCGAAAGAGCATGCATCAGCGGAGGTATGACGGGGATGAATTTCGCTTTGCGGAAACAAGGGACGTAGCGCGGCGCCGATGCTTGCCAAGGCACAGACTGATACTGAACCAGATGTTCGCTGAGGATGAGGACTTTGTTAATCGCGAATCGCGATCATGGCGGGGTGAATGCAAGGAGGGTCGGGCGTCTGATGTGGCCATGCACTCCGCGATATCCCATTAATAGAATTCCTGCATGGAGTGACTTCACTTCATTCCACTGAAAATCTATTATCATTATGTAGACTTGTGACTAGCAATACATGTCTGTTCCGTGAATAGTTGGGAATGCTGAAGTCGCCATCTCCGAACATAGCATGCATGGTACGACCGTCTCATTGAAACGTCACCAATCCGCGAACCCAATAATCTTTCCGTCCCATGCCCACCATATCATCTCGTCCTCCTCCTCGTCTTCATCCTCCTCATCTTGATTCTCTCGTACATTGAGCTTCACGTCAGGGTTGATCTCGCCTCCGCGACAAGAGACCCACACGCCTTCCGTCTTTACGCCCTTCCTCGCCCCAGAGCGCTTATCTTGACGCGAGCCTTCCATGCAGCGCGCCTCTTCCAAGAACGTCTGCAGCATTCCCTCAAGCGAGCGCGTCAAATTCTGCTTTGGAACCCACGCGGGATGCACAAACCTCCGCGGCGCACGCAGCAGGACATGCGCGTGTGTCGGCGCTGTTGCTGGATGTTAACGGCCCACCAACAATTTGACGGAAGGTGTACTCACCAAGCTCGCAAGACATGCCTCCTTCATCTTCAGCACATGCGTTAGCTAGCGTTCGCGAGAGAAGACGCTCAGCTGCTCGTATCTTCTTCTGGTCTTCGGTTAAAGTATTGAATTTCGCAGGTGTGGCGGGTTGGCTCTGCGAGGCAGGGTGTGAGGACAAGACTTTCAGGGGAGTCCGCCCTAGTGGCTTGCGGTTTTGCTCCTCCTCATGCAAGTCGGTCTTGATAAGAGTAGCGAGATGATTCTGTGAAGGGATTTGTGAGATCAAAGGCAGTGGTCGAAGAGGTGTCCTTTCCGGTGTCCTGTCATCGCTATCTTGGAATGGAGTGATTGCCCAAACTCGAGGTTGAGAGGGCGGTGTAAGAGGTGGTGAGGACAAAGGTAACTGCCGTAAAGGTGATGTTTGTGGCAGCATCGATTCTTGATCTCGAAAAGGGATGAACGTCCGAAAAGAAGATGCAGTAGCTGGCTCAGATAATGAAGATGGATGACAGTGAACGGTCTCTGTGGCTTCCTTGGATAACGAGGAAGGTGATGAAAGAGGTCCTGATGACAAAGCTGATGGCCATAAGGGTGTCTTCGAGGGCGGCGGCGTCGTAACTTGATCCTGGAACGGAACAAATGACTGACGCGGAGACTGGAAGGGCGAAGGAGATGGTGAAGGCGAACGAGAGGCGGGGGGGTCTGTGGCTATCTCGGACGATATGCTTCCCTCATCATCTGTTGCATCGGCGTTGTCTTCTTCGCTACTGCCCTCGTCATCAAAGTATGTCCCTGTTCTGCTATTGCGGACATCGCGCGTCAGCCTGCCGTCCTTCGACTGATCTTGATCAAGCCTGTCCGGACTCTCATTGTCAGTAGTCGCCACACTGTCCAGCCCGCTCGTCGTCTCATCCTTCTGCCTCATTACCTTAACATCCAGTCCATCCACTACGAGAACCACCTTTGCCCGTGCAGCTCCTACACTCGGACCCAAGACGAATGCAAGGTATGCGGATCCGGCCTTCGATGGACTCTCATTCTCGGATCGTTTCCCCTTCCGTTGTGACATTGCACTAGAAAGGGCTGAGAAGGTCGTGCGGAGATGTGACGATAGCGTGTCAAATGCTGCCAGCAATTCTGCTCGCTTCTTTGCTGTGCGCGGATCGCTGCTACCACCTGGCATACGTGCCAGCTGTACAACAGGGCTAGAGCGTGTTCATGAAGCGATATTCTCTGCGAACGTGAAACGGACGACTCACAATGGGATCTGAGATTTGAGGAACAAGACGTGCCCTAACAAAGACGTCGCAAGGCTAGCCGCCATGGCGAAAGGTATATTATTCTCTTCAAGGACGACGTGGGGTATTGTCAGGCGTGCACCTTGACCCTGCGCTTGAAAAGTGTTTTCATTGTCATCTTGGGTTTCCTCCGGAAAGCGTACCGGAGAGAGTGCTCTGCTCCCAGCGGGTCTCTCTGGAGACATGGACGGTGGCGGGGGTGCAGAAGGGGCCAGAATCATTTCGTCGAGGTCTTCCAGGTGAATATCGGATCCGGCGATGAAGCCAATTGCTGGTCAAAAGAAAAGATCGAAAAGGTGATACAGATGGAGACCTCTAGCCGGATAGAATTGATATTGAACGCGAGACGTTGAATCGCGCGTGGGTCCGGCGCCTCCGCGTCGACACGCGTGTGCAACTTGTCACGTGCATGGAAAAATGAGGGCTTAGGGCAGGGCGTCTCGCGTCGATATAAATTGTTGCTTCCTTTTCTTTTATTCCACATCCTCTCTTTCTTCATCCGCCAGCAAATGGTAATGCTATGATCGTTCGTTCACTCCATTCAGCTTCTGCTGAGCGTGTCCTACTGTCGCCCGCCACGCCTGGCCGGCCGTATCTCGATATCCATGATCGGTAAGCCGTCGACCACATTTTCCCACTCGCCTTTGCCTGGGGACACGGCGCTCAATGCCTTCGTCTCCTTACTCGCGATATGGAAGACGAATCATGCTCGGTCCACGCTTGGCTGTCCTGTGCTATCCAGTACTCCGTGGATAGTCGAGTACTAAATCGATGCGCACACACATTCCCGTAGATAATCGTTTGTAAGTCGAGTATTTGGCTGGAATATACATCACTTTCATTCATGCAGATCTCATCGACGTCAAGCCTATCTTTTTATTGTATGTATGCCATCGCTTAGCAGCCGCCTCGTTGCCATCCGGTAGTGGCAACAATTGTGACCACTACGGTTCAGTGCCACAGGCTTTCACCGGCGTAGCACATGTGATGCGGTTAGAATGGCTTCTAGTGCATGTCGGTCAAAACGTGTTCCGAGGTAAAGTGGATTATACTCCGCGGTTCTATTTATCCCGGACCGAAGAGAACGATCAGGTGTTGGATAGGAAATAATGCGAGTTGGCGACTCCGTGGCCACTGATCTTTTGGTACCGCGTGTGGCTAGCCTCTGAGGAGTATAAAAGTACGTCCTCCGGACTGCTCGTGCGTCTCAAGTCACCCACCTGCCCGGTTTCCTCAACCTCTTCAAATGGTAGGTCGGCTAATATCGAGTGGCTATTGTCAGGCGTCTCAACATTCTCATGCAGGAGGACCTGGATGTATCAAGAGAACGAGCGTTCATCGCTGCAAACTTCGTCCACCACGTCTTTCTATGGTCGCAAATGTCAATATCGGACTTTGACCCGTGCCTGTTTCGGTTCATCTGGACGCTTCAGCGACGCTCGGCCGCTCATCCATCCGTTACATTCCGTGCTCTGTACTACCTTCAAAATCTCAAACACTACAATCCCACTATGGTGGTTACGAGCGGCGAATCGCTCTTCCTCTGCGCTCTGGGGCTCGCAGGAAAATCTTCCAGGGACCACACCCTCATCAAGCTGGGAGAGTTGCAGGCTGTCGCATTCGCGATGTCCCTGGATGAAGTGATCGATATCATGGAGTACGACGTGTTCAATGCGCTCGAATGCGGACTCGACGTGGACGCCGGGGCCCTGGCCGACTTCGAAGCACGAGTGCGGCGAGATTTCAGCAGTGCGAATGGACTAACGTGCTTTGACGCCCCGAATCATGCCATACCTGTCCGGCACCGTACGGAGATATGCCGTTCAGAGATCTCCACCGTCCCCTTTCCTTCACTGGCGATGGAACAAAAAATCAACCGCGCATCGGCTTCGACAACCCAGCGCTGCTTGTGCGAGTACTGCCGAACTCCTGCCGTTACTTCAAATCAATGAAAAACGTGCCCCCTTGGGCCGCATATGCGATTTTTGTATCACGCTCCTGAATCGCAGGTTTTGTAATCATTGATTTCTCACATTTCACATGGTGTATAGTAGTCCATCGCACGTCTTCCGCTCCAAATGTTACATGCTATCGTTCGCCTCGCTCTTAATTTCTAACATTGGGCCTCCCGCCATTGGCATGATGAGCTTGATGGAGGCCTGCGTATCTCAATCATTCAAGAGAGAACGCATGAGAGGATATAATTTTCTGTCACGGTACGAGCAAAGCTTACACGGTAGACGCCATGAGTGACGCGACCGAAATCATACCCCGTCACTTTCGCCAAACGCGTCCACATGCCCGACGAGGACAAAGGGAAGCCACAGCTATCACGCTGCTCCCGACGCGCGGTCATCCAACTGCCCATCCACCAGCTGCTGCAGTCGCGATGTGTCAGCGGACAAGGCAAGCGGTGGCGAGAAATGTTGATGCAGCGACGCGCCATGGAACGCTCGCTATGATACTCTCGTCATATGAGTCGGCGCTCTCGCCCTCGGCATCCTGCAGTCACATCTTGTTTTGAGTGCTTCATCATCTTCTGCACGTTCATCCTTGGGCTCGACAGCAAATAGGTACACTCAAGGTCATGTATCGCTGAAAGCTTGTATATGAAATGTTCGGATTCGCATCTGCTATCCATGCCTCATCTCCGGAACTTGTGCTGTGCTTAACTTCATGCGCGCGTTATCGGAATGTGAACCCAAGACCTAGTTGGAATCGTCCCGTGAGGTATATTGGTCTTGTGTGCATCCGGTCTCTACATCAATGTCACATTCTGCTTCCATTACACGCGCAAGAGTGACTTCTGCTATTCCGGCATCGTTGATATCTCGTATCGAGTCTGCGGTGGTGAAATCTCTCTATTGCTTACAAAGTACATTTCCGTTGATCTCTCACAGCCTGGCACTCACTGTGACGGCACGCTGTGCCTACAGGATCAGGCGGACTACTGAAAAGTCTGATTTGCATTGGCAGCGTAGAAGAACGAACTCGAATGGCAAGACATAGGTACAGATAAAACGAAGCGAGCGAAAGTGACGTGGAATTATATCTGTCGCGCGGTAATTACATCAGGCACTTGAGAGTACACAAACTGGCATAGAAATCGCCGGACGTTCGAGAATCTATCACCGATGCGGTGCAAGCATCACAAGGATTTTGTGCGGGGATCACGATGATTGTGGACAACAGTGGAACTGTGATTGTCGACAAATAGGACACGGGGTACCATAGTGACCATGGCAATGACGTGCCATATCCAGCATCACGGTGACGGCGTGACGAAAGCGGACAAGGCTAGATGAGAGTACGATGCTCGCGCTGAAGTCTGGATGATTTATCGATGGGACGGGACTTAGGCGAGCATTTGGGAGAGGGGCTGGTCATGGGAGCCGCACGTCCTGGATAATCTGGAGAGGAAAGTGAAGGCGAGTTGGCATGAGTGCAAAGGCAGTGATTGCCTATGTGGCGCCTTGCTCGGTTGGACGAGGTTGCTTATTGGCCAATTGTTTGGCCTTCAATGCCCTCTCAGCATCACTTGGAAATCGGCATAAGTTATAATCAATACTGAATCCATGTGAGTTCAGTTAGGCTTGCAAGGATGAGGACGACGCACCTCAACATGTTCTTGCCGTTCAGTTTAGGAAAGCGAGCACAGATCTCTGTGCAGAAGTTAACGCGCTGTGAGTCGTCCAACTCAGTGGAGTCTGAACGGAAAGCTATCGATACGCCTCGCAGCTTAGCGAAATGTCCCTCAGCCAAAAGCTCGTCAGTCTGATAGCAGGCTTCTTGGTCAAATGCATTAAGCAGGGCATCTGTTTCCCATTTTGAATTGCTTTCTATGATGAAATAGATGTCTTTGAGATATTTTGATGATATTGTCTCGAGCCGAGGCTGCAGCACACTCCGGACAAACAGTGCAAGGTCATTCAATTCTGAAGTGTTGATGCCCAGTCCAAGTTCTTGAAGATTGACATTTGCTTCAAGGCTGATAGGGTGTACTGAAAAGGTATGAGCCATGCTGTGCACGGAACACTATTTGATTGAATGCTCACAGGGCAAGGACTGGAAACTGCCACCAGCATCTTCCTCTGGTGCACTGAAAGTGATTCTTGCCTTCTCGAGTCTCGTTCCGGACATGTTCAACATGTCTTGGGTAAAAGCAAGAGCCGCTGCAGAGACTTGTGGATTTAGGTAGAGTTCTGTAAGGATAGCTTGATTTAGCAGACTGAGAAGAACACGTCCAACGTCTTCGAAGCACGACAGGTCATATAGAAGGGAAGTGACTTTGTCAAAGGCATGAGGCGACGTTCAGGCAGTGGAGCCATGGTCCTCGATTTGCTCCAATGCAGATCCCCGCAAATAAGGCTCTGCAGACGAGGAAATGAACAGATGACCTGAATGAAGGGGCTCGCCGACGGCAACGTCACATGCACTAGTGACAATGTAGTGATATGTTTGAGTTCGTGCAAATTCCAGAACGCTAAATGGCGCATAGAGCAATGGTCGAAGCTGACATCGAAGAAGCTGAGCGAGGCCAGCTTTGGAAGTTTCCCTGCTAGCATCATGAGAATCGATGCCAAGTCTGGGCATGTCATGATGGTCTCCTCGGCATCTAGAGACTCAGTTCCGATCACTAAGTGTCGCACACGGTCAGCGAGGAGAGGCATCTGCTGCAGTGACCTCACATAGACGACCGCAGTTCTCCGAGTGTGGAGCTCGGGTATCTCAAAAAAGACTGCGCGGCTGTCGGCGTACCACCCTCGGCAAACGAGAGCGCGTTTCAACACAGTTTGTCTTTCATCTTCATGATCAATTGGACGGAGATGGTCGATGATGCGCTCGCAGATCTCGGGTGAAAGGCGAGGCTGAGGGTCATTGGTCATCGAAGCTGCATTAGCGTCAACTGGAGTGGCCATGGACGGCTTGTGTTGTTGTATGAGCAAGTGTCCAAGAACATTGTTACGTAGCTGCTCACAAGTGATTCCAATGCGCACGAGATGCGGCCTGTCGTAATGGAGGATGACAACGATGCAGACAATGCCGATGAGATAAGAGTGGGGTGGACGGCCCTGCAGTGATGTGGAACGTTTCATATAAGAACCATAACATTCATCTTAGTCCGACACGGTCTGCTAAGACGCTCACACAGCCTCTGCTTGCGGCGCTTACATCGTCGCATATCTCCATGGTGCAACGATAGAGGCTATGGCGCTGTCCTAGCCGCATTAGACATATTTGAGCTCCTATATTCTATTTGTCACCTGGGACGTACAACACAGCACACCGATGTGACTGCATTCACTCTTCTCGAATGCCGCTTGTCAATGTTGCTCTGCGCATGCGCTGACCGTGACGAATGTGTTTCTTTTGTGCTACTGATTTTGAATCATCGCATGTGGGTCGCCTCCTCTGGAGTCACTGCCCTTCGCCTTCTCAGCTACGTTCTGGCGCGCAATATCCATAGTATTCGCGACATGCATTTGCAGGGTGCAATGGTACGAGTAGCGCGTCCAGGCTATCCTTCCAGTGAATGGAGAGTTGTCGTGTTGAAATCGGCAGTAGCCGTCGCAGGCACTGCGCACAGCATCACCTGTTCGTGAACACGGAGCTTTCAGCACACATGTACAGCTATCTCGAACAGCCATGCTGCTCAGCCTGACTTCTCATCTTACGTTGTCTCGAGTCTCCCAACAGCACTTAGTTACGGTGCAATTGATCCCTGCAGCTATGACGCCGATCAAGCACTGCCTCGAGGCCGTGACACGCCCAACAGCCATTGTATATCCACAGGATCATCAGAGTCTGACGTAGCATTGTTGGTACCAGGTCAAGAATGAGAGCCTATCTGAGCCGCATGTAGTGGCGCAGGCAAAAGACGAGGGAGGCGCCGCCCACTTTGATGCTCACATAGAGTATCAAACGCAATCACTGATGCAGAGGCGCAAGCACCGCCCCTCACAGCACCTGGTAATAACAGCTCGAATCGAGACGCACCGAGTACAATGCGGTGGAATCTAGTCTTCGGTTGTCTGCAGAAAATTCCCGACTCGTTTCCACGCTGCTGCACGCCGATGAACCGACGTTTACTAGCGTTGATCGTGCAAGATGATGTGGCTACCGCAGCTGTGTATCAGTTCCGCGATCGGTGACGCAGGACACTCGTCTTGTATCTTTCAAGTAGTGTAGAAAGAGTGCAGGACGAGTCCGTAGGTCGTGGACCGTGCAGGACCGCTCTTCTCGTGCGCAAGACAAGAGCTCCAGAGGAAATGCATGAAACAGGGGACCGGTATCCGTCGTCGCCGTCCTCAGAAATATCGATAAGAGACCTAGAAGACCTTGAGCAGGCTTAGAGCGCATTTCAACCGCTATGTTCGTTGAGAGAAATTGACGAGTTCGATAAAGACAGGGATGGAGGGAAAATCCGACGCAAGCCCAATATTTCTTCAACAGTCCCTCTACGAGGTGTAGAACAACGAGCAGGTTGCAGGGAAAGAAGAAGTGGTTGGGTGTGGTGGGGGTCGCACAAATGGCCGCGGACGGTTTACAGCGCCACCGCAGGCCACCGCTCACTTTACAATGATTGATGGACTAGAGCATTATCCTTGCTAATGATGAAGAAACAGATCTACGTGAGACGGAAGAAAAAGGAAACGCGACAATATACGTCGACGCGAGACGCCCTGCCCTAAGCCTGCATTTTCCGTGCACGTGACAAGTTGCGCAACGCGTGTCGACGCGACCGCATCGCGTCCATGTCCCGCGTCCTTAGCTTTACCGTGCCCTTTGCCAACCATTATACGTTCCGGAGCTGCCTGCAATATGGACAAAAACAGGTAAGCTACGCTATTTATAGTTGCTCCTATGTATCGTTTCCGAAGATATAGTTCGGGCTTCCATTTCATCAACTGCAGGCTTCTGAATTCTGAAGTTCTGCGGCAGCCCTCACAATGCGGACCTATCCGATTTCCGTCACCTTTTCGTATCGCTATTCTTTCAGTACGACGCTGTCTCTACCTATGGACCTACCGATGCATTTAAAGGTGTCCTGTACGGTACGCGATGGGGTGTGGAAGTAACTTTGCAGGGGGGACAAGGTCTACTAATGTCCCTTCGCATCATGACCTGCAGTCGGGTCTATAGGGCCTGCGGACAAGTGAATACGGCATCCGTGTCTCGTAGCCAATAAACTTTCTCCACTTTCAATTTCGTCATTTTAGGTATACTGCAGCCGACAAGGCGAGCACTAGGGATATTTCTGGCCTACATTCCATACCTCTTATAGTACATCCGAGAGTGTTTCATCCACCTCCTCCAGCTATTCATGTCGAATGTCCGCAGTAGCTCATGCTATTCATCCAATCGTTTCCCCGAGGCTATTTGCGAAGCCATCCATTCTCTTCTTGACTCACCACATCTTTTGGCAAGGAGCTTGCAGGTGAAAATGGAAGGATTCCCAGTCGAGTTACACATGCTAATTACGAAGCATCCATCTGAATGAACACAGGCATTCTATCGTTAGAGGACAAGCATCCTCATCGGCAGTATCCAATCTCCTCCAGTCATCGCAACGGCACTACAGCCTCGTCACCGACCACGCCATCTTCCAAGCCTTCGCTCCAGGTGTGATGTTTAGATTGCCCCTGTCCCACTCCTTCAAGACCGCCTTGACTTCCACAGTTCCCTTCTCGAACACCTGGCCGTCCCATATCTCCTTCCAGCTGTCGGGTGAGTGGCAGAACATAGAGGCGCGCATCGCGTTCGGCCTAAGCTGCTCCGTTCTGTACCCTTTCTCCGGGAGAGAACCGTGCTCGCCAAATATCATGGATCCGGGAGCGGGGGAAAGGAGACCTGCGACGGATCGTGCGAGCTGGAGCTGCTGCGCCTCGTCGAAGAGGTGAAAGAATGAAGATGCGTGTATGGCGGAGACGTGACCGAGGAGAGGAGTAAGTGTGGTCAGAGAGGAGAGCGCAGGCACTGGCGTCTCCGGAGGTGAGTAGAGAGGCGGCACCGGTTTGAGGAAGGAGGTGTTGAATGCGTCGCCTGGAATGAAAGGCACCGGGAACGTTTCGGGGGTGTCTCTGAAGAGACGGTGACCCAACTCCCAGAACTCTGTCGTTGTGCGTAGGTGTTATGTGAGCAGCGTGTTCTAGCCAGGAGTGGAGAATGGTAAGCGTACCGGGTTGTAAATCAGAGGCTATGGCATTCTGGACGGGATAACCATCTGCGGCGGCTTTCCTTACGTCGTTCCCAACTACGTCCACGATGAGAGCTCATCTATCAAATGCGGAGAGGTCGCTCACAGCAGCAACCGATATCGAGAAAAATGGCTCCTTTCCTCTCCTTTCCCAGCTTCAGGAGCTGATCATAGGCGGGCAATCGGGAGATCTTGAGCCTTATTATCATCCCATATGGTCAGGCCGCATCCCTCATGACAGGTACATCAACAAAGCGTACTTTGTGAAAGCGAAACGTCGAATGCACGGATACGGATGAATCTGCGGCACACAGGAGCAATATTAGCAAAGGTGATCAACATTTCGCACAACGTTTGTACATACCTCGAACGCATCCTCCTGTACCTTCATTATGTGTTGTTTGAGTTCTTCCTCATCCTGTATGCCGGTCTGACTCTTGAAGAACGCAAGCTCGTCCTCCTCTAGATCGTAATAACGCTCATCGAGAGACTGCTTGCGGAAGAAATCCAAGTCTTCGGGAGTTATGTTTGCCATGCCCGAAACTGTTGTTGCAGCTGTGCCGTCGCTTGTAGTCTGCATTCCAACTGGTCTCTCTTTGCCGTTATATAGAATCAGAGAACGGTCCGTACGCGTCCACAATGCCGAGCGGCACGTCATCTTTGGTGACGCAAATTAGACCGCTCCCGCCGAAGAGTCACAATCCCGAACCGGCTTCCCTCGGCATCCACTTTTCGCCGTCATGCATCATGCATCAAATAAGTGTGGCTGTAGAACAAGTGTGGTTGCAAGCAATTGGCACACGTACATGCGTATGGTACCCCTGCCATAGACCGCGGTAGACCGCAGCTGCGTTCTTTCGGAAGATTTGTCCAACAGATGCATTAGACCGCAGTGCATCCAGCACAGCCGGTATAAAAGAGCGACAGCTATGGGACGTGCAATAGCCTCAGCTACGGATACCGGGATTGCAAGGAGTGGTGGATAGTACAGCGATGGGGTACTTTTATGTGATCTATTGTGTGTGTGAAGAGAGCGACAGCGGCCGTTGACACAAGGTCTATGGCGAGGGGAGGGGTGAGAGCGGACGGAGGTCAGACTGACTGATCGTGGTGAGTGCCAGCAGGTCACAGGCTACCGTGCTATTTATATTTACCTATGTAGCATCTCCGAAGATATAGTTCAGGCTTCCATTTCATCAATTGCAGGCTTCTGAAGTTCAGCCGCAGCTCTCACAATGGGGACCTATCCGAGTTTCCGTTGTCTTTTTATATCGCTATTCTCTCAGTACGACTCTGTAGGCTCCACCTGTGAGACTTAGCGATTGATTTAAAAATTACCAAATATTAACGGTACGCGACGGCTCGCATACGGGATGTATGAATTCGCTCTCTGAAAACTCCTCAAGACACGCGAGACCCCCAACTTCGTTTAGTGTGGAAGCAATTCCGCAGTGGAGCGAGCTCTGCTAACGTTCTTTCGCATCACGACCTGCAGTCGGGGCCTGGATCTATAGAATGTGCGGACAAGTGAAGATGGCATGCATCCCGCGGCGTATAAATCTCGGCTTTCAATTTCGACTTTTAAGGTATACTGCAGCCGACAAGACGAGCACCACAGATATTTCTGGCCTACATTCCATGCTTCTTTTGCATCCGAGAACGTTTCGTCTACGTCCTCCAGCCTCTATTTATATCACCGTGCACTCGACACTTCCGTCATAGTGCAAGGTGCCAAAAAATGCATCATCAATGTCCGCAGCAGCTCATGCTTTCTATTCAGTCGATCACCGCGGCTACTTGTGAGTTTTTCCCCTTTCTTCTCAATTCGCCTCACCTTTACGCAAGAAGCCTAGCGAGACCATATGGAAGGATTCCTGGTCGAGCTACGTATGCTAATCTTATGGACCAAAAAGTTGTACGATGTATCAATTGGAGACATTCTATCGACAGAGGACAAGCATCCTCATCGTTACTATCCAATCTCCTCCGGTCATCACAACGGCACTACAGCCTCGTCACCGACCACGCCATCTTCCAGGACTTCTCTCCAGGCTCATTGTTCAAATCATTATACCTGTTCCTTTCCTTCAAGACCGCCTTGACTTCCACAGTCCCCTTTTCGAACACCTGGCCATCCCATATCTCCTTCCAGCTGTCGGGCGAGTGGCAGAACATATAGGGGCCCTGGGCATTCGGGCGGAGCTGCTCCGTTCTGTATCCTTTCTCCGGGCGAGAAACGTGCTCGCCAAAGATCATGGACCCGGGAGCAGGGGAAAGGAGCCCCGCGACGGATCGTGCGAGCTGGAGCTGTTGCGCCTCATCGAAGAGGTGGAAGAATGAAGATGCGTGTATGGCGGAGACGTGGCCGAGGAGGGGCGTAAGTGTGGTCAGAGAGGAGAGCGGCGGGACTGGCGTCTCCGGAGGGGAGCAGAAGGGCGGCACTGGTTTGAGGAAGGAGGTGTTGAATGCGTCGCCTGGAACGAAAGGCACGGGGAAGGCTTCGGGGGTGTCCCTGAAGAGACGGCGACCCAACTCCCAAAATTCTGACGTTGTGGGCAGGCGTTGTGTGAGCAGCGCATTCTAGCCAGTACGCGAGAATGGTAAATGTACCGGGTTGCAAATCAGAGGCTATGGCATTCTGGGCGGGATAGCCATCCGCGACCGCTTTCCTTACATCGTTCCCGACTGTCTCCACGGTGAGAGCTCATCTATAAAGTGCAGAAGGACCACTCACAGCAGCAACCGATATCAAGGAAGATGGCTCCTTTCCTCTCCTTTCCCAGCTTCAGGAGCTGATCATAGGCGGGCAATCGGGAGATCTTGAGCCTTATTATCATCCCATACGGTCAGGCCGCATCCCTCATGACAGGTACATCAACAAAGCGTACTTTGTGAAAGCGAAACGTCGAATGCACGGATACGGATAAATCTGCGGCACACAGGAGCAATATCAGCAAAGGTGATCAACGTTTCGCACAATGTTTGTACATACCTCGAACGCATCCTCTTGTACCTTCATGATGTGTTGTTTGAGTTCTTCCTCGTCCTGTATACCCGTCTGACTCTTGAAGAACGCAAGCTCGTCCGCCTCCAGATCATAATAACGCTCATCGAGAGACTGCTTGCGGAAAAAATCCAGGTCCTCGGGAGTTATGTTTGCCATGCCCGAACTTACTATTGCTGCAGCTGCGGCGTCGCTTGTAGTAGTCTGCATTCCAACTCGTCTCTCTCCTGGCCGTTATATAGAAACACAGAGGGGTCCACGCACGACCACGATGCCGAGCGGCACGTCATCTTTGGTGACGCAAATTGGGCCGCTCAGTCGCGATCCCGAACCGGCTTCCCTCGGCATCCACTTCTCGCCGTCATGCCATCAAATAAGTGTGGCTGTAGAACAAGTGTGGCTGTAAGCAATTGGCCCACGTACTTGTTCTTCGCGCATGCGCGTGGTACCTGTGGTAGACCGCAACTAATATTCATCCCACGTCCAGAAGATCTGTCTGACAAATGTATTGGGCCGCAGTGCATCCAGCGCTGCCGGTACAAAAGAGCGACATCTACAGGATGCGGAATAACCTCAGCTACGGATACAGGGATTGCAAGGGTGGTTGATACAGCGACGGAATATGATTACATTCTATTTTGTGTGTAAAGAAGGTGGCAGCGGCCGTTGACACCAGGTCTTCGGCGAGGGGAGGGGTGAGAGCGGGCGGAGATCAGATTGACTAATCATCACGGGTGAGTGATACTCAGAGAACGTTGTACAGGATCCCAAGGGAACATGCGAGCCAGATACCCGTCCCGCCGAGGTCTCGGATCGCCCCGCTGCTCTTTTGCACCGAGACGTTCTGACGAGTATGACTCTGGATCCGCATTTGGCACTGTCAGCAAGGATGATCGCATATAGTTTGGTGTGCCACCTACGGTGCTGATTGACGCTGTGGTGTCTGCCACGCCGGTGACAGCATCATCAGATGCCGCCGTGACAGACGTGGTTGCGGACACCTGATCGAGTACAATTGTACCTGATACGTCAGGAATGAAGGAGGGAACAGTGTACGTCGCGGCAAGTTGCGTAGATGGTACCGACGCGGACGAGGATACCTCGTCCAGGACGAAGTGCATCGGACGGAAGTCGGGTGCAGCATGAACTACCAGCAGCTTCGTCAATTCCATGATCGACAAGAGAACATGAAGAAGACGCACCGTGAGAAGACATGCTTATCAAAAGAGTGGCCACCCCGAGCGCGGAGATCACAGAAGCGCGGTATAACAGGAAGAACATCACGCAAAATGTACTGAAGACCTTGAGCAAGGAAAGGAAAGGAGGCGTGGACTTGAACGAAGAGCGGGCGCGAAGGACGACAAGGGTACGATATATGTCCTTCAGCGAGTACGGCCTGGAGACGAGCGCGCGGTAATGCGATGCTGCGAAGCACACATACGGCAGCGCAACGAGAGAGAGCGCAGCATGCCATACTTATAGTGGTAGTGCCAAACGCAGTACGAGGACAAACGGAGGAAGAAGTAGCCTTGTACTGAAATATATTGTGCGCCGGGCAGCGTGTACGCGAGACCAATAAGTTCTGCCAGCGTGTGTCGGATGCCGAGCTGCAAAGTCATTGCTTCTACGAGTGTAGCGCGCCCAGGAAGATCGGACTGGTTGCTGGCGAATGATATTCCTAGCTCGTTGCGCATGCTGACCTTTGTATTTTCTCTATTTTGGGTAATGTGTTTTACGATTGGAGTTGACGTCGCCTGCGACTCAGTTGCCATGTTGCCTTTTTAGAGAACAATGTTGAGCTGTTCACGTTCGGTGACGAGCCGCCATTTCCACAATGAGGGATGTGAGTATGCACGACCTCCAGTATACCGTAAATTGTTCAGAGCTTGAAGCAGGAGATTCGTGCGCAGAGCTATTCGTGCCGAATGGAAGCGATGCACTCGACAGGATAGACGAACACGACCTGTTAAGGGCGTTCATCTCAACGATGCCTGAAAAGGTAGGCTGCTCTCACCATCACGCACAAGCTAGACTTCTGTCCTAGGGTTAAGTCTAAGCAAGAAAGATGCATTCCATTCCGAACGAAGAGTGTGTATGTCACAGAAAGTATTGATACAGCATGTACAAAATGATACTGGAGTGTCTGGAAGGGGGTATACATGAGAATGGTAAGCAAATAAGTCTAATGAGTGTGGAAGAATGTCAGGGAAACAATGAAGTTGTCAAATAGAGAGTTTCATGGTGTACTGAGAGGTGCGCCGGTACAACGGTATCAATCGGAAGGACCAGCATGAGCAGAGCTGCTAATAACCTATTAGCTCCACGTCTTATAGGCTATGCATATATTACTCACCATCGCATCACAGCAGATACCCTTGCCACCGGCTGAGCATCTTCGTCAGCTCAACGTCGCCCCAGCACTCATGGTTATTCAAATGACGCACAAGCGCATCCCGACGACTAAACGTGCGCATGCACCCTCCAACCATCTCGCGACCGCGATACTCATACGCCTTCAAGCCGCCCTCCTTCCAACCGTGACGGTCCCGCGCGACCGCGATGGGCAGCCCGCAGCACACCCAGGTCTTCTTGCCCCAGCGCGCATCGTGCGTCTGCATGTGGCGTTTCAGGTCCGGCGCGCGTCCGCTCGCGGGGACGTAACCGCAGCCATGGGCGGGGCAGCCGCGCGAAGGCTTGCGCAGTGCAAAGTAGAACGCTTCTTCGGGGATGTCGACTTGGGAGTTCCGCGGATTGGACTCGGGGATGGCTGGGCGCGTGTGGGCGGCCGGGGCTAATGAGGGCCCTGCAGAACCCAGGTGGCCTTTAGGTGACTTGGAACGACGGGGCCGGGAGTAGGGGGAATAGCGCCGATTTTTGGAGCGGCTAGATGTTGGGATGTCCTCGTTATCGCCTCTGGAACTATCATTTTGATCTCCATGGAAATGAGACGCGATGTTGTGGTCAGTCACAGGAGATCCGGCCAGTTTGATTTGGATAAGCGTGGAGGATAGTTCTTCAACCGTATCTGCGGGGCCTTCTGATCCACCAGGTGAGCTTGCAACAGGAGAAGCCGCAGGTGTGGGTGCCTGCCACGAAGGATTGTAGGGGACCACCGGGGAGAGTGATAGCGCAGCGGGGGAGATCGTTGGAGTACCTTGGGCTGGGAATGACATCGACATGGGAGAGGCTAAGGAGAGAGGAGAGTCTGTCACCAACGGCGAAGGCGCGTATAACATATCGAATGGCGAGCTAGTAAAAGGTAAAATGTTAAATTGGACGAGCCACCCTGAGTCTGAAGAACAGACATACGGAGCGCTTGGGCATGGCTGCCAAAGGAGATCCCAGTTGAAGTCCGAGTCGATACTTGAAGGAGGGTTGAAGTGATCCGAGGAAGAGGTGGCCTGCATGTATGTTGCTTGGGCATATGTACCACTTTCCTGAGTCGGTGAACCTTCGGCAAGAGGGAAACAGTCGGCGAGTCCGTCATTGGGGATCCAGGAATCAAGGAAGGTCGGATAGAACTCGTCGCACGCGGCGAAGAACGAGCTCATATCATCACAAGCGACAAGGGCAGCAGCTGCCACACTGGGTTCGGCGCAGAGCGGGGAGGAGTTCATGGCGGATGGTGTGGCTGAATGTGCCGAGGAAAGTTGCGCTGTAGGACGGGGATCATGGCGGGAAACGAGGAGCCTTTTATACACCGAGGGGAGACGCAGTGCAGCAGCAGAAAGTGGAAGGTCAAAGCCCGGTCCAAGCCCTCAATTCGTGGGAGACTCAATCCGATGTCCAAGCACCTCTCTTCACGGTGCACGTGAGGCCGACAATACACGTGTTGGGGCCGTTGCCGGGCACAGCGGACAGCCTCTCGCGTCCTCCCTGCGATTGTACATGGCTAGTAGTTCTGCGACGATGTAAGTACACGACATGACTTTACGACGGAAGACTCGACGAGAGACAGTCGAAAGCTGCCAACACGGGAACCCGAGTCACGGGACCGCGTATACCGTGTGGCGCCTCGCGACGCGCGACGCGTTCAGACATGGGTGAGCGCCCTTAAGCGGGAGGGGAAGTGTAGATGCAAGCCACTCGCTATCATGTTTTATAGCTTCGAGAGTACTAGTGCCACTCACATCTTCCACTTTGCAAACGAACCGAGTGGCGTTTACGCATAGCCGCCCGTCCTAGCGTGCTGTACCCGTTGCAGCAATGGGGGCTAATCCTAAGCTCCTCACATCCTGCAGTATTATATGCGTTACTTATGCAGATACGAAAAGCTCTGCATGTTCCAGTTCAACTTCACAAGCGGGGCGACTCACCATATGCTGCCACGCCGCCAGATGCTTACATAAGCAGACCGCAGTCCACGCCCTCCTTTGGTCGCACTTGGAATGCTCGCATATCTCCTGACCGTTAACATGGAACCCTCGCAGGTCGCTTTGTTTCCGCATTTCTTCTCCCTTGCGCACTAGACTGAATTGCGTTTATGACTCGTCTCAAATAAGGTATCTCTAGTGACCAATGAGTGCCGATTAGATAACCGCGCATACACGTCGGCCCCCCTGTATCTTCACCGTCACAACATGATTTCGTTCCTCGACCCTGCATCTTCGATTAGCAGCTGAATCTGCTGTTTCCAACGCAATGTCGCGGGCGGCGGCACCTGCGCTGCTCGGGATCACCAGAATTGCTAGCTTTCTCACCTGTTTGCTGGTCGCCTTGGCTTCCGGCACAAACTATGTATGTTCGACGAGTTTTCTGACCACTTCTTCCTCTGATGGTATCGCCATCCCGTTGGAAATGGCTAGGTATTCTCCGGTGAGTCTATCAATGCAAGCAATGTGGATTGATCAGAGGTTGAATATGGTTATGACGTTGCAGCGTACGGCCCTCAGCTTGGCGCCCGCCTTGGCCTCTCACATATACAATTGAATATCATCGGTTTGTCTGGAAATAGTGAGTTCTATTCATTCATGGAAGCAAATCGCTTCGTTGATCCATGGTAGTCGGTGTGTATGGATCGGCACCTATATGGGGCAGGATTGCGGACACTCGTGGGCCACGTAGTCTGCTCGTCATGGCGTTCTTTGCGCTAGCGATAGGCTATACGGGGATTCGCTACTTCTTCGACAAGGGTCTGCCGGAGAACTCGTCGAGCCTCAGCCTTTTCGGCATCTGTATGCTCGTCTTCTTCGGGTTCCTAACAGGCCTCGGCGGAAATGGCGGACTGGTAACCGCGATGAACGCGACCGCAAAGAGCTGGCCTGACCGCGCTGTAAGTGCTTTTATTGCGCCCGTATGATAGATCTTCATCACTTGTGCAGAGAGCGACGATGAACGGCATCGTGATCTCGGGATTTGGCCTCTCCGCCTTCCTCTTCTCGACTCTCGCGCACCTATTCTTCCCAGGCAACACGTCCGACTTCCTCCTCGTGCTCGCCATCGGGACCTCGCTGCCCATGATTCTTGGCTTCTTCCTCATCCGGCCCATCCCGCTCTCTCACTCCGAGCTGAGCCACTCTCCGGAAGACGAGGCCATAGAGGAGGTGTTCGACGCCGAGGCGGGCATCATTCCGCCCATGTACCATGATAACAATAGTCAGACACACCTTCTCTCGCCGCATGTGCACCACCATGTCGATGACGACGAGCTGGCGGACCCACCGCTGGACGATGCGGACGCGCATTTGCACCCAGCACATGCGGGCCATCTGCCGCGCAGTGCAGTCGTGTCGGATTACTTCGTCCCATCTATGGGAGAGTCAGTTGCAATGAGTCCGACGCGTGAGTCTGGCAGGCAACGATCACGGAGTGCATTCTCAGTGTCGCGTCCGAGTGCGCGGAATGTGGTACTGGGTCCCGACATGACGCATACGGAGGCCCCAAACGTCTCTGGCAAGAGCCTTTTTGCTGACAGAGACTTTTGGATCCTATTTGCCATCACTGCCTTGTGTGAGTAGCTAACAGCCGGCGTTCAACTCCAGCACTAACCCGTTCGCAGTAAGCGGAACTGGCTTGATGTGTGAGTAACGGATGCTAGATCTCTGTTTATCGAGCTTCATTCCTGATAATCTACCTGCAGATATCAACAACGTAGGCTCGATATCACAAGCCCTCTTCGCCCAGGGCAATCCGGACTACAATGAAGCAAAATCCGCTCAATGGCAAGCCGCCCAAGTCTCCATCATCAGCATCATGAACTGCATAGGACGCATCAGTATCGGTGGGTATTTCAAGCGTGCTTCTGTCCTCTGACAGCTGAACGTTCGATGCAGGCGTGTTGGCGGACTTTACGAAGAGCGTCCTCCGCCTGCCGCGTTCCTTCTGCATGACGCTCGTCGCGACACTCTTTGTCACCTCGCAGGTCATCTGCTACCACGTCGAGTCAGTGGGCCAGTTGTGGAGGGCAAGCGCTCTGCTGGGCTTCGCGTACGGCGGCATGTTCGGCCTGTTCCCCACAATTACCATCGAGTGGTTCGGGCTGCGTAAGTATCGCTGCTCGCCCGCAACGCGCAATGACTCATACGATCGCTTCCTCAGCACACTTCTCGGAAAATTGGGGCTTTGTGTCGCTCTCGCCGGTGCTTGGCAGCAACGTTTTCTCAATCGCGTTTGGGCGCAACCTTGACGCGCACGCACCAGGACACTCTACCTCAGTTCCCGTCCCTCGAGCTGGCCTGCCATCGTCGACTCAGTGTCTCGAAGGCCGCTCTTGCTATACGGACAGTCTCAAGCTGACAATTGGTGCCTGCTCCGTAGCCTTGGCACTAGCGCTCTACGCCGGATGGCGGGACCGGCGACGGCAACTAAGAATAGCGCAGCAGAGCGCCGAGGCTGTGCCGGAACTTGTGTTGGAGGAGGATGAGGAGGACTATAGAGAGGTTTTGTCGCAGTGATTTTGCACGTGTATGAGTTTGACCTTTCATAGTTACGGATTAGACGAATCGTGACATTCGAGCCACGCGTGTGGTAGGAGTCTGATGTCTCTCAGGGACCGATGTGCCCGATAGTTGGCGCAGCACGGTGTTCACAGGTACAGTGTTGCCTTGCCGATTTGTTATCAAGACCGCATCTGCGCCACTCATGCCTGTGTTCTGTAGAATGCGCGTGCGATCAAGCAGGCACGAGACTGTAAGGTTCGAGCTATACGCCCTAGAGCATCAACAGTTCTGGCCCTCTGACCCCTCAATGAATCCTATATCCGCCTACGTGCGTGGACACCCTGTGCTAGCCTGAATCGTTTCGTACACAAAATGCATATGACAGCCTAAGCGTGGCCATCGCAGCTAGCTCGCATCGCGTTTCTCACGATTGGTGCGCTGGAGGCTATGCGTGCCCGTTCCTGTCTCCGGATGTCTGTCACATTAGTGTCTGTCAGACTTCTCACATAGACAGCGGTTCCGAAAACGGCAGTGCGCCGCAATGTCCACCGGCGTAGGTGGCCAGCTTGGACGTCGATGAGCGTGGGTGCGAGCCGACATATTGGATGCGCGGATGCGCCGGAGAAAATGATTGAAGCACGCTATCTCCTCAATAATGCCTCCGTGTGGGGAGAGCGTTGGCTCTGCAAGCCCACGACGTGTGGCCATCGGCCGCTTGTTCAGGGTTTTGCCTACTGTTGTGGTTAGTGCTCCTCGAATTTCATCCCCTACATCTACGTGACTGCAGGAGGTAACCGATGCCGTAGGCTACAAACACGGGACCAGTGCAAGCGCTCAGGGCGGATGCAGTCACTGATAAAATGCAGCAACGGTGACGCCGGGTCCCTCTCCCATGGGCGCTCCGTCAGCGCATCCAACTCCATAGAGCGGACGTATGTGATTGGCTGGTACGTGTTATGGACTCGATTTATTGGATCTATGGACTAGTGGTGTTTCATGTGCTAATGGTCGACCTACCTGCATGTCGGGTGGTTGAACTTTCGCGTCATCGAGTGCCTTGAGCCGGTCCGCACTGTTACCTAAAACATGCGCCCGATATTGACAGGAATGTACCCACTAACCCGTCTCCTTCAAGATGTACACGCGGTCTTCTCTTGGACCAGAGTCATGGCACCCGTCCAGAGTTGGTTAGTCGCTTTATGGCTGCGATCTCTAGTTTACGTCAACGACCGGGGCGCATTTGCCAGATTCAAGCGGCCCCCTCGGCGTTTCTGATGTCGTTCGCGCCAACTCTGATATTCTGACCTTCACCATCCACATGGTTCCGCCCGTTATTCTCCGGACCATGCACCGTATATAAGCTAGATCAAGAAGCGCATCGTTGGCAATCAACTCACCGCGCTCGCTACACGATGGGCAAACTTCTGTCATCGGTCTTTTGCGCCGTACTCCTCTCCGCATCATCCAATGGCGCGCCCGCTCTCAATGTGGAACTGGGGACGAGTGTCGCGTCGTCTGACGCTCCAAGTCAGACTGTGTTACTCGCAAGCGACAATCCCAATGGCATCGAGTGGAATATGACCACCGACGCCGTCCCCCAGCCCATCCGCGGTTCACTTGGAGCAACGATCCTGGCTCAGCAGAACGTCGCCATTGACAGGCAGAATCCTGACTTGCTGGCACCGCCCACTACCGATCATGGAATGGTGTAAGATTACTCGATGCAGTTTCAGATTGCGATGTCTTGTCTGATGTCTTTGATAGCGGTAGTGTAAAGTGGCCTTTTAGCTTAAGCCCTAACCGTCTTCAGACGGGCGGATGGGCTCGACAGCAGAACGTCGATACTCTTCCGCTAGCGACATGTAAATTCCATCCTTGGCATAACGTACAAGGATCACTGATACGCACGATGTACGACAGCGATGGCAGCGGTCGACATGCGCCTAGAGGCCGGGGCTATTCGGTACATTTCTATGATTACTAGCCGCCCCCTTCTCTGACGTACATCTATAGCGAACTTCACTGGCACAAGACCGCTGAAGTGAGTCAATCAGCTAATCTGATAAGTGTATGCTGACTTTATGCAACAGTGGGCATATGTGTTGAACGTGCGTCAAGGGATTCTAGTATCACGCATGTATTGATTCTGGTTCTCAGGGATACATGCAGGTGACTGGGGTCGACACAGAAGGGCGCAATTTCCTAGGGACCGTGGTATGCGACTAAACTCAATATCTTGGCCTATACTGCTCACACGTGTCCCCAGGGTCCCGGAGATCTGTGGTACTTCCCGCCTGGAATTCCTCACAGTCTGCAGGCGACCAACGAGTTAGAGGACGGTGCAGAATTCCTATTGGTATTATCGCTCCCGATCATAAGGAACGCAACCACCTTATTATCTTTTTGATCGAAGGTCTTTGATAGCGGAGATTTCAACGAGGACTCGACTTTCTTGGTTAGTACTTCCAAGCCCTGATGCCTCGCAATCACTTACACTCCCCATATAGCTGACGGACTGGCTGGCGCATACCCCCAAAGAAGTATTGGCGAAGAATTTCGGCACGACAATCGCCGCATTTAACAACATCCCAGGAGAGGAATTGTACATTTTCCCGGCCGGTAAGCAGCGGACCCTTTTATTGCTAGGGCTGAATAGGTTAACCGGGTCGAAACAGACCCTCCTCCGGTGGATGTGACTGCCCCGGAAGATCCTCAAGGACAAGTTCCTAACCCGTACATTTACAAGCTATCTGAAGTGACTGCGACGCAACTTGCTGGAGGAACTGTAAAGATCGCCGACTCGAGGAACTTCACCGTGTCGACTACGATTGCTGTTGCTGAATTGACTGTAGAGCCTGGAGGAATGAGGTTGGTTGTAACAAACTGCCGCGCTTCTGTTTCGTGGCTGATATCACTTATTTTTAGAGAACTACACGTAAGTTTAGCCTCCTGACGTCGATGTGGTTAGTCTTATGCTTGGATAGTGGCACCCGACGGAGGACGAATGGACGTATTACATGTGGGTTTCGCTAGATGCTGTCGAACCTTCACATGCACATTAATTACCGTCTCTTCGAAGCTCGGGAAATGCACGTGTGACCGAGTTTGCGTCCTCGGCGACTGCGCAAACGTTTAATTACGGGGTCAGTCTTTTTCACTGCTTTCCTATAGGCTCGATCCGTGATATCTGACTCATGACAGCCCGGCGACATTGGCTTTGTGCCAGCATCTTACGGTAAGTAAAAGATAGAGATCGTATCCGGACTCTGGAGATGTTTATAAAGGACACTTCCAGGGCATTACGTAGAGAACATTGGCAACGACACCTTGCATTATCTGGAGGTCTTCAACACTGGTAAGCCACTTATTCTCAATCCTTCGGTCAATGCTCACCGGAGATTACAGATATATTCCAAGATATCAGTCTTAATCAGGTTAGTGTGGATCTGTCCTGGTCCCATACGTATACTCAGGTGGATTACAGTGGCTGGCCTTGATCCCCCCGGCTTTGGTCAAGGAACACTTGCAACTCTCTAATGAGACTATTGCGCAGCTGAGCAAGACAAAGCCTATCGTAGTTGGTTCGACTAAGGTTTAATACTTCCGCTTGCGTACGTGGTCTCGAAATTTCATATGCTATGATTCTACACGAATGTGCCTTAGTCTCCATATGGTACAGGAAGACATTGTTCTTAGTGTTCCGCGTGCATCTTCTAGCCGATTTCTATTCACTCTGTAACACACAAGTTCAAAAGACACTTTCTGTATGCTGCCCCATGATGTGCTGCGAGATCAGATTTGGTCGCGTATCTGTGTCCTCCTCGATCAGCGACCCGGCAGAATCAACCGCAGATGCCGGTCCATACCCAAGATCGCTGATTACCATCGCGGTTCCGAGGAAGTTCTCGGAGGTCTCGACTCAATGTAATGATGGGGCGTTGCGGAGAAATATATCATCAGAGTCTATGAATAGATGGACCCGGGCGATGGCAAGTCGCTTCCCCTTTTAGCAGCACGTAATTCTTCGACGACGGACAAGAACGATTCAGAACAATCATCTTACAAGGCCGCTCTTGATGCTACCATGTGGATGATGGTCTTTCAAAGCTCTGATAGGCATCCACGATGAGGGTGAACTCAAGCAGCAGTGGAGATCCAGACGGATGCATATGAGGTACATGATTGCGTTGTGCCAGGCCCTCGCTAGTCACCGGTCATGCTCATGTGCAGTGTAGGTTCTCCCATACCATATCCGTGTATTCGCCGCTCCGCCTTCGTGAAATGCATCTCATTGATGTGCCCACCACGAGGCCCAGATTTACTAATTAGTAGCTAAAGATCTCCCGGTTGCCTGCTTATGGTCAGCTCCTGAAGCTGGAAAAAGAGCATGAGGAAGCTATCTTTCTCGATATTGGTTGCTGCCTGACACAGTTGGGAATGAGGTAACGAAGGCTACCGCGGACTATCCAAAACGTTGTAGTATCTGATAAAGAATCTAGTGCCCTTGCCAATTTTGCCTAATGGCTGTGCTACAAGACTCGTATCTGGACGTTACGTTAGCATTCTGGGAGTTGGGACATCATCTTTTCAAGTCCGCCTGCGCCACGTTCCCAGTTCCTTTCGTAACCAGAGATGCGTTGAACTCGACCTTCCTCAACTATTACCGCCCTTCTATTCTGCCCGGATACGCCGATATAATCCGCTTTAGTCCCTAACCACTCCCATGTCCTTCGCCAGATATGTTTCTGCCATTCATGCGTCTGCATTCTGTTTGACGAGGTACAACAGCCGAAGCTCGCACGGTCTCTCGCGAGCCTGCCGTCACCTACTCGCGGGTTTTGATCCTCAGTGAGCACGGTTCCCGGCCGTAGAACAGCTCACGGTCACTCACCAGAGAGTTGGGTAAAGCCCGGGGATGGCGAGGTGTTCGGGAAGGGAACTGCTGAGGTCAGGGCCGTATCCAGGGGGGCCAGAAAATGGACGTATCGATTGCATCGGGAGCCAACTTCTAACTTACTGTGCTGGTCAGTCACAAGACTGTCGCTGCTTTTTAGAAGGCCCAAAGAAGATTTAGCGGTAGCGATGACGGAATGCTCTATCAATAGAATATGCAATAACACCTGAGGCATGCATACCATATGGATGTGTAGTAGCCACGGGTACTGCATGCCTGTTCGAAGCTCGATTGGATGTGCCTCTGCGCCGTCTCCCACGGCAACGGCATGGGCTCGACAGAAGGTGAGGTACGTTGAGAGAAGGGCACCTCACAGGTACGATGGGTTACTGCGGGAATCGAAGGTACTAGACCGTTCATCGCTTCGTGCATTGCGATTGGGTCGAATGCGCTGTGTAAAAATAGCTGGAAGACGTGAAATGAGTAATATCGGAGGTGAAAGAAGAACTGCACCTACGCCAGTAATCTCCGTAGTTCTCACCATGTCGACTGCAATAGGTCTCCGAACAGTGAAGGTGAATGTGACACATAGGAGGCTGCGAAACAGGATGTGGCGGTCTATTCTTGTCCAGGCAGTACTGTAAACGTGAATATGACCTCCAATGTGGAAAAATGTCGATGATTATCCTGTGCAGTCATGCCAGACTATTTTGGAATCTGCGACCTGTGAGAGTTACGGGTGTCCCTGACTCGTGCAGGAGATCGCAAAGCGCGCAAGATTGAAGCTTAATGATGAGCCACAGCTACCGCATCGAAGGAGAACGTTCACTCATTAGTTCATATTTAGAACAATTGCCGAAGGATGCTCTAATCGCTACATCCGTGTGGCGAGAGTGACTAAAAAATGATCGCCGACAATAGCAGCCGCACAACTTTCAGGACTTCAAACGGCCGACATTGGATACTAGTATGTCGGCGGAATAAACGAGCGCGAAAGATAACCTCAACGTTGGAGACGAATCCTGTGCGAGAACGTGTCAGCGTGAGGCTCGAACATCTCGTGCACTTTGTGGAAGTACCGTCTGACCTCACAAAGGGAAGACAAAGCCTCACTGGCTGCACATGGACATGTAAAAATATCCAAGGTTCAGATGCTGCGAAAGATGATCCGTTGGAGGAAGATGAGAAGCCAACAAGATGCTATGAAGTCTGGAATTTTTCGACGTATACAGGAACTCAAATTTGTCTCTGGCCATTTGCGAGCAGCCTGGTAGCAATTGAGTCATTTGCAACGATTCGGGCTCCGTCTGCGCGAGATAGGATCTGATATGTCACGTGAACGGCATGCCTTCATTTCCAGACAGGCTCAAGCTTTTGCATTCATTCTGTCTCCTCCTTCTGTGACTTGTACGAACACCGCTCTCAATGCGACGAAGGTTGCGGGGCAATGCTTCCAGATGGTCTGACAGAATGCCTATCTTTACCGAGATCACCTTCGGGCGGCAGGTGGCCGTAAAACAATTGCCCGGTCGTAGTGGTTTTATGTCTGAGGAGCCAGGATCCTCCATTGCCACGACTTGCGCATCGAAATTGGTGTGTCTTCTATCATGAAAATTCTGTCCTTCGGACAGATGCACTCGGCCTGCAAGCTTCACTATGGGGCAAGTAACTGTTCTTCCTTGGGCAGAAGCCAAACAAAATGTTGGAAGAATATTGAGCCGTTGGATAAGTATTGAACCACGGGTTCAATTATCACCCAGTGACTTTACCGCCCCTGACAGAATCGCAAAGTGAGCTTGTACGTGATTCGTCCGACTGCTCTACTCTTCACGACAGCCTTGTCACACTTGCACGGCTCGTCGGCCGAGAGAAGACAAACCGGGACAGCTTGATATCCTCATGAATCGCTTTTTTCAGCCGCGCTTTTATCTCACAGTAATCTGAGATGTTGCTGGTTTCGCGCTGTCCGATGATCGAGCGCAATCGCGGACGCCATCGGGTGTGTCTTCGTCTAAATAAGACTGAGCAGTGCGCATGGTCGTCTGACTTCTCCGCCTTTTGAAGCAATGTGTTCGGTGAGTACCCTCATTGTGTCAACTGCGTTCTTTCGTTCCAGAGAGGATCCGCAGGAGTTGCTATAATATGCACGCATTTCACATGCGATGCAGAATCGCGTTATCGGCATCCATGTGTGGAAATAGGAACATCGTCTATGTTCCAGGACGGCTCCACGATCCTTCTTGTCAACACATGCTTTACGTGGCTATCGGCTGAGAACTGCATCGACCTCGCGTAGTGATCTCCAACTACAATGGTACGCGCGTCCTCTATATCCATCACATCAGATCAACCATGTAACGCTTCCCTCCTTTGTTCAGGTTTTTTTCCAGCACCTCTTCATATAGAAGTATCTATGAGAATACGCGGCCCTGCCGATGCGATGCTGATTCATTAATACGAATGGAAACTACCCGTGATGCATCGCGTTGCACCTAATAAGATATGTTCATCTCACCGTCTCGCAGCCGAAACGTCACACGGAGCTTGCAATGATCGATCACTCTGGCGCAAACGACTGTACGTGTAAGAGCATGTCGATAATATCGGTACTACGCTATAGGAGCGCGAAATTGTGTCTATAGAACAATTACTATACTGATATGTGCGATAGGTCATTCGACAGGTCATGCTGGGGACCACCTCAGCCAATCATTCACATCCGCATCCCAAAAACGGCAAAGTGAGTATTCTTTCCCTGATTATGCAACGTGAAAACGGCGCGTTGATCTTTCTGTCACTGTATTTCGCTTCGGCATCGGACCGCGTTGTAGTCATGCTTTCGGAAGACTGGTCACAAAATAACAAATGAAACTGACAGCGGTATCTGTTCCGAAACCTACAGAAGCAAGAGGTATTTTTAGACGTATGCTTCGCCGCGGCAATGGAAGGCTTCTGCATACGATTCGCGCAAATTTCCTTATAGTGCAGTCCAACAAGCGTTCTCGTAAAAGCGGCATTCGTGGCCCTACTGCCAAATTAGTCTACCAGTGGGATAGTAATTGCTCGACTTGTTTGTTATTCACCAAGCCATCGTTATCGATAGGAACTGTATCTTGCTAGAGCCTCCCGGCTCATAGGCAATGTGGAGGTCAGGAGCGCAGATGAACCTTACGAACGATCGGCAGAATCACAGCGGCGGTGAAGAGGAGGGCAACGAGATCTCCACCCCTGGACGAGACCTATGCATGTCACAAGAAACCGCCGTAGACGCATGAAGTGGAAGACAAGTGGCTGCGGCCTGACTGCCCTGTTGATCGGCACTCATTGGAAGCGTTCTTGTTGGTAAGCATCTACTTCGGCACGGAGAGGTGCTCCCACAAGTCGCCGTAGTCGTATAAAAGGGGAGCCGTCCGTGCGTCCAGTTCAGACCACCGGTGTCTTCAGCGACCGTACTCACCATGGACAAGCTCCTTCTTGTGCTATGCGCTCTCACCTGCTTTGGACCCGTCGTTGGTGCACCCGTCGGCGATTCGTCTTCGCCTGCGGCAGACGTCGTACTATCCGCTGCGGAACCGAGCGCGACAGTGCGCCTCGCGAGCGACAATGCGAATAACGTCTTGTGGAGCACCACGTCTGGTGGCGACCCTCAGCCGATACGCGGCTCCCTCGGGGCGACCATTCTGGCACAGCAGAACGTCGACCTTGATAGACAGAACCCGGATGCTCTCGCGCCACCCACGACCGATCATGGCACTATGTACGTCGGGGAGATGACAGCACAATACCGAATTGACGAGTGTTCTATAGCCCGAACATCAAGTGGCCTTTCAGCTTGAGCCCCAATCGCCTACAAACTGGAGGATGGGCTCGTCAGCAGAATGGTCAGTGAATCGCCGTAGTCCCTGCTACCATAGGATCTCGACTCTAATTGTATATCTGCAGTTCAACAGATGCCCATCGCAAAATGTAACACTACATCTTTTCATTCCCTACTATGGTTCTAAACCGTGATTCATTAGCCATGGCTGGCGTCGATATGCGCCTCGAGGCGGGAGCAATCCGGTAGGTATATGATCCTCATGCTGAACTTAACTAACAAATCGTCATAGCGAGCTTCATTGGCATAAAACGTCCGAGGTGACAGCTGCTTCCTTACGTTATTTATGTTATAACGCTGACGAGAAAGCAGTGGGCCTATGTCATGAATGTGCGTATTAATATCTATCATCATGATAACCAAACTGACGCTGGTCACAGGGTCATATGCAGGTGACAGCCGTAGATCAGCTGGGTCGCAACTTCGTGGGAAACGTAGTAAGTGCGATACATCTCATTCTTAGAGTGCAGGTAACTTAAGTAACTTTTAGGGACCGGGTGATCTGTGGTTTTTCCCTCCTGGCATCCCTCACAGTTTGCAAGCTACGAATGAGACCGACGAAGGAGCTGAATTTCTGCTAGTATGCCCCTTACCATAATTTGCCTTATAGCTGTTGACAACCTTTCGCTTTTGAGGTTTTCGATAATGGCGAATTCAGCGACGACTCAACTTTCTTGGTGCGTGCACGGATCACTTCGTTGTCGATATCTGTCTGACGTGTGATAGTTGACTGAGTGGATGGCGCACACGCCCAAGGATATTATTGCGAAAAACTTCGGAACAAGTATGCAAGCCTTTGATCGGATCCCGGGCGAGCAGCTGTACATCTTTCCTGGTAGTACGTATTGATCTCATTGAGTCAGCGCCACCCACAATTGACCACCATGCTGCAGTTCCTCCTTCGCCCGATGCATCGGCTGTAGAAGATCCTCAGGGACAGGTTCCACAGTCTTTCACATATAAACTCTCTGACGTCACTCCGACGCAATTGGCCGGAGGAACTGTGAGATATGCCGACTCGAGGACCTTTACAGTAGCTACTACGACTGCTGTAGCTGAGCTGACCGTTGAGCCCGGAGGAATGAGGTACGTGTCGCCTCCCATTCTTCTCTCGAGAGCTTGTACTGATGTTTGTATCAGGGAGCTGCATGTGAGTGAGACATCTTTCCACGAGGCCTCTCTATCTCACCGTCCAACAGTGGCATCCGACACAGGACGAGTGGATGTACATTATGTAAGGGTTACTTCCGGTTTGCGCTCCATTTGCTCACATCACGGCTATAGCTCAGGGACTGCGCGCGTCACAGAGTTCGCCGCTAGTGCTACTGCTCAGACGTATGATTTCTCGGTGAGGTTCTATCTTTGCAAACACCCTGCTGTTATTGATGAAAAGCAGGCGGGAGACATAGGTTTCGTTCCTGCTACATATGGTGAGCATCCAAATCAATCGCTTGACTCCACGGGGCTGATCAGCTTGACGATTAGGACACTACGTCGAGAACATCGGAAATAGTACCTTGCATTACCTTGAGATATTCAACACTGGTACGCACTCGGTCCTTTTTTATGGTCAGACGCTCGCTGAACGGAATTCGAGATATAATCCAGGACATCAGTCTTAACCAGGTGAGTCACACTTTCCCGTAACCAAAACGCTCGGACCAATCCAGTCATTATATAGTGGCTCGCTCTCACTCCACCGGAGCTGGTAAAGGAACATCTCCAACTGTCTGATGAAACTATCGCCAAGTTGAGCAAGGTCAAGCCGGTCGTAGTCGGGCCCAATTCCGTCTGATTTTGTCGCTAAATCGACGGAGACCTGTGATGTCCACCAATGTAGCTAAGAGTTCAGAGCCTTACTTATGAAGCATGTACATTTGTGTAAACGATACAGACTGTCATAACGTTGCTATGAGTTAGTGAGCGAGGATCGATTTGAACAGCGAGTTGACGGAAGCAGCGGCGCAAGAAGTCCCTTACAACAAGCATGACTGCGTACTAAGCAATTGTAGCGCATAAATACTGCCAATACTATCGATCGGCCTCGAATACAAGCGAAGTACACAGGGCTGCAGGTAGGATAACATATATATGAATGTAGTTTAAGTGAACTGGGTGCAAGACTCAAATAGGAACCACGAACGACTTAGTCTGACAGCAACTCATCGAGAATATGGATGATAGCTGTGCTGCCCTCTCTGTCCGGAACGTTGCGGCCCCGGGCCAGCAGGTCCTGTGCCAGCCGCACCGCCAGACGCAGCTCTGGGACCGCGGGGTACATTTGGACCCATACCTCCTGCCTGCATTACGCCTCCTGCAGCAGCAGGGCCAGCGATTCCACCGCCACCGCGACCCACTCCCATTCCGGGTCCACCCATACCGCCACCGTACGGGCCGCCCATCCCGGGCATCATTCGCGCGGCACCCATTGCAGCGCCGTACCCGCCAGCAGCAGCAGCACCCATGTTGGCCATCATAGGGTTCATTCCGCCCGCCATCATGGTGTTCATTCCCATCTGCTGCATCATGCGGGAGTAGAGCGACGCGAGCGCTTGTGGATCGAAGGGCGTGTTGCCGCCGGCGACTGCGGGGACGGCCTGGGCGCCGCCGTAACCCACGGCCTGCGCAGCATAGCCGCCTCCTCCGCCGCGGCTGTACGCTCCGGCGGCCTGTCCGCCAGCGCCGCCCTCGGTGAAGCCTTCGCGCTGCGAGCGGGGTTGGGCAAGTTTGACATCAATCTAGAGATAAGAGCATTACCGAATGCCATCGGAGGATGAGGACTATCATTGGACGCACAAGTTTGCCATCAATCTCAAGATTTCCGAACCCTAGAAGGGGCTCAACGTTGGCATTCTCGAAGGACACGAATCCGAAGCCTTTGCTTCGTCCAGTTTCTCGGTCCAGCATGACCGTGGCATCCACGACCTTTCCGAATTGGGAGAAATACTCCCGCATGGATTCCGAAGTTACACTTCCCGCCAGGCCTCCAATGAACAACTTTGTGGCTCGCTGGTGTTCTTGTCTCGGGATGGCGCGTTTGGGATCAATCTGAACATGGAAACTTAGACTAAACAGTGTACGATAGAGAGGACACACTACGTACAATTTTGCCATCAAGGAAGTGTTCGCGGACCATGACCGCATTCACCGAAGCCGGATCTTCGAAAGTAAGGAACGCGAAACATCGCGAGCGACCAGCTGCATCGCGCATAATTGTACAAGCTTCGACCTTGCCGAACTGCGAAAAGTACTTCCTCAACCCCTCTGGTACAACATGCTATTTAGCGCTACAAGATAACACAGCAAATGGACTATGAACGTGTATGTACCATCTGTGGTATCCCAGTTGAGGCCGCCAATGAACATTTTGCTATGTCACACGACAGCGTATCATTGCATCGACGAGGAGGGCGGTGGTTTCGAACAGGGATATAGAAGAGCAGACATTGATATTAGCACCGGTTACCTAGAACAAGAGCAGCTTGACCAAGAGGAGAAGGACGGACGACTCTACTGTGTGTGACTGTGTAGCGGAGCGGTGCTAGCCTAGCTTAGACCTAGGGACGCAGATGTGCTAGAGCTAAGTCGTAGGCGATTGATAGGCGACAATGGCGAACTACCACGCGTGCAATGCTACACAAGCAACCTTGTCCCGCAACTAAGGCCCAGTGTCGGCACCCAACCCAGTTTGTAAGACAGCACAGCGAGCGCCCTGCAGAATGGTCAACGGCTGGTAAAAAGATGTCACTCACCCTTCTTCCTTCATCTCCGAGGGTCGAACTGGTCGGTCGACATCACCGCCTCCATGGTAATCTTGACGCGCTGGCGGAGGCTCCCTGTATTCAGGCGTCTGGCGTTCTTGATATGTAGGTATCTGCTGCGTAGGGGGTGACGTGTACGATGGGATAGCGGCCAGCGTCGGGGCAAGCTGCGTAGCGGATTGTTGTGGCTTTGTCTCTGGCGGAGGGGTTGGAGTGGCCAACTTTGCTACGTGAGCTGGCTCTTCCTTCGTCTGTTGAATAAGCTTTTCTTCTGGTTGTCCCTGAGATTCCAGCCGGGTGTTCTGCTCGGTTTGTGTGGTTGGTACAGCGAACTCCGATTCATCGTTGCCGTAGAGGTCTACCAATCATCAGAACTGGAAAAGGATCATTCTCTATCAACAACTTACCGCTGTACAAGTCGGCGTCAAGGTCAGACATGCTGTGCAAGATGGTGGCGGTCGTGGAGAGAGAGAAAGAAATGGTGCGGCCGGCGGGACGAAAAAGAGCCAAACAGACTCTGGCCCAGTCGCCTTACCCCATGTGCCTTAAAACACCAAATACAGCAGCTACCGGATCTAGCCGAAATGGCAATGTGTCATCAAATCTCCGAAGTGCCAAATTTGGAAAGGGCAGAAGTACGAGCGCGGTCTAGGTACGCGTCTGTGCATCGTCGGCTGCTGAACATCGCATCGTCGTTGAGGACTTTCTGCGCAACTTGCTCTCGAACGGCCATCTCATACAGGGAAGACTCTGAAAAACTACATCGGCATGTCTAGCAAATTTTGCTCGCAATTTCGACAAAATCTTCTGTCTGGTGCTGTGACTATCGTCTACATTGCCTCAATGTCCGTTCAGTACGCTCGCATCAAGTTTCAACTACGTTGGAGAGCTCTGGGGCCGACGGGACGAGGAAGGGTAGGATGAGGAGAAGGTGGCGGAAACGAGGCCTCGATAAGCCAGAAACGCCCCCCGCCACAATTGCCAAACATGCGCATACAAGTTCCGCCTCGTCGCCTTTGAATTACACACAAGGATATGCTCGCTGTCTCGCGCGTCCTGCTCGCTAGTCTTTCTGTCCTTCTTGCCATAGCCACTCTCACACACACTCCGTCCAGGCGTCGGGGAGCTACATACTGCTCGATTGCCCGCTACGTGCTCGATGCAACCTGAAGAAGAGCTGGAAGACTGGCCATCTCAAGACCCAAATTCCGTGCCACAAGACAATAGCACCACCGCGTCTCGTCCGCATACGAACCTCTCTATTCGTATTCCTGCGATGCCTCCCCGCACTCGATCGGCAGCACTTGCCGAGCCGAGCCTTCATGCATCGGGATCCGAGTACCAAGAGAGTGATGCGTCTATGGAAGTTGACGACGAGCAGCCACCGGAAGAGGAGGAGGAACCCTCGGTAGAGTTCACGATATCCAGAGGAGGACGAAAGATCATGAAGAAGTCGTATGTGGAATCCGCAAGCGAGGACGATCATCTGGCAGACGATCCGCCGCCCTCTCCCGCCAAGCAGGAGGATGGTGCCGACGCCGGGTTGGCAGATGAGGACGACGAGGATGGAGGAGGACGTTATGCACTACGGAATCGAAGTCGGGCCAAGTCGGGCGGTCTAAACGGGTTCATCATCAGTGATGACGAGGGGGAAACTAGTATTGGTGGCCGATATGAAACACGGAGCCGAAGCAAGCGAGCAGGTTCTGCGAATGAGCTCAACGGAAACGGCAAGAGTGGCCGTATCACGCGTCTGTCGTCATCACGGCCACAAAACTCCTCGTCACGCACGACACGGTCTCGAGCAAGCAGCCGTAGGACACGACAACATGGACGCACGCAACACGACGAGGAAGGCTATGTCGACGAGCCATCTTCTGGCTCGGTTGATGCGGAAGGGTCCCTTGACGAGGCGCTGCAGACGTCCCCCGAGCCGGAGCTTGACGATGCAGATGCAGAGGGCGAGCTTGATGCTGACGGTGAGGGAGAGCATGGACCTGAACAAGACGGCCGGCCATACGCGCTTCGCCAACGAGCTAAGATCAACTATGCGATACCGCCTCCTCTCGAGGAGATGCGTCCGCCGCCTAAACCCCGGTCGGGAGGCGGCAGAATAAATGGGCGCAACGTTTTCGGCAAAAGCAAGGTTCCTGGCTGGAGCGCGACCGGGGCGGAACTGAGCAGGTGGATGGGTGCGGGCGGCGACGATTCGGTATGTACATTGCTCGAGCTTCGCAGTACAAATCCTGACGTGATCAGCGTAGGACTCGGATTACCCTACTCGCACACCGAGAAAGCCGTTTGGGGCTGGAGCGATGGACGGAGGTGGCGTCTTTGCAGGAGGAGCGGGAGGTTTACTTCCGAGTGACCTTGCTGCCGCTGCCGGCACACCTTCGAACTTAGGAAAAGTTGGTGACACAAGTAAGGGACTATTATCGTTTCCTTAATAATTGCCCCTGATGTTGGATCGGCATAGTCCTCGCGGACGCTGACCCGCTAGGCGTCAACCAGAACGTCACATTCGACGAGGTAGGAGGACTAGACGACCGTAAGTTAACAAAGCATTCTCTTGCTGTGCGCGCATGCACTGAGCACACGCGCACTTAGACATCAATTCGCTAAAGGAGATGACGCTGTTGCCTCTCCTCTATCCAGAAGTTTTTCAGAGGTTCGACCTTACTCCCCCACGTGGAGTCCTCTTCCATGGGCCCCCAGGTACGGGCAAGACACTCCTTGCACGCGCTCTGGCCGCTAGCTGCCGTTCCGACGGCAGGAGCATATGTTCGTCGCCATCCATTAAACTATAATCCCATCTACTGACTGTCTCTGCCTTAGCATTCTTCATGCGTAAAGGAGCCGATTGTCTCTCGAAGTGGGTGGGAGAGGCCGAACGGCAGCTCCGCCTCCTGTTCGAGGAGGCCCGTAACCAGCAGCCCAGCATCATTTTCTTCGACGAGATCGACGGTCTGGCGCCGGTGCGCTCGTCCAAGCAAGACCAGATCCACGCATCGATTGTATCCACATTATTGGCGCTGATGGACGGCATGGACGGCCGTGGACAAGTGATTGTCATCGGAGCGACGAATCGGCCAGATGCGATCGACCCTGCGCTGCGTCGGCCGGGGAGGTTCGATAGGGAGTTTTACTTTCCACTTCCGAACCTGGAGGCGAGAGAACGAATTTTGACAATTATTACGAGGAAGTGGGCTAGTTGGGAGGGTGACACTGGTGGGGAGAACGTGAAGGGTTTGGCGAAGCTTACCAAAGGCTATGGTGGCGCTGATCTCCGAGTACGTGATTGACTGTGCTCTCGTCTTCAGCATCTGATTGTCATATATTATTAGGCTCTTTGTACGGAAGCTGCATTGAATGCAGTTCAGCGCCGGTATCCTCAGATTTATAAATCGGAACAGCGCTTGCTATTAAATCCAGAAGCAATCACGGTTGAGCTGCGAGATTTCATGATCGCCATAACGAGTATGTTTGATGTGATGCTTGATGACTTTTGATACTCATGACAATAATTCAGAGCTTGTACCGTCATCGGCTCGATCAGTGTCGTCAGCAGCGTCATCGCTTCCGGCTCAACTCATCCCACTACTACACGACGGCCTAGACAAGGTGAAAGACGCCATTGCGAAAGTTCTGCCGGTCAATAAGAAGCGAACTGTGCTCGAGGAGGCGGAATGGGAGGACGAGAGCACTGAAGGCGCCCTCGAACGGGAGCTCCTGATGCAATGTAAGCTATCATCCTTTCCCACTTGTTTTGACCTCATCAAGTTCCACAGCTATGGAAACACTCCGTGTGTATCGCCCTCGGGTTGTGCTGCACGGTCCTGTCGGGATGGGCCAGGGTTACGTCGCCGCTGCGGTGCTGCACCATCTGGAAGGGTACAATGTGCAAAGCCTTGACCTGGGCACTTTACTGAGCGACTCGACAAGGGTATGTACACAGTCACTTGCCCAAGGTTCACAAACTCACGCAGTACTTAGACACCAGAAGCTGCAATTGTGCAGCTATTTGTCGAGGCGAAGCGGCATCAGCCGTCGGTAATTTACATTCCTTCGCTATTGAGCTGGTGCACAGCTGTCTCTGAGACATCACGGACGACTGTTCGCTCTATGCTCGACACGCTGTCACCGAATGATCCTGTGCTCCTCCTCGCCGTTGTTGATGGTCCTTTCACCTCGCTCCCTCGAGACGTCCGGGAATGGTTCGGGCCGATGCGAGAGAATCGCGTAGAGCTCAGGACTCCAAATGCATCCCAGAGAGAACAATTTTTCGAGGGCGTCTTCAAAGAAGTTCAGCGGCCGCCTAACCGCTTCCCCGACGGAGTCAAGCGGAAGAAGCGCGTACTGGAGGAGTTGCCGATTGCCCCTCCATTGCAGCCACGTCAGCCTACCGCTGCTGAGCTCGCTGTTCAGGAAGCAAATGATCAGCGTATGATTGCCTTGCTTAAGTACCGTCTAGGGCCCATCTTGCAAGAGTTGAAGCGCAAGTTCAAGCGATTCACGAAGAGTGTTGTTGTGCGTCGTAGCATTGTATATATTGACACGATCGCTAACGTATTGATTTAGGAGGAGTATCATTACGACTTCGATGCATCCAAAGAAGTCGAAATCGTCACAAACGTCGAAGTTCGTACGAATGGCAACGGCATTGTCCAGGTCACAGAAGAGCAGCACACCGAAGAGATTGTGAACGACCAGTCTCAGGCTGTGCAGGTGAATGGATACGTCAATCAAGCGCAAGCGCAAGTACTCCTTCCCGAGCCGCCATTGTTCAATATGGATCTGGAGCGGATTCATATCGAGCTGTATCGAGACAAATACTTGACTCCCGATGACTTCTTGGATGATATCCGCAAGATCGTGCATAATGCAGATGTGCGCATACAGGAGGATCCCGATCGACTGCTGAGGGCGCAAGCCATGCTGAACGCGGCGGAAGTCAGCATAAATGACTTCGACCCTCAGTTCCGGATAGAGTGTCAGCGCATGGCCGTGCGCGAGCATAAACGCCGAGAAGAGTACAGGAAGAGCAAGGAGAAGGAGAAGGAGAAATTGGCCGAGGCTAGTGGCTCTTCTGCGCAGGTCTATGCGCCAGGAACCCGACGCAGTGCTCGTCACAATGGACAGCAGCCGGAAATACCGATCACCGATCCGCTGAAGCTGGAAAGGAGACTGAAGAGACAGAGGTCTACTTCTGGAGCCGCGACACCATCCGAGGATGAGAATGCTGACAGATCTCAGAAGCGATCTCGAGTGGCTGGCGCTGGAGCGGACGGTGACCCGGAGGGATTGGATATCGTTGGCCGGTCCTCTTCGCTTGAACGGCTTGGTGCAGTACGCTTCGCAGAGCAGGTAGAGGGGCATGCTACGCCGTCCCCCCCACCGCCTGGCATCAACGGAGTCCAAGGACAAGCGTCAGTTTTCAACGAGCAACCTCTGAATGGTCAGCCTGCTCTGCTGAATTTGTTGCCGCAAGTCCCTGCCCAGTCTGATGGTGTTGTTGCTGCTGTTGACGTCAAACACAACCCGTTCCTTTCTCATAACGTGCCTCCACAAGAGATCCTGCCCATTAACGAATCTCAGCAACTGACACCATCGCCCGAACCTGAGCCCGCAAATGCCCATCTCCCGACGATTGCACTGACTCCATCTGAGGTTATGCATGAAGAATCCCAGATTCAGGCGGAGGTGGAGCGCGAACCGACGCCGTTGCCGGACTTTCATCTTGATGAAGGTCTATTACAAGAACTGAAACAAGTCTTCGCACAGCAGACGGGGCTACTCAATGTCGAGCAGTTGGAACAACTCCGAGCGACGTGCCTTGGCTGCATCTGGAGGCATCGAAGTGAATGGGACCGGACACCGCTCCTGCATGAACTGCTTGACATCGCGCATAGTCTCTTGGAGGAGATAATGGTAGATGATTTGGATGATTCCTCGTCTCCAGGACCATAGTATTTATCGATGCACTGTTACTGTACACTCCTGCACATCTGTATAATTTGCAATAGCACTCTGACATGTATTGCTCTTCCTTTCTTCCATATTCCAATAGCAGACGTCTCAAATACCTACAGTGCAATACTGGAAGTTACATCTTAAACCTCCGTTGCGGGAGCATCGATATCGACATAAGCGCAGTCCTCCCAACTCAGTACGCATCCCCGGTCGCTGACACCCTGTAAGTAGAAGCGGGCAGCTCTGGCCTGCTTCAAATTCTCGGGGAGGCAAGCTGCGTCGACGTAGAAACTATTTCTGTTGCCAGTCAAGCCCGTTGTGCCGATCCAGACCGCCTCGTTGGGGTCAAATTGGTGGCCAGCACCTGCGTGGGGCACGATGTAGATGTTGAAGAATGAGAACGAAGGGAACGAGGAGGAAAACGACCACAAAGGTGTGGGATCTTCGCCGTTGCGACTGATAGTAATGTTTTTCAAAGGAGCGAATGACGCGGCGACTTCCCACTTGAGTGTTCCGATGAATGGTCCTGCTACATTGTCTGCGGTCGCGGGATCAAAGTCTGCCCACAGTACTCTAGGCTGATGGACAGAGATACCAGAGGTGCCTACACTCGGGGATATAGCCAACAGTCCCAGCGAGATGAAGAAGTCTACCGGTTTGGTCGAATCTTCCAAAGTAAAACCGATAATTAAGCCGACTGCAGCTAGAACATCTCTTGCTGGTTCTGTTGCGATACTAAACTCTATCATCAACTCTGACCAACCATTAGGGAGGTTGCCAGAGCCAGTGACAGGTCTGATATCGAACGCTTCTGCGACAGAATCCGTCAGGGCTTTCACTGACAGGCCGACATCCAGATCGACGTCGTGTTTAGATGCCGTCCTGAAGATCACCGTCGCAACGTACGATGTGTGTGGGGAGATAGCAAGAGAGTGCACAGGCAGCCAAATGCATTGGAACATTGCGTCTTCCGCGTCTGATCCAGATGTGGAGAGTGAGAGGCGGAGGGAACTCCCACCAAGCCATGCATCGTCCATGCACACCGTCGTTAATGCCGTGGGAGGCTCGCCTTGATCCGCATGCTCCCATTTAGGCACCGGGCGCGGCCACACCATGTCTCCCAAAGATGAATTCTTATCCAAGTCGGTCCAGCCTTCGTCTGACTCGTGCACCTTGATACCATTCACGAACCATGCGCGTCCGATTCCAGGAGAGAACCAAGTCAGGAACGGCATATTTACTGGATTGGGCGGAGGCTTCCGGGCAAAGAACGAGGATAAAGGGACGAAAGGGCCATGCTGGCATTCAGGCTCGCCCTGCCTTCGCTTGTCCGGAGGCAACGCGATTACCTCATCGGATGTCCGCGGACCAACCCACAATCTGCGCTCGTACTCCCACCACGTCTCCCATGTGAATCCCGGCTTGTCTTGCTCGGTCTCCCATGTCCACGCGTGGCCGAATAGAGCAACACTCAGACCCAGAAACACCGGATCGATGTGTGAGATCGCTCTGAATGATCCGAAACCTCCGCCACCGTGCTGTCCGCGGCCCCAGACGTCGACACCAACGTAGATATCCCGTAGACGCTTTGGGCGAGGCATGAGTGACGGATCTAACGACAAGAAGTATTGAGCCGTCAGGGACGGGTAGTCATGAGCCCACTATCGATGAAATGTCTTGAAATTAGATGTGCAAAAATTTGCCTGACGAGATAACGCACTGTGTAGTTTGTGAAGAACCCGGATGAAGGTATGAACAATGGGAGGTTGTAATTGTTGAGGCGATCCTGCCACCTTAGGTCTCCACTTATGATGACACTGTCGTACCTGGAAACGGGGGGGGGAGTTCAATAACGGTACGTCGGTCGCACACGGTACATACCAGATCACTTCGGCGTGCTGACCGACCTTCCGCCTGAGCTCACTCTCTAGAAGAGCGATCCATGCTGAAAAGACTCTTGTCTGCTCAATGCCTCCCAGCAAGGGGCATTCAACATTGAGCAGATATCCGTCAAATCCTCTCTGGAAGGCGAGATCGGCAAGGAGCCGTGCGTAGTGAGGAGATAGCGGCAGTGAAGTACTGGCAGAGTGTTTTGCAGCTCCTGTCTTCGATTTGGGAAGCCGTCCAACTAGAAGGCGCAGACAGTCCTGTTGGCCGGAATCCTCGAAAATTCTGAATAGATAAACAAGTGAGATCAGCATACTCGGATGTAGTCTCAACGATTGCTGCGCGGTGTCTTCAGTCATACTATGCGGTTACATATCCAAAACAGGACCAGCAGATACATAGATCAAATATCAAATATGTTCAATTACTTACAATGTGCCAAGTATCTTGACACCTTGACGATGTGCTGCATTGATCCAGCCAGGCGGAGGTATTGTGACCCGGTGATGCGAGAAACTAGTATTAGAAAGTAAGACTGAACGGGGTAACATAGAATAGGTGGACCCAACTTACTATATGAAAGTATCACAGAGATACCAGAAATTGAATGTATAAGCAAATCCAGACGGCGACTCTGTGTAGCCGCCCTGCAGCGCTCATTGTTATCATATCACCATTCGACCAGACATAAAAATTTAACCAGCCTTATAATCATGACAGACCTAGTACATTTGATTCAAGACGTGTAAACGGAAATGCCAGATCGATATTGCTTACAAGTAATTTTCCTGCACTCTCGGATTCCACGCCGTCGACTGCCTCACGAGGCGTATATTCGATAATACCGGTCAACCTTGCATGGGCTCTCTCTGCCCATATGTCCAGTTCTTCAAGACTCTTGAAGTACGGTGCGGATGCGAGGACATTCTCAGAATGATTGGACCCTCTTAGAGGCATCGATGTGGTACGAAAGATAGAACCAGCAAGCTTAGCGCCACAGCACTCTCTTATAACCAATCTAATCTTATCAAGGTAGACACGTGGCTGTGGCGTCGAGTTTATGGTTAGGCAGCAGCTTTGTGCGCGACTTACACCGTCGCTTCGCTCGACGTCGCGTACCTGGCATGTCCGAACCACCACAAAAACCAGAAGACCTCACTGACGCATCTCTCTTTGCCGATGACGAGAAGACGCAGCCGGCAGAGGACGATATTTTAAACGTCGTTCGCCAGATCAATCCCGATTCGCTCGCGCGTTCGAGCAGTCTGAGCGACAACGTCAGCACAGTGAAGCAGGAGCCAACGCCCCCTCCTACCTCAGAATATGACCAATTGCGCGCCCAGCTTCGCCAGAAACCGTTCGAAGCAGATACGTGGCTGAGGCTTGTCGACATTGCCGAAGACTCGGGCGACATCGAGAAGATCAAGGAAACCTACGAAGGATTACTTGAAGCCTATCCAAACACTGTTTGCCACTACTTCTGCGTGATGAACTCGGCCGATTCTCACCCGTTTGTATGTAGTCTTCAGTGCAGATTGCGTATCTGAACCACTTCCTCGACAATCCTGAGACGTTCGGATTTGCCGAAAGCCTGTTCAAGCGATTTTTAAGAACGTCGTCGTCGGTCGACTTGTGGAAGTTTTACCTCACATATGTCAGGTTAGTGATGAAGAACGAAGGATGCGTGAAGCGCGTTCCTGACAAGTGCACAGGAGAGTGAATACAGGCCCGAATGCTCGCGATGTGATACGCAAGTCGTATGAATATGCGTTGAATCATATTGGGCAGGACAAGGACAGTAGCGAGATATGGACGGACTACATACAGTTTCTCAAATCTGGCGAGGTACGTCTGTGACCGAGAAGTTCGGACGAGCGTCCTAAGCAGCCTCATAGACGACCACCACTTGGGAAGAACAGCAAAAAATGGACGCGATCCGCAAGGCCTATAGCCGTGCGGTTCAGATACCGATGGAGAGCGTGAAGAAGCTCTGGGAAGAGTATCAGGACTTTGAGAATGGTCTCAACAAGATTACGGTGTGCATTCAGGCCATCAGACAAACATTCGCCTACTGACTGCCTCTGCAGGCAAAGAAATTCCTCTCGGATCTCCAACAGGGCCATATGCAGGCGCGCACGGTGCTCAACCAGTTGCAGGAGCACCTCACAGTACTTTTCCCGCCCCCTCCCCCCTCGAGGACGGCACGACCGCCCATATGGCTGCCCCGTCAGCCGACATTTACCGCAGGAGACAAAGCACTGGTTGGCCGCTGGCGGGGGTACCTCAAATGGGAGGAAGGCAACCCGCTTGAGATCGAAGAAAAAGACAAGGGGACCCTTCATTCGCGCCTGCAAGCTGTGTACCGCAAGGCCATTGTGCGCATGCGATTCTTCTCGGAAATTTGGTGGGTATGCCGAGTGTCTGCAATAGCTGGAAGCCTCACCCGTTACGCAGGTACATGGCATATGTGTGGACAAATAGCATCGGGAAAACGGACGAGGCGCTCGCTATACTGAAGGCCGGCATTGATGCAAACCCGTCGAGGTATGATGTCGCATTTGGATTCTTATGCGCAGATTCTGAGACCCGCAGCTTTGTTCTGAACTTCGCCTACGCCGAGGCCCTCGAGATACGGGAAAACTACACAGAGGTACACGCCACCTTCACCAAGTTCCTTGATGTCCTCCGACAAGATCTGGAGGCAGTTGAGCGGCGAGTCAGCGCAGAAAACTCACCGTCGTCGACCGCACCCAACAGCCAGCAGGAGCCGCTCATCCTTCCGTCACAGTTCTCGTCATTCGTATCGCAGGTGTCGGAGGAGCGGCCGTCGAAGAACAAGGAGCTGCATGAGCGTCGGACGGAGTATGGAATCGCGTGGATCATGTACATGAGGTTCGCAAGACGCGCAGAGGGATTGAAGTCCTCGCGGGCGGTGTTTGGCAAGGCGAGGCGGGATCGCTGGATGCCATGGGAGGTGTTTGAAGCTGCCGGTATGTGCGCTTTCTGTTTCGCGCGAACCTGACCCGCTCTCATGTTCGCATCGTCCTTGCAGCATTGATGGAGTACCATTGTACGAAAAAGACAGATGTCGCCAGTCGCATCTTCGAGAAGGGAATGGAAACATTCGGCGACGAGGTCGAATTCGTCATTCGTTACCTTGGCTTTCTCATTTCTCTTAACGATGACAATAGTTGAGCCTTCCTTTCCGGATCGCCTGAATGCTGTACTCAGCCAACCATTAGATGCTCGCGCACTGTTCGAGCGTGTCGTCGGGACCTTCCCGCCGGATCGCGCTCGTCCCTTATGGGAGCGATGGGGCCGATATGTGTACCAGTTCGGTGACCTGGACGCATCTCGCAAACTAGAGGCACGGATGGCAGAGGCATATCCGACCGGTGATGCGCACCCATGTTACTGGAATCGTAATATCACTCACCATTGTATAGACCCGCCCATTAAACGCTTCGCGGAACGCTACAAGTATTTAGGGACAGATGCTATCGCCGTCCGGGATCTCGGTTTCAACGTCTCTCGACAAGGCAGCATGAACCATGGTCGTACGAATGGCTCCACGCTAGGCCGCACGGATACCCAGATGTCGCTCATGTCCACCGCAAGCACAACGCAAGGCCCCGCCATCACGGGCACGAGCACATCCAAGAGGGCGCAGTCGCCCGACCACAGGAGGCGAGACGAGAGCCGCGTGTCGGATTTTGGCCCGCCACCGAAGAGACAGCGGCCGGCGTCGCGGGAGCGGGACAGGTGGGAGGGCCCGCGGAGACGGCACGGTACGCCACCGTGGGAGAGGGATCGCGACCGTGAAGGGATACCGCGTCGGTTTTCGAAGGAGGAGAAGGAGGAGGAGAAGCCGGTGGTGCTGCCGCCGGTACTGTCGTGGTTCATAAGCGTCCTGCCAGAGCCTACAGCATTCGATGGTAGGTGGATCGTGCTTCTTTCGTCAAGTGTTCTCAGCGACGCGTTGCATGTGGCAGGTCCCGTATTCAGGACGGACGACTTGATGCAAGTGTTCCGGAATGCGGTCATACCATCAACTTCGAGTGTGTCGAGGGTGCGCACGCCGCCCCCGCCTCCACGTGCCGGTAAGCTGCATCTAGCTCCGTTGAACATGTATAGGTTGTGTTTATGCAGTGTTCCTCAGGCGGACGACCTCCTCCAGATTATGGTCCATACCAGGGACCGGGCCGCCGCGGGAGGTTTTAGTTCATTGTCGGACTAGTTAGATCACTACGATGCGTGCTTCACCGTTTGTACGAGTGCACTTATCATATCGTGATATGCAGGTTGAGCATGGTCCTAGTCCTGAGTGTCGGGAAATATTGTATCGCAGCGGCCAAAATGCTGCTGAATGTGAAAACTGTGTTTCCACCTCGTGCGTTCGTCGCGTACAGATTCTGAGGCGCACCCAGTGCATGTCAGTGTCTACGTCTCGTCTACAATATGTCAAATCGTTGCATAGCGATGAGTGGGATTTGGAGTGAATACCCGACCATGGGAGGTCCGTGCTAACTTAAGCTTCATTTTCGCAAGGCAAAGCAGTGAAGTCATGAGTCAGTCATTTGTTTCACTGATTGATGTGGGACTTAGGGACCTTTGAGGACTCTTCTAAGGTTGAACGCTCGGAGAAACTACTGAGGTAGTCGAACTCTTTGAATCTTACAACATCAAGATGGGAAACTACACTGTTCGTCTGTTCACTCAAATACGTCGACATCATAGCAACTTCAATGTCGTCATTGGTTCAATGTCACATATAGCTACGCACTGCCCACCACAACCGTCGCGCCGCGTTGTATCGGTTCTAATTGTCGCTGAAGCACCGGACGCTCGCTCAAGTGCTGGCCTTGCTTTCCGCCCTTCGAGCAACACTCGTCGGTGAAACGGAAAGCACTGCTGATTATTTTCATTCTTGCAGCAGCTCTACTTATACTGAATACTGGACAAAGGCCTCCTCGGAACGTAACGAAACGACAAACGTAAAAGATCATGGATGCGTGATTAATTTTTAGACTGCGGCAATGTCCTTGCGCTCCGCGTTGACAAGGTCACTCGCTAATGTCTTCAGTGTGTGCGCCGCACACAGCTATGCCAGGTGTCATCAACGGCTTTTTAAGAACCAATCAGCCAGAATGGAGAGACTGGAACAGGCCGTTCGAAGCTATTCAGTAACTCCAATAAGTACACTCAGATCTGGATACCCTGCAGTATTTTATCGCTGTGTGTTAGCCCTTGCTTGGATTGCGACTCCATAGTAAGTTACGGTACCGTGGGTTATGTTGCCTCACCCTGAGCGGCCACAATCCGCTTTCCTCCTGGTTTGCGCTGAAATTGCCTCGAGCAGCTCAAAATCTGAGTCCCGAGTGCGTCTGAAATGCGACGAACGAGGCAAAGAGCACCTTCTTCAGATTTCTTCTATCGGATCGATCCAACATATTTGTTGCACGCCCCTTGTCCGTGCGAAGTGAATCATAGGGCCCGCGAGGGCCTCCGAAGGTGATAATCTAAAAAAGGACCCGCTCTTCGTTCTGGAATATCGTCTGCCCATCCAGAAGAATTTTCATCCGAGCAGGCTACCCTGTCCCGGCTGTTATCAGTGTCGGTTAATTAGATGTCTGCTATCATGATGTCGAAAGACTTTCATAAGCGAAAAATACCACAGAGATACAGTTATAGCATTGAATGGAGTTTGTGTTTGCTTGTTGAGAGCCTGATAGAATTTTTTGACGGCCGAACACGTCCCGTTAGAAGGCTATTCAGGATCCCTTTTGCATTTCGCCGCCGCATGAGTTGAAGACAGACTTCCTCTCGAAATCACGAATAGACTAAATGAAAGCGTTTTCGATGCAAAATATGGTGCGTGTCGTCTTGCTACTCGTTTCTTGGTGAGATTGGTGAAATTAGAGCGCCCGGCGGCGAATGAGCCCGCCAAGCGTTCGTGCCGGCCACAACCCACATCAAAATAGCTTTGAACATACCTCATAACAATGTCCACACGCATAATCCCTTGCTCGCCTCCCCGTCAGCGAGAAAGAGTCAAGGCGCAGTTTCCAGTCGACGCCACCTAGCTGACCATACAAGGAAGTGCACTAAAAATGACTCGAAGAGTTATCGCTGGTTTTCGTATCCCACCGTCACCGTATCGCAATGCAGCAGACCGAAAATTCACTGGATGTCGCCATCGGCATTCTCGGTATGTGGTATTTTGCTATTGCTATGGTCTAATGCCAACGTCATGGTGTAGCTATGCAGGGTGCATTCGCAGAGCATCAGGTGATGCTGCAGAAGCTCTCGCTGAAGAGACATATTGTCATCGTGCTGGTGAGGACCTCTGAGGATCTCGCAAGGTGTGATGCACTCATCATTCCAGGTGGAGGTGAGTGAATGTGTCGCAGATGGCCATCGGAACGCAAGATACTGACAATGTCGTGTGACTGATAGAGTCGACCACGATTGCACTCCTTGCGCGGTTAGCTGGCCTTCTGGGCCCGCTGCGGGAGTTCGTGAAGAAGAAGCCGGTGTGGGGCACATGCGCAGGTGCTATCTTGCTTGCCCAGGCGGCGGAGGGGACGAAGAAGGGCGGTCAGGAGCTGCTGGGAGGCATGTCTGTCACTGTGTGTAGAAATGGCTGGGGATCCCAGGTGCGTTCGCACCCCCCTTTCCTCGTGCTTCTAATGGCCCTTACGACTCCATATGAGTAGGTAGAGTCCTTTGAGGCACCACTAGAGGTGGAGAGTCTGCGCGATCCTGATCGGCCATTCCATGGCGTCTTCATTCGCGCTCCCGTAAGTCAAGTGCGCTCTCGTCTCGTTGCATTGTCTCACAGCCCCTTAGGTCGTCCTATCACTCAATCCGTCCCCAACCGACCCGCCCATGCAGATCATCTCCCGCATATCTACCTCTCTACTACCGCACTCACAGACGATCGTTCCTTCCGACGAGGACGACACTGACCCACGCGACCCGCGCACGATCGTCGCACTTCGGCAGGGCCGCCATCTCCTCACAAGCTTCCATCCCGAGCTCACGAAAGACGACCGTTTCCATGAGTACTTTGTACGGGAATGCGTGCTGTCGTCCCTGTCATAGGCGGGGACGAGGGGCGTTGTAATATATTGTGGCATCTAGACGGATCGCGGATGTATGTGCGCACAGCATCGTTATACAGTGCAAAGTAACATGGGACAACATGTGTAGACAATTATACCTACGAATATCCCGCTTGCCGAGGTATGCTATTATCTCGCGCTCTTGCACAAACCTCCGATGGTCCATCGGATCACCCGTCCATGTATGGCATTTGTCTCGATTTACTAGGACGCTTGCATTCGTATGAGGCACCTGCAACGCAATTTTTCGGTGATAAGACCATTCACATCGGATGCTGAAGAAGATCTATGCCCACATGCATTCAGAAGCGATTGTTCAGGCCTCCCACAAGTGTCTTGAGATCGGATTGGACCTGCTATGAATATCACACTTCGTAATGCGGCTTGGATCAGCACCCACCATTCACATATAAGTCTGCCCTCCGAGAGACGGCCGCCCCTGGTGCTAGGACATAGCCCGCTCGCTTCATCCTTCCAAAGGTAGACGTACGAAGCATGTTTCCCCGGCTCTGTCAGGCGACGCTCCTGTATATTATCCTACTCGCAATTGGGAACGCGGGGGTTGCTGCCCGAAAGCTGATGACGAAGGACGGGCTCCGCGCACACCAGCAAGAGGCAGCGAAGAGCTGGGTGCCGACAAGACGTGCAAATGGATCTGGAGGCGTCCAGAACATAACATTCGCTAATCCCCGAGCTTCAGGTAGGTGAAATATGCTGTCCTTGTAGTTATCAGCTCAGAGACCGCGCTTGAGCCAGAATTCTATGTGGATGGCGCTAATATTCCTCTGGTGCTTTTCGATGTTGGTCCTAGTTGGGCAGGACTGCTTCCCATTAGCAGCGATGCCAATGAGACTAGACAGGTCAGCCAGCACTCTGCATGATCTTACGTGATGGGCGTACATACGGCCGCCGAATGTACAGCTGTTCTTCTGGTTTTTCCCTCCTGGCCCCGAAGGCAGCCTAGACGACCTGATATTCTGGTGAGTGACCTCCTGTCGCCAGTATTTCTGTTGGTGCAGGTGCATACATGTGGCTTGACCAGGACAAACGGAGGCCCGGGATGCTCTTCACTTGAAGGCTCCTTGCAGGAAAACGGGGTAAGTGCGGAGGATGATGGCACTATGAGACCATGCGTGATACGAAGAGAACATGCAGCCTTTCACTTGGTCCTGGGGGCAGGCGCATCCAACTGTTAATGAGCAAAGCTGGACGAACCTGTCCAGCATCCTCTACGTCGAGCAGCCCGTGGGTACTGGCTTCTCCTTAGGAGTGCCGAACATTCAGGTATGGGATGCGATGCTTGCAGGTTCGTCTGAAACTGCCAAGGCTGACGTTGCTTTTAACGTGATTGTAGAATGAAGACGAACTCGCGGAACAGCTGGTTGGCTTCCTTCAGCAATTCTTTGAAGTGTTTTCGGAACTGAAAGGCAAAAATCTATACCTGACGGGGGAAAGCGTGAGTGAGATCCCCGCATCATCATGATCACATGCCTGCAGACTGACGACAAGTTAGTATGCTGGAATGTACATCCCGTGTCAGTTGCCGAACCTTCGACGAGATGTCGTGTCGATACTGATCCCGAATGAAAAGACACCGCCAATTACATATACGAGAACCCTGATCTCTTGGATCTATCGCTGAAGGGCTTCTGGATCTCTGATCGTGCGCAGACTTTCCTCGGTCCTAAAACGCGCCGTTGATCCGCGTTCTCTAGCTCTGATCTCCTGGGATGTCGTACAAGAGGAGATCCCCGCTGTCGACTTTGTTCACAGCTACCTGAACGTATTCTCCCTCAAGTATATGCCTCCAAATTGCCTGTCGGTTATCATCTGTTGCTAAATATTGACTACAGTGAGACCTTCATGGCTGAGCTGGATGCCACGGCTGCTGCATGCAATTACACGGGTTACTATGAGAAGTATGTGACCTACCCGCCCGCAGGTCAACTGCCACTTCCTGGCAGTTCTGTCGAGTTTGATCCCGGCTGTGATGTCTGGGATGCGATCTTTTACGCTGCGTTGATCGTGAATCCAGCCTTTAACGTCTATCGGATCTTTGACACTGTGAGTGGAGTGACCTCTATCAGTTGGTGGGTCTCTCGACTTAAAGCTGCTGGGATCATCAGTATCCTATTCTGTGGGATGTGCTCGGCTTCCCGTGGGTCTTCAAACAACGTCAGCTGTTGGTTGATGATACCATTTTTGAACAGAGGCTCTTTCCCACAAACTCAAACACCGATATACTTCAATCGCGATGACGTCAAGGCCCACATCCACGCTCCGATGTGGGTTAACTGGACAGAATGTTCGAACATCAACGTCTTCCCGAATGGCGATGCAAGTCTCCCGCCTGTGTTCACCGTCCTGCCGAGCGTGATTGAGAAGAGCGAGCGGGCAGTGATTGTCCACGGTTTGGCGGACTTCGTGTTGCTGTCACAAGGGTGAGTATTCGAGCTAGGCACAACCGTACTTTGTCGTTAACACCGCCGCATAGGGCAAGAATCGCAATCCAAAAGTGAGCTGTCCTAGTTTTATCACCATCCATATCAGTATTTAATCGCCAACGGGCTCACACTCAACGTGGCAGTATGACTTGTAAGTGTCGACACGGACCGAGCGATAGATTCACCATGCTGAGACTATCTTTGCAGGGAACGGTCTGCAAGGGTTCCAAAGCCCCATTGAGAATGACAGCTTCATCGTTGATGGAATCGGCGCTCTCGGAAACGCACACTACGAGCGAGGACTTGCTTACTATGAAGTTGACCTGAGCGGGCACATGTGAGTCACCATCATGACGGAAATGTCATTCCTTGCGTGGCGCATGCTCATCATCTTCAATCTTAGGGTGCCACAATTTTCTCCTGTGGTAAGTAACCATTTAGTCATGCAGACTGGTTCCAGGATTCCGACCTGTTGCTCCGTCTTTTTAGGCCGCATTCCAGATCATGGAGTATCTGATGGGATTCAGGGACGATCCCTACTGAGGGCCACGCGCAATGAATAGCATCTCTGTGAGCAGTTCGTAAAAATAGAATGGAAAATGTGCCTTTGGCGTCTCGAACAATCACCAGATGATGACAAACTTCTGGTGTGAGAACTTCTAAATTGATTACGCAAGGCGATAGAACTTACTACTGCGATGCCGGCACGTCCAGCATTCCGAACTTTGATACGATGAGAAAGGAATCTTGCGGGTGGCTGACTGTCCGTTACCGCCTTAGATACCGATGCGTTAGAACACTTGATAGCATGCAGTATCCACCTCGAGAAGAGTTGCACGGACCCTGATGTGGGCGTTGTCGAAACGAATATGGCAGACTTCGTCAAGGTGGAAGATCGTCCTTCAGTACAGCAGCAGATGCCAGTCGCACAATTACATACACTAGATACCTGAGGATGAAAGTCATGCATCGCAAATTTTTCCCACATATCGAAAGAATGGCACTCGGGGTCGCCAAGAGCTTCTGGCCGTATGCATCCGCAGCCTGCCATAGTTGCATTCCGATACAAGGCAACAGTGCCCACCTGCTGCGGGATGCCGGAAGTGTGCTTTCTCAAGAAACGGGGAAGCCTCATTGATTATCCGGTAGGCCCATGTGGGATGCAACCTCAAGAATATAATGTGCGACTGCACTCGCATGTGCATACTTACATTCCTGTTGTATCAGCCTTGTGATAGCGCGATGATGCCGCATGCGTTTCGACGAGCAACTTTTTCCCTGTTTGTGCTTTCTACGGTGGGGAGCACAGCAGTTTCTGCTCGACGGATCTCGAACCAGGTCCTCCAAGCGAAGCAGCAGGAAGCGGCGCAGAGATGGCTCCCGGAGCGCCTGCATAGTGGTGGTCCGGACACCGTCAAGAACATCACCTTCAATAACCCGCGCGCTTCAGGTAAAAATGTGTAAAAGGTCGTGATCCGGACTGCTGGATATTCCACAGAGTTCTACGTGGACGGCGCGAACATCCCGCTCGTAGATTTCGACGTTGGTCCTAGTTGGGCTGGTCTGCTTCCTATCAGCAATGCCATCGACGAAACCAGACAGGTTCACTTTGGTTCATGATGAGGCCACCGCCAGACTGATACGTCGTGATTCCAGCTGTTCTTCTGGTTCTTTCCTCCTGCACCGCAAGGTAGCCTCGATGACCTGATATTCTGGCGAGCTTGCACTACGTGTCTTTCTCTGCTATATCAAAGCCTTTTCGGTGGCTAGGACGAATGGAGGCCCTGGGTGTTCGGCGATGGAGGGGCTGTTGCAAGAGAACGGAGTGAGTGTTGATTGATGCCACGCGGTCGCTACCTGTGGCTGAACGCGGCACTCGTATCGCAGCCATTTAGCTGGTCACACGGACAGGCCAAACCCACTCCCAACCCATACAGCTGGACCAATCTATCGAGTATCCTATATGTCGACCAGCCGGTCGGGACAGGGTTCTCTCAAGGCGAGCCGAGCGTACAGGTACGCAAACGTGAAAATCGTTGAAAGCATCAAACAGAGCTAAAAATTCATGTCGACGCCTGCAGAATGAGGATGATGTCGCAGCGCAACTCGTCGGTTTCTTCCAACAGTTCCTGGAAGTATTTGAGGAACTGCAGGGAAAGAACTTCTATGTAACCGGAGAAAGCGTCAGTGATTTCCTCATAATTTCAGTTCACGAAGCGGACCGACTATTTGCAGTACGCCGGAATCTATGTTCCTTGTGAGTCCAGTGTGTTTCTTGGTACCGCGCTAGCGTTCACTGGGAGAAGATCTTGCAAATTACAATTATGAGAATCCTCGTGCACTGAACTTGACCCTCAAAGGATTCTGGATTTCTGATCGTAAGTCCATATCCAGAGGCTTCGACCGACGGGTTATGCTTGATAATCTATGCAGCTTCTGTATCCTGGGATGTAGTTCAAGAGCAGATTCCTGCTGTTAACTTCGTACATAAATACGAGAATGTTTTTGCCTTCCAGTACATCTTCCTGTATGCGCACCTCTTCTTACTAATTGAATTCGTGCTTCGTAGCACTTCGTTCATGGAGTTCCTTGACGCGACGGCCGAACGCTGCAACTATACTGATTACTACGAGACATACGTCACATACCCCCCGGCAGGTCTCCTGCCGCTCCCAGGCATATCCATCGAAGCCGACGAGGGCTGTGACGTATGGGACGCAATATTCAATGCTGCCCTTCTGATGAACCCTGCATTCAACATATATAGGATATTCGATACTGTGAGTGACAATCAGTGCACTTTAAAAGAGCATATAGTGACACATCGGGTTTCTAGTGGCCAATCTTATGGGACGTACTTGGCTTTCCGTGAGTTCTTCCTTAATGACATGCATGTTCTCTCATTCTCCAAATTCTGCAGGGGCTCTTTCCCGCAAACTCAAGTCTCGCCTCTCTACTTCAACCGCGTGGATGTAAAGGAGCACATCCATGCCCCCGGAGACGTTGACTGGGCAGAATGCTCGGACATCAACGTCTTTCCGAATGGTGACAATAGCCTACCGCCTGCATTTACTGTTCTGCCGAACGTCATCGAGAAGAGCGAACGGGCAGTTATCGTTCACGGGTTAGCAGACTTTGTACTGATCGCGGAGGGGTAGGTCTCCTGATGCTTGTATGGACGCCCGAGCTGATGTCGGGCAATCGGATTGATTGCAGAACGAGAATCATGATTCAGAAGTGTGTCCATAAAGCTCAGAAATGTGAAAGCATAGGCTAACATATTCTCTATCGCTTGAAATTAGTATGACGTGTAAGTCACCGTACATCCATGCCTTGAAACAATTTATCACTTGTGTATCAACAGGGAACGGGGCACAGGGTTTCCAGACACCCATCGCAAGTGATAGCTTCATCATCGACGGAGTGGGCTCCCTCGGAAGTGTGCATTCAGAGCGTGGCCTGACGTACTTTGAGGTTGAACTAGCTGGTCACATGTAAGCGTCCCAATTTCCTACATGGCCGGTGTCCAGCTCTGATGCCGTCAAATCTCAGGGTCCCTGAATTTTCTCCAGCGGTGAGTTGATACTTGCAAGCCGATATAACGTGCAACCCATGATTGATTTGACGTATTGTAGGCTGCATTTACAGATTATGCAGTATCTCATGGGACTCAGGGACACCCCTTCGGTGATGGTTGAAGACCAGATTGTACTAGCAAAGTAGGCAGGGTTCAGAACACTTACATGGCGGTACACGATACCTTGACGTGCTTGTGTATCTCATGAATGACTACATACATATCTGAGATCCAGGGCATCGCAGTGAACTCTTGTATGCCAATTCTGAGGGCATGATAGCCGCGAAGATCCTCGTTGCAATCAGGACAGGCCGTACAAGTTGACAACGCAAGTTGCACCACGTTGAATATGATGTATCATGTGTGGGTTGAAAAGCCTGTTCAGCGATCGACGAGGCCATCTTTATCGCTGCATCACCAGATGTGCATTGAAAACAGAATTAATCAGTACTTGCTGGGAGACGCGTACTAGCTGGCGTTACATAACGCGTCGCGTCGCGCTCCAGCCTTCAATGCTGACCGCGTTTTTGCCAAATTGGGTAAACTCGTGGGAGGACCGCAGTTGTGCACTCATCCAGCCATCTCAATCTGCTTCTTTCAGTTCTAGCGACTTCCCCAGCCTCGTGGACGGACTTTACGCGGTGAAGCCTCGTGATCTTATCCTAGTACAAGTACAAGCAGCAAGGCAGCCATGAGGCTCATGCATAGCGAGGACGAGGTCATCCCGCTGCAGCATCGCCCTCACGTCTCACCAGCCATGGGCGAAATTCGTAGGTTCAAAGACCCGGTGCATGACTATAGTGAGCTCCAGTGCTTGCCGCAAGCGTGTCATTGATACTCATGCAGGGCGAATGTGCTAAGTGCCGTTCAGCACGGAGATATGTGCGATCATTGATACGTGAGTCCTTGACGCGTCTGAGCCCATTTGTTTACCTTCCAGACGACGAGCAGACCTCAGTTCCAACGCCTGCGGAACATTAAGCAACTGGGAACATCCTACTATGTTTGGCCCGGTGCGTCGCACAACCGCTTCGAGCATAGTCTGGGTACGTCCCTCCACCTACTCATCTTATTCCCATATCTCTGCCCCCTTCGCTCATATATGGATTTTTCACCTGGTATGAACGGTAGGCGTTGCGTATCTATGCCAGCTCATGGCGGAGCACCTGCAGAAAGCACAGCCAGAGCTGGACATCACCCGCCGGGACATCAAGTGTGTCACGATTGCAGGACTATGCCATGATCTCGGGCATGGGCCCTGGAGCCACGTCTGGGACGGATTGTTCATTCCCCGTGCATTGTCAGTGGTCTCCATCAAGTGCCACAGGGGGATTGCGTTGGTAATCTTGTGATGCAGGCCAAATGTGAAGTGGAGACACGAAGACGCATCGGACATGATGTTTGACGCGTTGTTGAAGGACAACGAGCTCGAACTTGAGGAGCGCGATGCGTCCTTCATTAAGGCGCTCATCTTAGGGGACCCGTCAAAGTGCATGTATGTGGAGATGCTGCCATTGATGGTGAACCACTGATGTTGTGCAGAGGGCAAGAAGAGAAGCGGTTTCTGTTTGACATCGTTGCAAACAAGCGCAACGGGCTCGACGTCGACAAGTAAGCAGGGGCTGTTCTCTGCGTTCACCATTTCATCCAATGACCACTTTTTAGGTTCGACTATATCGGCCGCGATACGCACGCCATCGATGTGAAGGGAAACCTCTCGCTGACTAGGTGAGGATAATCATGGTAGCCCGCTCTTGATTTATATCGTCCTGCCTCTAGATTAATACATTCAGCGCGGGTCATCGACGACGAGATCTGCTACGATATCAAGGATGCCAACCAGATATACGAACCGTGCTATACTAGGTTTAGCCTACATAAGCGTATCTATAATCATAAGACTGGTATGGCTGATTCTCCCACCTTCTTGCCTTAGCTGACCGCGAGCTACAGCAAGGGCCATCGAGTACATGCTCACTGACGCGCTAATGGCTGCTGAGCCGTATATGAACTTTGCTAATGATATCTTCAATCCTGAGAAGTATCTACACTTGACAGATGACATCAGGGCAACGATCGAGGCATCCGACAATCCCGTAAGTGACCAATCCAGTAATATTTCAAATATTATCTGACTAGTCAATGACAGGATCTGAACAACGCCAAGGCGATCTTGCACCGGATCCACAAGCGAGACCTGTACAAGCTCGTTGATTACAAGGTCTTCGAGTGGGCACACTACGACATCTGCCGATCTCACTTCACGCCGAAGGGCATCGTGGAGGCTGCCAAGGCGAATAACAGTGCAGCAGCAGTGCAGGACTTGCAGCTAGACCACGTCATTGTCGATTTCTCGAAGATGCATTATGGAATGCAGGATAAGAACCCACTGGATTCGGTTAAGTTCTACTCGAAGCGGCATCCCAATAGTGAGTATTGATTGATATCTCTCTGTGGATGAGAAAACGCTCAATTGGAGTGTTGTCAGAGTGCCAGAGCGCGCAGCCCGGGGATATTTCGTTGCTGATGCCTGCGGTGTTCGGCGAGGTCCTAGTGCGCATATACACAAGGGATTCGCGGTAAATTCTCTTTACTATAACGGCGGTGAATGGTTCCGATGCTAAATTTGATCCGCAGCTTCCATGGCCTGATCCAAGCCGGCTACAATGCACTTTTAACCACGCTGCCTTCGATATCAGACGGACCTGCGTCATCTACCCTCTGGGACGACCTGAGGCTCACTCCGGAGCTCGAACATACAGCGCTCGCGCCACGTCCAACGAAACGCACGTTTTCTCGGGTGCAGAGCGCCGGTGCGCGGCTGTTCAGCGTGTCGCCCAATAACTTCACGGCGGTGCCCGCGGACTTCACAGGTGGGAAACGGGCGCGTAAGGGGGAGGGGCGGTCGCTGTCACCGTCGCCGAAGAGGAAGAAAGCGGACTAGATGATTGGCTAGTCCGGTATTCAGTCTCGATGTGACGGGCTGAATACGTTGATGGGTAGGACTCTTACTCTGCGCATGTCCAAATTGCTATCGTGTATTAGTGCTTTGCGATCGCTTTCTCGCTTTGGTGTTGTTAGACTGACAGGCTTATTCTCGGCACCTTCTATGAATTAAGTGCATCTCAATACAGGGACATTTCATCTAAGATCTGGCTTCCCATGCTCATCTCAGGAGCAATAGATGCTCTATTTGAGCTCACATACTAGTATGAGACGATGCCTTCAAGTTCTTCTTGAGCCTCTTAGAGTTCAACGAGCCGGTTCAGTCGAATACAGACAAGCAACTTACATAACATCTGAAAATCACGGTCATATGTCGCGACACAGTAGGATCGCTACTGGAAGTTTGTCTCGGTAATGCCACGAGCGTAGGCGAAGCGATATTGGTTTCATCAAACCGGCAACACGTTTGCTCGATGTTCATGCGTAGCAATATATTTCTTGCTCCAGCAGACCCTTTGGATGTTTCTGGATTCTAATTCCGTATCGGGGATGAGAATTGCATACTTTGCGGTCGATGAAAGTCAGCGAAGAGAACCACTTTGTCAAATACGGCAAAGGACTGGTAACAAGCCGGCTGGCGGCCGGATACGAAGCGCATACTGCAATCGCGGATCCCATGTTACAGTACTTACTACAACTACACGGATCCCAACTATTAACTCACGGTACTCTTCAAGTTTTTGATGAGCTCTCCTCGCAGCTGCCACTGCCAATCGCCAGGGCGTGACGGAGCGTGATATCCATCGTATGTGACGACGGTCACGCACGAAACGGAGGCGAGTGGCGGGCGTAAGTTGGACGAGAACAGGATCGACACCGCTGGCCAGTTCATCGCTCTCTCCCTCTCCCTCTCCTATTTCCTCCTCGAATTCCCTGTCCGTTCTCAACGGCGAGCTCTCAATATACCGTGCTTGCTGTCGCTGGTCGAACTGTGGTCGATATGACTGCAATGGACGCCTCGCAGGTGTCTCCTGGTATCGAGTCTACCCCCGCTCCTGCCGTCAGTAGCCTCCGCTCGCGGTTCGAGCAGCTCGCTGCGGATACCGCTGCCACCTCTGTGACGAGCAGGCCATCCAGTACTTATGGCTATCTGTCTCCGGACCCATCTGGCTCTCGTCCGCGCGCGAATTCGGCCTTCATCGAGGCCAAGCAGGATCTCCATGCATTGCGGCCAGCCTCGTCTTCTTCTGATCTTAAGTCTGGCACGAAAAGACCCCCTCCGCCTCCTCCCACTCGTCATTCGGGCTCGTCGTCACCATCGCCGCGTCCTAGCCCGCTTCTGCGCCCGGTCATTATTCCTGATCCTTCGCCGTCCCCGCTGGTCACCGAAAGCATCCTGGTCTTAGATAGCCGGCCTTCTTCATCTGTTAATCCCACTGCATTAGCTCGAAAGCCTCCTCCGCCACCGCCTCTCCTTGAACACAGGTCTGAAAGTACTGCCTCACAGCGCAGTTCCGCCGTTTCATCTCTTGTGAGCAAGTTCGGGTAAGTGCCCCAATCTCTTCATCTTTCAGATTTCTTGCTAGACCACCTCTTGCGCTACGTTGGATGCTACTCGAACGCGTTCAATCGCGACCACAAGCTCAAGTATGTGGTGAGCTGCACTCGGACGAGCACAAGGGGTGTGCATTCAGAGATATTACTTTGCGCAATGCGCCCAATTATAAGGTGCCATGTGTAGATGGCAGCTTCGTTGTCGCTTTTCTCAGCATTGATATACGCAGTTGCTAGGCCCCTCCTTTCATTTCGAGATGCGCGCTCCGAGGCGACATTCCGATCGGGCATATTTCGCATATAAATCAATCTCGACTGGGATGGCACTGACCCTGCTCACCAGACATGGACCGCCGCCGGTCCCCCCAAACAGACCTATGCATGCGCAGAATCGGATTTCGTCGCTTGATGTAACGACGGCGAGTCCCAGCGCCTCTGAATCAAGTTTGAATGGAATAGCAGAATCCCTAAAACCCCGCCCCCCGCATCCTCCGTGCAACCATCACGCCTCCTCCAGCACATCTTCATTCAGCAGTGCTATTTCCAATCGTTCTTTACAGTGCCGGGATCCGTTCGAGGACATGTCAGATTCAGAGACCGCGGTAGCAGCACACCCGCCTCCTCTTCCTGTACGACGAAATGGGGTTCATCGAGACAGAGAACATGACTGTAACGGACATGAAAGGAGTCTTTCGACATCAAGTAGCTCTAGCAACCTCAGCAGCTCTAGTAGCTCCTCGAATGAAAGTGGCGTCAGTGCTGGTCATGTTCCCATGCCTTCAGCACAGCGCGCGCCTTCCCCTCGACTGTCAATCCCTCCCCCGCGACCTCCCCCGCGCCATAAGTCTTCGCTTCCACTTACCACGCACCTCGTTATACCCTCTTCCGCTTCTAGTTCAGCATCTGTCTCCCCGCCTCCTCTCCCCGCCCGCAAAAGCCCTGCAACGCCAGTTGAAGAACCATCGCGACACCCACCAGTCCGGATGCATGATGCGGAAGCGCATGGCCAACCGCCACCACCTCATTCCAACGTGTCCCCAGCTGGAGAACGCAAAAACTTCAGGTCCCTTCCGCCACCGCCTACGCGCGTCATCGGTCTGAATGACAAATTGCCGCCCCCGCGTCGTCATGTGCCGTCGGGCTCATCCAGTGAGTCAGAGGAAGAAGAATTCAAGAAGGTTGAGCTGCTCCCCGATGCTAGTCGCGCATCTCGCAGGCCACCTACTGTCGATTGTCATAACTACTCTGAATTTAATATTCATGTGCCCGCATACACCAGCGTCGTGACAGTGGCCGGCCATACGGTTGCAGTGGCGCACCATCATCATATCAGGATATATGACCTTGCCGTGTCGGATACCCCAATATGGAACATCGACACGAAGGACGTGGGGCTTGACAAGCTGAATGGATTCAAAGTCACCGCGATGGAGTTTCGGCCATCAGCAAGTGACGGCGACAGGGGGTGCTTCCTGTGGATCGGGACGAAGGACGGCGCGCTGCTCGAGCTCGACGTCAGGACGGGTGCCATCGTCGGCGTCAAGCCTGCTGCGCATGCGCACACGGTGACGCACATGTTCCGATATGCACGGTCGATGGTGACAATGGACGACACGGGCAAGGTGCTCGTGTTCTCGCCAGAACATGAAGGGAGCGAGGATATCCGCCTGACATCCACACAGCCGCGGGTGGTGCGCATTGCGGACAAGCAGGAGTTCGCAAAGATGCTCGGCGGGCAGCTATGGACGTCGATGCGTGACCTAGGCGGCGCGAGCACCGTCGCAAGCACGTCGCGTGGGCCGATCGTGCGCGTGTACGACGTCTTCTCACCTGGAAGCATCGGGCGTTCAATATTACCATCTGAGCACCTCGGCGCAGTTACATCGGGTACAATCCTGCCATCGCACGCGGACCACGTCTACCTTGGGCACGAAGGCGGGCACGTTTCCGTGTGGAATCTCGCGACAAAGGACCACATACCGGCATGCGAGGAGGTGATCAAGGTGTCAACTTCCGATGTGTTGAGCTTGGAGGGCGTGAACAATAGATTGTGGGCGGGCGGGCGGGTTGGCATGGTCTCTGCGTACGACGTCGTCCCGAGGCCGTGGGTCGTGACGAATTGTTGGCAAGCGCATACAAAACTGCCTGTGCTGCGGTTGGCGGTGGACACTTGGAGTATCGAGAAGCTTGGTAGACTGACTGTATTCAGTGTTGGTAGGGACGAGAGGCTGCGTTTCTGGGATGGTCTGCTTGGGACTGAGTGGGTCGGTGAGTGTACCGTCCAGTACATTTTACAATCTCTGGGTTCTAATGCTACGTCCTCTAGACAACGAACTCATGAAACGCGAAGGCGAGTTCAGTACGTTCAGGAACATCAACGCGATCATCATCTCGTGGAACCTCGACTCCGCCAAACCAGACGTATTGACGGGATGTCCAGAGAATGTGAATTTTCTGCACGACGCGCTCACGAGTATCGAGGACCCCGACATCATCGCGTTCGGGTTCCAAGAACTCATCGATCTCGAAAGCCGCAAGATGGCCGCTAAGACGGTGCTGCTGGGCGGGAAGAACAAAAACGCCGACGGAATGATATCGCAGAAGGTCACTACAGCATACAAGAAATGGTTCGACCGTCTCGGCCTCGCGGTCAAGCTAGCTATGCCACCGGACGTGCCGTATACCGTCATTCATACAGAGAACCTTGTCGGGCTTTTCAGCTGCGTCTTCGTCAAGAATGTTGAGCGAGTATCACTAAAACACGTAGCAATCACTACTATCAAGCGCGGCATGGGTGGACGGTATGGTAACAAGGTTAGTGATTGTTGATAGACCCCGATCCACATTGCTTAATTCTGGGGATAGGGCGGCATTGTTGCGCGGTTTGTCATTGATGACACGTCCCTTTGTTTCATTAATTGCCACCTTGCTGCTGGACAACATCACGTCCGCCATCGCAATGCCGACGTTGCAGCAATTTTGGAGGAGAAATCGGTATTCCCCGAGTCGGACGCGATCGAGGAACCTCTAGCATATGTGAATGGCGGTGATGGTTCCATGGTGCTTGACCATGAGATGGTCTTTGTGAGTTGTCTTAATGAGTCAGTCGGAACCAGATATCTCACTCTTAGTTGTCATGCAGATCAATGGTGACATGAATTACCGCATTGATCAGCGCCGGGAACCTGTCATAGCCGCTGTCAGGGCTGGCGAGTTCGAAAGTCTTCTGGCTCACGACCAGCTGCTGAAAGAAATGAAGTTCAACCGCGGCTTTCGTTTACGGTCCTTCGTCGAGGGACCAATCACTTTCCCGCCGACGTACAAGTACGACAGGCGGTCAAACGAGTACGACACGTCGGATAAGGCCCGAGTTCCCGCCTGGTGCGATCGAGTACTGTGGCGGTCGCGTGAACCATCTCGCGTCACGCAACTTCATTACAAGCGCTACGAGGCGAACGTGTCGGACCACCGACCGATTTCTGCTGGCTTCAGAATCACTGTTAAGTCGGTGCAGCACGAGGCTCGGGCGCGAGTTAGGGCAGAGATAGTGGCGATGTGGAAGCAACACGAACAGAACCTCCTGCAGGCAGCACAGCAGTTCTTCATTGATCAGGCGATGATATGATACCTAGTTGGCGTTTTTATTTTTGCCGCTCCACGGCTTGGTCAAACAGTGTTGCATTAGACCGTGGACGATCGTATGGACTTGGCATAGGACAGGATATCCGTGTATCAGTTGATTTGTAGTATCTTTATAATTCACTGTAATAGACGAGGCATGACTACACAGTACCGCCTTTCGCTCGCTCGATCACCCATGGATGGCAGTTCCAATATGCTTTGTACGTGGATTATCCAGCACACCGACACCCCGGACATGAAGCTGTTTTTCAACGCATGATATGCGTCAGGCTCCTTTCTTCAGGATCTTGGGGTCCCAGAGGCCCCCGAGCAACTCTTACATATGAGTGTCGCAGAAATGAGCAGGCCCATGACTATATCACGTCTTGTAACGATATATCACGGACACCTGTCACGCCATGTCAGAGTTTTGAAATCAGATTTGTTTGTGAGACAGCATGTATGAGGCCCCTTTTATGAGGGGCCCCTTTGGACAAAAATAAAAAAGCAGCTTTCGGAAAGTGAAAACGAAGCGAAAAGCAAAACAAAAAATGATTTTCAAATACGTGAGCACCTGCTTTGGCGCCATGCCTGCTTATGACGCTAAAACCCGATTAGATAACCTTTTCGGGCGCTTTGAGTGAGAGATAATTCCTTCCGAAACAGCTGATGTGCTCACAAAGCCGTTCACGCACGAGAAGCATGGGCGATTGGTCCTGCCTACCTCTCACTGAGTGGGCATGTTGGAAGGAGAGTATTTGGGCACATCAAGTGGTAGGAGGGTGAGTGAGTGGCTGGCATGAGGTCAATGAACATCTGGCAGATAGCATCCCAGGTACTGGCATGTTTTGTTCTGTCACGATAATACTATGCACTGGTTCTCTCTTCCTCATATCTGTGAACTCACATAAGGTGTCACCGATCAGAGTCAAAAGTGTCATCTTGGGTAGGCTTGTTCACCTCACTCTCAAAGATCGAATTCTGTTCCTGTGTCAGGATAACATCAACATGCTTATGATTGATGAACAGCATAGTAATCAGTAGATATGCCAAAAAAATCAATATAGTCATGGAGCACATCAATTGCACTGTTCTCAAGAATCTGATACAATCCTGCTCCATTGAAGTGATGTTCGCTGTATCCCTCCCATATTGAACACAAATACAAGCAGCCACGGCATTTCCAAGTGACTCAAATGCCACATGGATGTTCTCTAATGGCAATGGAATCAGATTGTTGCTCATATCTTCACTGCAGCAGCTGAGGGTGATAGAGGAGGGCACACAAGACAGTGGGGAATGTGTCACAGCGCATCATGGATCCTGCCAAAAGGCAAGAAAATGGTTGCAAGGTGCTAGCCGCGCTCAGTGACCTGCACAAAAACCAAAATAAGAACCTGCCACAAGGGGGCTAGGTCAAAAAGGCATGCAGTGACATGCAGCCTACAAAAAGGGGCTCAAAGGGCCCATAGCCTTATGTCACACAAAGAGGGGGTGAAGGCTTCTTAGGTCACATGAAATAGATGAATGAATCTAAGGTCTTCCCTTAGATCCTCATGTGCTTATATACATGTAGTGGTGGACCCTGGGTACCCTAACCATGGTGTACTTACTGGGGTCCTGTCCTGTCTACATGTGAACATATTGCCAAAACCAGTAATGGTTCTGGACTTTTGCTATAGCAACTATCTATAAAGGTCGTGGATATGCCAAGGTAATCATACTTTACCCAATGAGATAATTGCCTGAAGGTGGTGCCACTATTTGAGTAGCTGAAGTGGTGCCACTTATTAAGTGGCTAATGGGGGGTTCTGCCATAGCACATATTCTAATGCTGGTGCTACTATTTGGCAGCCATGTAGTTGGTGCTGCTATTGAGCAGTGAATTGGGTGCTTGCTAGCTTGATGGTCCAATGAGCATGGGTAAGCCTATCGTGGGCCAAAGAGTTCCATTCTGGGCAAGTGGCCTGGTGTCACGTGATCAACACCTGATAACTTCTGAATAGAGCAAGTGGTCAGTGTCACGTGACTGGGTGGCTGAATCATGGGCGCTTGGTGGTCATGTGGTAGACACAGTCATATCCGCGATGTATGTGGTGATATTGTGCTGTTTGTCTAAGTATCCACTTTGTGAGACCAATATAAAGGTTGGCATCTGAATAACCACTTGTGGTTGCCGAATGATGACTTTATTGGTGCAAAAAGAAAGGTGCCACTTAATACTGTGACAGAATGGATATGCTTACTGTGTGTCAAGTGTCTATACATATGTACTATGACTCAGAAACAAGATGTTCACATGTGTTTCTATAGCTATCCATTTTTATAAGATCTCACCTTTCCAGTTTGGGCCAGACTCCTCCAACCATCCACGGTTGGCTCTGTAAAACACATTGATTGCCTATCAGACAGTGGAAGGAAGGAACCAGCTGCAGCAGAGATGACCACTCAAAGTGCCTGAAAAGGTTATCTAATCGCATTTTAGTGCCACAAGTTGCCTAAAGCAGGTGTAGCGTCTACTTAGATGCTCACATTTTGAAATCACTTTTTATTTTGCTTTTTGCTTCATTTTTTGCTTTTCGAAAGCTGCTTTTTTTATTTTTGTCCAAAGGGGCCCCTCCATACTCTTAGAACAAAAATAATAAAAGCAACTTTTGGAAAATACAAAGTGAAAAGCAAAACAAAAAGTGAGTTTCAAAGTGTGAGCACCTCATCAGGTGCTATGCATGCTTTAGACAACATATTCCATAGTCAAAATGCACAACTGGGTGAGTCAATCAGTAATTATTGAAATGAGCACACGAAAATGAGTGACAAACAACATAGAATTCTCTCCTGAGGAGATGCCAGTGCGAGCACAGCATGTACATATAGAATGCTATGCTAAGTTCGAACTCTGCTGGCAAAGCCCAGTCATCAATGAGCATGTACTTGCTAACTTCCAACACTCTCTCACAAGTCGAGCCCATCAGAGATTAGTGAAAAAGACAGTAACAATATATAAAAAAAATTAGAAAAGCTGGATTGGGTGTTCCTTATCAACATAGCCCAACTTTGCAGTCAAGTTCTCACTTGTCTCCATCTCTGCAACCTGAGCTTGTGTATGACCAGCATTGAACATTGGTGGTGAAGGGCAATGTGACCAAGACCATTGCAATTGTAACATACTACAGCATTTGTCCTCTTTAACCTAGCCACCAACATCATATCATCTCCATACATCTTCTCTTGCAATTTGAGCCTTATGCTCACAAAGGTGAGTTACATATAACCATCGAGATCATCAGCTCACTTGTTGACAGACCATCAAGTGCTATCATGACTGACTTGTAAGTCTTTGACAGACTGTCCATGATGACAAAGATGATGTCAATGTTAGTAAGATGTGTGCTTGAGTTCATTGTGGCAGTGTAAACATAAGAGATTTAAGAGAGGATTAATTTGTCATTGATCTTGCACATGTGTATGAAGTGATGGTGAAGTGCAAGAACAGAGTTAACAGTGTCTGATCAATGAGTGTTCTCCAGAACATTTCACACCTTCCTGGAGTCATTCAAACTCTCAATAAAGGACAGCTGCAAAAAGTTGAGACACATCACAATGTTCGCCAGCACCATTTTCCTTTTTCTTATCTTCTCTTTCACTTCCTTCACTTCCTTTGCTACCACCTTCTGATCTTCTGACCCAATCACCAATTACAAATTTTGAAAGATGAGGTATGCACACATGACCTGGCACCGTTCCTTGTAGATCCCTTCAGTGAGCAAGGAAATGCAGTTTCTACTAGTCTGAAGTTTGTGCATGCTGAAAAGTCAAAATAAAGAAATAGAAAAGAAATGAATAATATGAACTGCTTAATGTAAAGGATGCAGGATAAAAGCAGTTGCTGCATGATTATCAACTGTGCAAGCAGTTATTTCAAATGTGGCAAAGCAAGACAAGAAGCAAATGGTATAGCATAAGCCAAGTGATGAATCAATTTTAGAGCATGGGGCTCATAACCTATTAGGACGAGCACATAAAAATGAGTGACAAACAATGTAGAATTCTCTTTCAAGGGAATGCCAGCATAAGTGCAGTGTGTACATACAGAATGCTATGCTAAGTTTAAACTTCACTGTTAAAACTCAATAATGGGCCAATAATGGATGCATATTTGCTGACTTTCAACAAATTTGAGGTGGAAGATGATAAAGGAATTGAAGAAAAGTTCAAATCTTTTCAGCATCTTTACTGTTAATTTATAATTAAAGGATTAAAATAATATCTTTTCTTGTGAAGATGATGAAAAGATTAAAAACATTAAATAACATATTAGCAATCATTTTTCAATCTTTTAAATAAAGTTATAATAAATATCTTAAAATATTTTATTCTTTTCTTATCAAAGATGATAAACATACTGTAACCATCAAATTATCATTATGGTTCTACACTAAGCTAATTCTAAAATATAAAGGTTAATACTTAGATCTTAATGTTAGTACTGTCTCTTGAAGCCTTAGTACTAGCATGTTATTAATCTCTAGATCTTAATACTAGCATAGTACTAATATTTAAACCTTAATACTAACATTTAAACCTTAGTATTACTCTTCTAACCATAGTACCAGTATAGTGCTAGCATATAAACCTGAGTATTCATTTTCATACCTTAGTGCTATGAAAAAAGGGTGTGAAATAGTCACAATATTTTCATTATCTTTGATCAAAAAAGAGTGAAAAAAGATTTTAAAACTTTTCATCATAGTTTTGTATGAAAGATTGTCAAATGATTGAAGAAATGATTATTAATATTTTATCCAATCTCCTTTCAATCTTTTCATCATCTTTCACAACAAAAGATCTTAAAAATATTTTAAATACTTTTATCACAAATTAATAGTGAAGATGCTTAAAAGATTTGAACTTTTTCTTCAATAATTTTATCATCTTTCAGCTCAAATTATTGATTGCTTCACCCAGTGACAGTCATCATTTACAGAAAGTAATAGAATCAGTGCC